ACAGCCATTTCTGGCCTCCTGAAAGTCGCCCCGTGCGTGCTGTTTTCACCAAAAACAGGCTCGTTTTTTTGCAAAAACAGGGCTTGCAGAAGGTTTGGGAGGCCTGCAGAGTGCTCCGGGGGGCTGGCAAGGGCAAAAATGTGATGTGGGTGTGGTGGTTTGGGAGTCCAAAAACAGATCAGTTTTTTTGCAAAAATGGGCCTGTTTTTTTGCAAAGATGGCCCCATTTTTGGCAAAGATGGCCCTGTTTTTGGCCTCCCAAACGCCCTATTCGTTGCATTTTTGCCCTCCCCAGCCCCCAGGAGCACTCTGCAACCTCCCAAACTCTCTGCAGGCCACATTTATGGCTTCCTAAACCCCCCATGCATTGCGTTTTTGCCCTCCCCAGCCCCCAGGAGCACTCTCCAGGCCTCCCAAACCCACTGCAGGGCCCATTTTTCTTTCTTTTTCTTGTTTATCTCTTTGAAATCTTGGTGTGTCTTATACTCCGGTGCGTCTTATAGTCCAAAAAATATGGTAATTTTCAAGTATTAAACATTAGCAATTTAGTAGGGTATAACAAATACATGGTGCAAAGAAATGTTATTTATGTTTAAATTAATTAATGGAAAAAATGATAAAGAATTATAAAGAGAGAATGGTACTGTTGAAGTTGGAAGATCAGACTTATGCATACTTATTTGTATTGTTACTGTTAGCATTGTTAAAAAAGATTTGACCCAGTCAATACACTGTGCACAAAATATGTATGGTGTGTATTATATTAAAAATTAAAAAAAAAATTTTTTTTTTAAAAAATGTTTTTCCTCTTATCCATGAAGCTTCTTCAGTTCGGTTTGGTTTGAAAGAGATATCAAAGAGGCCATCTACATTAAAATTGAACAACCCTCTCTCAACAGAGGGGGAGGGATACAAACCACCTACCATATCACCTGTTTATAACACAGTCCTTTCAGCAGTTCCAAGAAGGTTCCACATATTCAAGTGACCCTGAGGGCACAGATAAACTTCCAAGCCATTCTCAGAGAGAGTACTAATGATCAGATAACTGCAAGGAATATAAATTCTTCCATTCTCCACCATTCAGTCAGAATTGGAAGCTTCTTGGATGAGAAGTGAAACATTTTTAAGGAATATCGAAGTTCACTTGCCTTTTGAAAAAGCACTTTTGGGACATCACCTGGGGAACCAAGAGCAGGATGGAGCCCATGGCTCGTGTGAGGTGCTATTGCTGGGGCGGGGGTTGGGGAGTGATTTTATTTTATTTTATTTTATTATATATGATTCTTTTATTAGTTTTATTGTTTTTATATGATGTTTTTATATTTTTGTAAACTGTCTTGAGTTGCCATGTGCAAATATACTGGTAAATCTAAATAAATAAATAAACGTTCTTCAGCCGGATCTGGTGCAGGCCTTGGATCACCGAGAACAGAGGTCTAAAGTATTGTAGTGCAAGATCACAAACATCTTGGCTAGGGCCCAGGTGGAAGGAATCTTCAGACACACCATAAAGTGTGCTTGCTTCAAGAACAGGTTGATGACAGTCCAAATTACTGTATTCCCAGCACTCTCAGGCAGTTTCACGATAAAGTCTATGGATATCTCCTGCCACAGGCTAATTCAGTTGGCTACTGACTGCAGCAAGCCTGGAGGCTTCACAGTTAGGTACACGGAGCCACACACAGAACAGCTGGCCATATAGGCTTCTATGTCCTTTTTCATCTTTGGCCACCAGAACTGTCTCTTCACCAGGTGAAGGGTCTTCACAAACCCAAAATGTCCTGCGGATTTTGCATTGTGGCTCCTCTGCAGGACAAAGATTCTTTGGCTGGCTGGGACATACATTTTACTCCCCTTCCATGTCAAGCCCTCCTTCATCAATAGGTCATCTTTATATCTATGGAACCATTCATCTGTCTTCAAAGCATCTTTAGCAGTTTCATCACCATATCCCCAGCCAGTTGCGGGGAGACTGTTCTCTGCTTTGTGAGCTCTGGCACTGCAAGTTGCATGGATGGGATAATGTAATCAAAAACCTCCTCTCGGGAACTTCTGTACTGGGGCATGCGAGAGAGGGCATCAGCTAAGAAATTCTTTCCACCTGACAAGTAGCGAAGGGTGAAATTGAAGTGGTTAAAATATTGAGCCCATTGGACCTGCTTAGAGTATAGCTTCCTAGGGTCCTTTAATGCCTTCAGGTTCTTGTGATCCACCCACACTTCAGATGGAATCTTTCTTCCCTCTGAGAACTGCCTCCAGGAGAGAAGAGGTTATTGGACTGTATAAGCCTCCTTCTCCCAGATGGCCTATTACCTCTCAGTATCAGACAACTTGCGAGACATGTAGGCACATGGTAGCAACTTTTCTTTTTCGTTCCTCTGGAGTAAAATTGCCAACTGCCACATCACTGGCCGTAAGAGCCAATGAGCTAACCACGTGGGGAAGGTGGCAGAAGTAGAGGATCAATTGATCCCCCTGGAGTCATGGTGACCCAGGGCAGCAAGTGGAAAGCTAGGTGAGCAGCCAAATGGGATGTCCTGGTTGAGTGGATATTCCCAGCTGCAGCTCGCAGTCTGTGACTAGAGCAATTAAGGGAGAAGTTCAGTGGGCTGGAGGTACCAATCCTACCCCGGCAGGTGGGAGCCCCCCACCACCAAGGGACAGTAGCTCCCATCCCAGCTGCCTTCCCATTTGGGGGGCAGGCACCAGCACACATAGCCCCAGGGACAGCCACTATTCTTATTCAAGCACCCCTGGTTGTAGTGGGGTTGCTGCCTGGATACGTCCTAGTATGATAGGACCGACTGCCACCTCCCTTAGTAGTCCAGTTCAATGGACAACCAAATAACTTGGCTTACTTCCTGACCCAAGTCTGGAACTACATGGAGCACCATGGAGTAATGTATCCAGATGAGTGTGCTTGGGTCAATGCCATTACATCAAACCTGGAGGGGGATGCAGCAGGATGGCTGGTGTCTCTCCACATGATGACGGGGTTCCAAAGCTGCAAAACCTGGATGCTTTCATGCAGATATTGTGAGACAGATTTGAAGACCCCCACAGCAGACTGACATGCAGAAACCTGCATCTGCTCCATGCAACAGGGAAAGCAGATGGTGGTAGAGTACATCCAAAAATTTCATAGCCTGGTGGCTCACCTGAGAGATTGGCCCAAGTGTATGCTGGTTTACCTGTTGGTCTTTTGTTTCACCTTTTCAGGGTCCATCTCCACTCCCTCACTGGACATGCGGTACCCCAAATAATCCAAACTGGTTTTGTGGAAGTCGCATTTGGATAGACAACCAGTAACGACCATTTCCCTCCAGTGTCATTAATCACATTGGCCAATTAGGTTAATTGGCGGGCTTTTCCTGCATTCATCTCCTTAGTCCGTTGCCCAGGAGATGACCATGGCTCTTGTGAGAAAGCTCGGTGTGTCTAGTAATACATTCCAACCTCCCCCTTCCCATACAGTATGGAAATGTTGAACCAGAGAATGACTTCTGCCAGGTTAAGTTTGGTGTTGACAAGCAGTTTACAGTCAGCATATTGCCCCCAACAATCTGGGTCTTCATTTTACCGACCTCAGAAGGATGAAAGGCTGAGTCAACCTTGAGTCACTCAGAATTGAACTCCTGGAGTGAACAGTGAGTTATCCTTCAGTACTGCATTTTAACCACTGCACCACCACTGTTCTTAGTTTAGCATAGAGCGTGGCTTTCAATAGTTTTGTTAGCACTTCCCGCACTAACTTTCATTGTATCAGAATAAATGAGGATGTCAATCAGGTACACCAGTACCCCCTTATACAAGTTGTCATGCAGTACTTTGTTTATTAATTGCATGAATACTGCAGGTATTCCTTGCAGCCTGAAAAGCATCACCCAGAATTGATAACACCTTAAGGGACAATTGAAAGCTGTTTTCCACTCACTGCCTCTTCAGGTCTCACTCTGTAGTATGCTTCTCTCAAGTCCAGCTTGGTCAACATCCTTTCCTTGGCCAGGTATCCCAGGATGTCCTTCATAAGGGAAGGGGATACATGTTTTCCATACAGATCCCATTAATCCCCCCAAATCCATGCATAATCTCAAAAAACCCATCTTTCTTTTCTTTGAAGAGCACAGGAGCTGCTCTCCTAGATTTTGCCGATTAGATTTCCCACTGTTGATGCAACCTAGAACTATGTTGGCTTTTTGGCAGCTGCAGAGCACTGCTTACTCAAATTTAAGTGGTGTTGCACCATCAATGATGCATCAGAGTAAAACTGTAAGCCCTCTCAGAGTTACTACTCTTGAGCCAAGTACCCGTTATTTTATATCTATGCATTTGGTTTTTCCTGTCTAAGTGCAAGACCTTACTTTTTTCATCACTGAACTGCATCTTGTTGGATAAGGCCCAATGCTCAAGTCTGTCAAGATCCTTGAGGCTATGTTCCAAATTGTTGGCAATACTCCCAGCTTGATGTTGTCTGCAAATTTGATGAAACCCTTTATATCCTCTAATCTAGATCATTTATGAAAATGTTTTCCCCCAAGGATGGAATTCTTTTTATTGTTTTCTGGAGCCATTTAACTTCTCAGGTCTGTGAGAGTAAAAGCAGCCAATATTATTCTATTTCTATCAGATCTGTTACAAAATAGTAATCCTTCACAGATATATCACAAAAAACTAGTATATGAAACTGTATTTGTATAGAACTTTAAAACATCTCAAATTCCCACTATTTTTGGCACAGGGACATTGATTTTCCAAACCATAATTTAACTAGGATTGTACACATTTCTTGAGAAATGAATTATATAAGATGAAGAAAATTAACCTAAACACCTAAGGCATTGTAAAATATAATCAAGTCACTTTGTCATATTGATAAATACTGCCAAAGATCAAATGCTTCAGTTCAAAAACTAATCTTTTCAGATTAAAGGCAGACCCAAACTTGAACCATCACTAATTTGGGCCACTCACGGCTTCTTGTGTATTTGAACAGAAGATGTTTTTATCTCATGACTTTTATTGTTTTATCAATGTATAAAATACAAAGAAAACTAAAAAATAGGAAATTAAGGGAAGAGAGGGGAAAAAAATATGAGGTACAACAGCAGAAAGAAAAAAGCGTTGACTTCCAACTCTTTTTAACACAGTACAAGATAACATTACAATCTCAATTTTTTACATTTACACATTAGTATATATAGCTAGCTATTTCTGTAACAACAAATCTATCTAATCAGCAAAACCAAAGTCAAAGTTTCATTTTTTTTCATCACAAGCACAAAATCCAGAAGTGACATTCAAATAAAAAAAAACATAATTAAATATATTTTCTTTGAATAAACAATCAATTTAATCATTTCTGGTTTATCTTCCTTGCTGTGGAAATAGTATGTATTTCTATTTGCATTTAATAATTTTTATAAACTATCACCATTTATATTAACAGAATTCATTGTATTCTTTCAAATTCTTTAACTTTAAAGGAAAAAAAATACTTTTTTCATCCATTTTAAAGCACCAAAACATTTCTAAAATCAAAACATTCTAATACATTTTTAGCTTCTTCTTAACATACATACTTTAAAGTTCACTTTCAATAAAATTCCAACTAACTCCAATTAACTCATTACATTTATATCACTCTCTCCAAGTTACCCTCATAGAATATTTTTTCTTCTTGTATACATCCTTTTTAAAACTCTAAATTTTTCTTTAAGATGATACATCTTTTTCTTTAACTTTTTCTCAACATACTTTCAAATACACTTTCAATAATATTTTACAACTTTAGGAATTAGTTAAGCATTATATATGAAGCAAAAATACATTTTCAAACTTTAGATTAAGATTTTCTTTCAATTACAAATATCAGACCGATAAAAATCCATCCTAATTCCAATTGACTCTTTAAGTCACTCTTTCCAGCTTGTCTTCATGGAATAAAATCTTTTTTTTCTCTGGAATGTTTGTCAAGCAGTTATAAGCTTCTCTTTTTCTCAAGGATTTCTCTACTTTGATAATATCCTTGAGGAAAAAAGTCCCAAAATTGTTCTTCTAAAATTGCAGATTTTCTTGGACTCTTCTTTCAATTGTGTTGGGAGGTTTAAGGTATATTTAAACCATAATAATAAAAATTGGTGTCAGGTTTATATTCTAAAACTGCAATCCACTCCTCTGCTTTGTCAGGTACTTATGAAATTGCTCGGTGATTTTGTAACTTTTTACCAATATCTGCATCTTTGAAGTAGTTTGAGAAGATTTTTTTAACATCCTTGAAGCATAGCTAATTTATGAACTGATGGATTTTATTTAAAGATTTTTAAAATACATCTCTAATAATTTGCTCCTCAATCTTCTTAACTTCCTCTTTAGTCAAAGAGTAGCTTTTTTGTAGATCACTAAAGAATTGCTGGCCAATCAGGATTAATAAAAATCAGAAAGTTTTAGCCACCCACAGCAAAGCAGATCAAGGTACAAAAGCAATAACCTAGAGCCACAACTTTCTGTTTTATATTTCTCCATTGAACTTTTTTTAAAAAAGATATTCCACACTTCCTCATTCAGCAGCCTTCTTCCTTGTTTAACAATGAAGAAACCCCAAAAATGGCACAGATCTTCAAAAAGAAATAACAGGCTGTGACTAAAAAACAGGTTTTTAGCTTAATAAAGATTAATATGCCTTAAAAATGATTAAGAAATGAAAGGCACAACTTATTGTCCATTTAAAAAATAAATTCCAAAATGGCTGCTTCTTCAACAATGAACTGATTGCAGCCCCGCCCCCCCAGCCATCTGCACAACTACTGCTTCGAAGCACAGCTCCAGAAGGGTCTGGGACAATTCTTCATGGTTACATGACCCTTGACTATTTCATCCCAGATTTTCCAGCACAGCTGATCCACCATAGCCCTTTGTCCACAGATCAACCTCCACCTATGATATACCACTGCCACAACTTCTCTGCTATTTCTCCGAGGCTGCCTAATCGTGGCCAATGCATTGCAACCTAAGTCTTCATGGCCAGTTTCCCCCACTGATAATTTAATACACCTCTGGTGCTTCTAGCGCAATTTTGGCACATGCCTGATGGGGAGAGGCACAGGGGACATTGGCAGGAGCAGTGCTGGAAAACGGCGGTGGTGTAGGGGTGCTAGGAGTGCTGTGATGTCACGTTCACCTGCAGTATTTGGATGGTGAGGGAAGGGGCTGTGGTGAGTCAGCCATAATGGAAAATATGGGGTGAAATGGGTAGGTCATGTGGTCAAAAAGAATTGTCCCATTCTGACTCCTGAAGCTACTTACAGACCTTTGCTGTATTGGAGGATCTTATGGGATAATTCTTTCCCTAACTTAGGTGTATCATATAAACTAAAGGAAGTTTATCTGTTGGTGTGTTGAAAATCTACAGTCCAGGGGAAAAGTCCTTCAGGGGTCCTTTTCTGGGCGTGTGCTATCTTTTTACCGGAAGTGATTTATGAAAATGCTAAAAAGCACTAGGCCCAAGAAAGTTTCTGGAGGCAGCCCACTGCACGCTTCCCTCCACATAGATATAGATCTAAGGATACATGCCGAGAGCAGTTGATCAGCCAATAGCGAATCCATTTGCTGTTGGTACTATGTCCTATTATACTATATCTACAGCATTTCACTGACCTATTAGTCACTTTATCAAAGAAAGCAATTTTCTGGCATGACCTATTTTTAACAAATCCATGCTGCTTCCAGTAATCACCTTGTTCATTTCTAGATGTTTACAAATCCACTGCTTGATTAACTTTTCCAGGATTTTCTCAGGTATTGATGTCAAGGGGATAATTTCCTACATCCACTTTTTTTACCCTTTTAGAAGATTGGAACTACATCAGCTCTTTTCCAGTCCTCTGACAATTCCCCAGCGCTTCAGGAGCTGAAAGATTTCATTAAGTAGTTCCGAGATCCTATCTGCCAACTCCTTCAATTCCCTGGGAGGTAAATCATTTTCCTGGACTTCTCCAGGAAATACAAATATTTTTGGAGAAATTTTGTATTTCTTCAAAATACATAGATGTTCCCTTATTAATTCCTTGCCTATTTTTACCTGCATTCCTATTCTGTCTCTTATTGTGCTGCTTTTGATTTGATGTTGTTAGTTGCGAAGTCATGTCCGACCCATCGTGACCCCATGGACAATGTTCCTCCAGGCCTTCCTGTCCTCTACCATCCTTTGGAGTCCATTTAAGCTCACACCGACTGCTTCAGTGACTCATCCAACCAACTCGTTCTCTGTCGTCCCCTGTTCTTTTGCCCTCAATCTTTCCCACCATTAGGCTCTTCTCCAGTGAGTCCTTCCTTCTCATTAGGCAGCCAAAGTATTTGAGTTTCATCTTCAGGATCTGGCCTTCTAAAGAGCAGTCAGGGTTGATCTCCTCTAGGACTGACCGGTTTGATCACCTTGCAGTCCAAGGGACTCGCAGGAGTCTTTTCCAGCACCATAGTTCAAAGGCCTCAATTGTTTGGCACTCAGCCTTTCTTATGGTTCAACTTTCACAGCCATACATTGCAACTGGGAAAACCATAGCCTTGACTATATGCACTTTTGTTTGCAGGGTGATGTCTCTGTTTTTTTAGTAAGCTATCTATATCTGCCATAGCTTTCCTCCCCAGGAGCAAGCGTCTTTTAATTTTTGGCTGCACTCCCCATCTGTGGTGGTCTTGGAGCCCAGGAAAATAAAATCTGTCACTACCTCCATTTCTTCCCCATCTATTTGCCAGAAATTGAGAGGTCCGGATGCCATGATCTTAGTTCTCTTAATGTTGAGTTTCAAGCCAACTTTTGCACTCTCCTTCTTCACCGGCATCAAGAGGCTCTTTAATTCCTCTTCACTTTCTGCCATTAGAGTAGTATCATCTGCATATCTGAGGTTGTTATTTCTCCCGGCAATCTTAATTCAACTTTTGATTCATCTAGCTCCGCCTTTCTCATGATGTGCTCTGCATATAAGTTAAATAGGCAGGGCAACAGTATACAGACTTGTGGTACTCCTTTCCCAATTTTGAACCAATCAGTGGTTCCGTGTCCAGTTCTCACTGTTGCTTCTTGACCCGCATATAGGTTTCTCAAGAGACAAATAAGATGGTATGGTACTCTCATTTCTTTTTGAACTTGCCACAATTTGTTGTGATCCACACAATCAAAGGCTTTAGCATAGTCAATGAAGCAGAAGTAGATATTTTTCTGGAACTCCCTAGCTTTCTCCATAATTCAGCATATGTTGGCAATTTGATCTCTAGTTCCTCTGCCTCTTCAAAATCCTGCATGTACTTCTGGTAGTTCTCGATCCACATACTGCTGGAGCCTAGCTTGTAGGATTTTAAGCATAACTTTACTAGCATGTGAAATGAGTGCAATGGTGCGATAGTTTGAACATTCTTTGGCATTGCCTTTCTTTGGAATTGGAATGTAAACTGACCTTTTCCAATCCTGCTGCTTTTGATAGGTAGGGCTATTTTCTTTCATTTTTGGATGAAGACAAATGCAAAGAAGGAGTTAAGCTGTTTGGCTTTCTCCCTGCTGCCTGTCACCTTCTTGCTATCATTTCCCAATAGTAGATTGATCTTTTCCTTGACATTTTTCTTGTTCCTTACTTATTGAAAGGAATATGTTGTTGTTGTTGTTGTTATTTTGGCATTTGTTGGAAGTCTTAATTCATTTTGAGTTTTAGCCATTTTGACTTGGTTTTTGCACATTTGGGCTTTTTTCTGGTAGCCTGCTCTAGTTATATGCCCCTTGTTCCACTTTTATGCTTGTCCTTTTTGTCCCTCCTTTTGTCAGAGAACTCTATGCAACAGAATAACAGAATTGGAAGGCACTTTGGGGGTCTTCTAATCCAAGCCCCTGCTCGAGCAGAAGACCCTATATCATTTGAGATAAATGGCATTGGAGCATTGTTGTTGTAACCAGGATGGTCTCATCTGGAATCTTTTATTTTTCTTTCTCTGTGGTATTGTTATTGTGTGGCTCCTTATTATCTTGTTTTTCAGAGCATCCCAAGCATCCTGCACTGTTTTTCCTTCTTACATTTTTCATCCATGGAACCCTTTTTATCTTAGTTTATTGAAGCTGGCTCTCTTAAAAGTTTAAAAGACTAATCTGACTTTGTTCAGTTATCTTTCCCTGCATTATGGTGAATTCTAATATGACATATTCACTCTTCCCTCAAAGGTCCTACAATGTTTTTGAAGATTTGTTCTGAGATGAAGGCAATGGAGAAGGTAGTATTGAACCACAGGGAGAAAAAGTTATTAAACTAAGAAGGAAAGGTATGAGGAAAGAGGAGAAAAGAAAGCAGGAAGATAGAGAGACGGTAGATGGGAAGCTGCCAGAGGGCTGGAAAACAGCTGATGTAGTTCCTATCTTCCAAAGAGGAAAAAAAAATAGATCCAGGAAATTACAAATCTATCAGCCTGACCACAATACCTGGGAAGATTCTGGAAAAAAATAATCAAACAACGGATTAGCGAACACCTAGAGACAAACAAAATAATAACCAAAAGCCAATATGGGTTTGTCAAAACAGATCATGCCAGATAAATCTTACTGCATTCTTTGAGAAAGTGACAAAATTATTGGACTAGAGGAATGCTGTGTTTATAATTTACGTGGACTTCAGTAAGGCATTTGATAAAGTAGAGCATAACCTACTACTTTATAAGATAGAAAAATGTGGGTTAGACAGCGTCACACCAGATGGATTCATAACTGGCTGGCCATCTGTACTCAGTGTGTAGTCCTCAATGGAACTGCATCTACATGGAGAGAAGTATGCAGTTGGGAACGCCAAGCCGTTATTTTAGACCCAGTACTCTTCAATATCTTCATTAATGATTTGATAAGGGGATAGATGGGGAACTCATCAAATTTGCAGACAACACCAACCTGGCAGGAATAGCCAACACTCCAGAAGATAAGCTTAAGATACAGAAGGTTCTTGACAAACTTGAACATTGGGTGCTATCTAACAAAACGAAATTCAATGATGAAAAAAGTAAGGTTCTACATTTAGGAAAGAAAAACAAAATGCACAGGTACAGTGTAAGTGGTACCTCACTCAATAGTACTAACTGTGAAAGGAATCTTGCAGCCCTAGTGGGCAATCATTTAAATATGAGCCAGCAGTATGCTAGAGCTGCCAAAAAAGCCAACACAGTTCTAGGCTGCATTAACAGAGGGATAGAATCAAGATCAGGTGAAGTGTTAATACCACTTTATAATGCTCTGGTAAGGCCACACTTGGAATACTGCATCCAGTTTTGGTTGCCACAATGTAAAAAAAAAATGTAAAAATGTAAAAAAAGACTCTAGAAAGAGTGCAGACAAGAGCAACAAAGATAATTAGGGGACTAAAGGCTAAAACATATAAAGAATGGTTGCTTGAATTGGGTATGTTTAGTTTAATGAAAAGAAGGACTAGGGATGACAAGATAGCAGTGTTCCAATATCTCAGGGTTCCAATATCTCAGGGGTTGCCACAAAGAAGAGACAGTAATTTTGCAAAGCACCTGAGGGCAGGACAAGAAGCAATGGATGGAAACTAGTCAAGGAGAGAAGCAACTTAGAACTAAGGAGAAATTTCCTGACAATTAGAACAATTAATCAGTGGAACAGCTTGCGTCCAAAAGTTGTGAATGCTCCAACACTGGAAGTTTTAAAGAAGAGATTGCACAACCATTTGTCTGAAATGGTATAGAGTTTCTTGCCTAAGCAGGGGTTGGACTTGAAGACCTCCTAGATTCCTTCCATCTCTGTAATTCTATATGAAAAAAGGGAGCAGGAAGATAAAAAGGATAGATGGGAGAAGGGAAAAGAAGAAGAAAAGTTTGGGAGGAGGAAAATACTAGCAAAACAATGGCAAATTGAGTGACTGGTTGCACACTGAGAAGAAGCTTGTGGCGGCCCACCTGAGAGGCTATCAAGTGACCCATTGTCCCTGCTCAGCAGCCCAGAAAAATTGAGGCAGCTGGAGTCTTGGAGATTCAAAGCAGTCAGAGGCAGTCAAAGTGAGAGGCTGCCTGGTAAACCATCAACCCAGCCTAGCAGTCCAGGAGACCGGAGATTCAAGGCAGCAGGAGGCCAGCTGAGAGATGGTGAACCAGCAACTCAGCTAGGCAGCCCAAGAGCCCAGCTGGATCACAGCAAACAAATGACCCAGCCCAGCAGCTTAGGAGCCCAACTGAGAGGTAGAGAAAAGCAGCAATGTATCAGCAAAGCAGCTCGGTAGCCCAGGAGCCTAGCTGAGGGTTGGTGAACCAGCGACCCAGCCCAGCAGCAGAGGAACCCAACTGAGGAGCAGCAAACAAGTGACACAGTATGACAAATCAGGAATTCAACTGAGTGGCGGGGAACCAGCAACCTATCCCAGCAACCCAAGAGTCTGGAAAGCTGAGTAGTGTTCAGATGGGTTGCTGAACCTTGCTGTGATGAGTTTGTTCTCCTCTATTGGGCCATGTGTTTATGAAGTGGTTGTTTTGTTTTCCCAATATACAGAACTGCACATATCTCACTACACTGTACTGCATATATCACATTGCTCAGTTTTGTCTTTTCATACAAGAAGCTTCTTGGGTGAGAAGCGAAACATCTTCAAAGAAAAACAAGGAAGCCCAGTTGCCTCTTGAAAAAACACATTTGAAACAACCATGACCTGGATGACTGAGAATCTCTATAAACATTATGCTTTATTCTTCCTTGCAAATAAAGATTCTAATCTAGTTGAGCCATACCTATAAGTCTTTTATCAGTTAAGCCAATTATTGATTTGAAAAGATGGGAAAGCCTAAGATGATTTCTGTGTTCCTCAGGGTGTAGCTCTTGATATATATGATTTCTAGCTCTTCACTGCCATGTAGCCTCCATTAGCTAATTATGTAAGCAAATCTTTGTGCTGAGAGTTAAAGAACTGGGGAATCAAAACTTCTGAGTTTGACATGAAATTTTTATAGTCAGTCTATGTGGAACCAGTGGTAATCATAAAATATCCCATGACATAAAAGCAAGCTTGCATGCTTGTGTGTCAAGTATAGATGTGTGTAAAAAGGTATGGGAGAATATTATATGTAAAAAGGTGTCCAAATCCCAGCCCACAGAGCTGTCTTAGAAGAGTACTGTCAACAGTATCAGTAAGTTAATAAGAGCAGTATTATTATTTTATCTATTGCCAACTTGGCAACAGAATATAGCAACTCATACAGGATGCTACCAAGCAGTAGGGATGGCAGTACGCCAGCAGCAATCCCAATTGTTTTCTTAATCCCAGCTTCCATGATACTATTCACATTTAATTATTTTCGAAGCTGAGTCTCTGAAAGCCTGTAGTGACTCAAAGATTAAAATGACTTCCCTTTCTCCCTTGCACAGACTCAGCTGGTTCAGAACTCCAAACCTGAAAGGCACATTTCCAAGAGGAGACTCCTCTGGGCCCAAAGAAATACAGTAAGGTATTCTAGGTTAGCATGCTGCCCTCATTAGATCATGGATGAGGGCAATATTGTCACACACCAATCTGGCACTAAAAGACAACAGCAGAAATAGAAAATCATTAAGGATCCAACTGCTAGCATTGAGGATGGAAGCCATGTGCTGGAGAGGGGAACTTCCCTTAAATTTATTTATTTTTTAAAGACAATTTATATGGCTGTCCAACTTACTTTAGATGACTCCAGGAGGCTTACCATATCTGTCTCTGCACATCACCATTGGAATGGTCAGGCCTGCTCCCTTATTCCAATCTCTCTCACCTCTTAAACATTCAGCAACTCAATTCCCTCCCAATGATCTCTTGTCCAACATGGAACCCTGATACTCCAACAAAGCCTGCGATGAATTCAATTAATTTACAGGGTGTCCAATCCCAACACTGTTAATAAGTAAACACATCTGTCCTAAATATTTACAGCATGAGTGAAAACTTCATACAAGTACTCCTTATTTAACACCCACTCAATCAGTGATTGTCTAAAGTTATGACAGTACTAAATATGTAAGGGGTACTTATGATTGGTCCCTGAGGCCATAAGATTTTAATTCTGATGCTTAGCAATCAGAATGCAATTACACATCACAGCATCTCAATAGTCACAATTACTATTGGCAACCTTCAATGCCAGGTTCCAACACCTAGGCAGGAAAAACCAAAGATACAAGTACAGATTAGGCGAAACCTGGCTCAAAACAGTAACTGTGAGAGGGACCTTGGAGTCCTAGTGAACAATCACTTGGACATCAGTCATCAGTGTGCATAGGAGCCAAGAAAACTAATACAATCCTTGGTTGTATAAACAGAGGCATAGAATCAAAATCACATGAAGTATTAGTACAACTTTATAAATCGTTAGTAAGACCACACCTGGAATACTGCATCCAGTTTTGGTCAACACATTATAAAAAAGATGTTGAGACTTCAGAAAAAGTGCAAAGAAGAGCAACTAAGATGATTAAGACAAAAATTATGAAGAATGATTACAGGATTGAGTATGCTAGTCTAGAGAAAAGAAGGACTAGGGGGGACATGATAGCAGTATTCCAGTATTTGAAGGGCTGCTACTTATTTTCACCTTATTTTCCAAAGCACAGAAGGCAAGAAAAGAAACAACAAGAGAAGCAACTTGGAATTAAAGAGAAACAGTGAGGATAATTAACCAATGGAATATTGCCGTCAGAATTTGTAGATGCTTCATCACTGGAGGTTTTAAGAAAAGACTGGACAATCACCTGTGTGAAATGGTATAGGGTCTCCGGTTTGAGCAGAGAGTTGGACATGAAGACCTCCAAGGTCCCTTCCAGCTCTATTCTGATTGATTGAACAAAGAGTCAATGAGGAAACCGGAAGAAAATTGGAAATAGCAATGATTTGACAGGAAATGCAGTGATGATTGTATTTGAATTTGCTTAACAAGGGCAAATGGTATTGCTGGAACTGCTATCATAACTTAGCAGTTACGTGATATTGTGTTTATGCCAGTATTGATTAGCAAACAGAATCTCTGTCCTAATTAATGTCAGTAAGAAAACATTATCTATATTCTGAGGGAAGGATCTCAGACAAAATGAATATGAGGAGTATCTTACATAAAATGCACTGAGTTTAGGCCACATATTTAAAAAGGAAAAAAGACAACAAATATTAAAATGCATTATTAAATAACAAATGAAATATATTAGTAATTATTAAAATTAAATTAAAATATTATGCATCTTTACAGAAGCAGAAATTTGCTGCTTATTGTAAAGCAGTAAAAGATTGTTTAGTCATGAGTTCTTGCAGCAAGAGAAAATGAAGCAGATGCATTTTGATCTTCCCCATTTAACTTGCATATTGTTGCATACCTCAGCCACTATGTTGTTCTGTGTTCAAACACATTGCATTGACATGCATTCTCTGGGTCTCCATGTGGTTACCCTAACCAATATCTAGAATCATCACCAGTGCCATCATAGCTGCACATGAGATTTAGTCTTACAAAAATACTGCCTCAACCTGCAGAAAGAAATCCTGCAAAGCAGGACAATGGTAGAAAGCTGGGGCCTTCTGGGACAAAAAAAGAGCAGAGAAGCAAGCAATGCTTCATGGTGAGTTAATCTAGGCTATACAAAAGAATTCAGCAGCCTGCATGCAGCTCTTGCATCAATGTTTGAGACCCCTGCTATAGGAATCTTAAAACTAGAATCTTAAACTGATGCATATATAGTGCATCATAATTAATTCAAGATAACAAATTATGAACTAGCTGACAAATTATCAACTGGAAACTTTGGAACACAAGTACACATTTATTAATATTTGGAATATTGTTAATGAATGTATTATTCTGGTTTCCGCATAATGTTTAAAAATCATTCAATATCAAATTTCAAACACTTAATTTTAAAAAGTTCTAAAGAGAATTTTGTTTTTCATTCCCAATGAAGAGTCAATAACTTTCTTTTCATTAAACCATCTTGACAATGAAAAACTGATAGGAGAGAAAATACAAAAACTATCCTATTTCTAAAACTTATATTACAAATGAAATAAATTCATCCTAATAAATTTTCTATATTGCTACACCTGTACACCAAGTATGTGTAACAATCAAAAGCATGATAAACAGCTGGTTAGCCATTTTTTATAAAATTAAACAAGTCTTTTTTCAAAGTACATAATTTGTAACTCCTTCAGGTCCGTTGCACATATTGCTAAAATATAGTTTCTGATGGTACAAATACCAGGACTTTTTTATCCAAGTAAAATGTATACATGTTACTAAACATTAATTCTTATCTGAAGATTGGGGTTGAAATGCATACTGTTTCATGGGATTCTATTAACTGTTAGACAGTTAATATGTACGGTATATCTGAGATTAATTATTGGCATTTGTAGATTCTGGAGATTGAAGAAATTCATAGGGGTCATGGACCATATCTTGCTGTTCTCCTATACTTAGGTGAGATGGACTTCCTGTGTAAAACATGGACAGAAAATAATTAAATTAATATTAATTATGAGACATTTTGAAAATTTCACTTTTCAAATGTCTTATCACAATTTTTAAATGAATATGATCCAGATTATAATGCCAATTTTATTAATGGTCAAAAATGTTGCCAAATTTAACAGTGCAGAGAAGGCTACAGACTGGAATATTTTTTATTGTTTGCTCTTTGGAATGCCAAGAAAGTTCTTTTTTAAAAGCTCTGTAAATCTTACTATTCATATTACATTCTAGGTTTTCTATATTTCAGATTCCAAAATAGTGATTTTTGTTGGTCTTACTGTTGAAAGTTAAAGAAAGCTCTGAGAGCTACAAAAATTATTACAGATAGTTAAAGAACATCTTAAGTACTGCTATGAAAAAAACCACATTTTGTGAGAATATAATCACCCCAATTGGTTTAGAATTGAACACTGACTGAACGGGTCCTGTGGAATTGACTGGGGAGGGGGTTTGCCATATTTATCTAGAAGAGTTTTAGCATGTGAATCTTGAGAAAGTGGACAAGGTCCTTGGTAATGTTAGTGTTACCACTTCCTGCTATTTCTTGGCCAAGGAATCCCAGGAGTTAGCTACTGGCTGGATGCAAATGGTGAATTCACCTTCGAGTTAAAGGCTATCCCACCAGTCTTAAAGAAAGCAATGGTACTGTATGTCTCCTGTTCACTGTTGCATCATATCCTTTTGGGAGAAAGTGATGATATGGTAATGTTAGAGCGCTCTGAAGGAAGTGACTTATCAGGATCCTTTTCAGACTGATCTGGGTTCAGCAGAGAGACTGTGTTTGTGCATAGTGAGAATGGGATGGGGCATTGTGACCCTATTGGTTCTGCCTGATTTCAATGACATTCAATAAAATCAATCATAGCATCCTTTCTGGACAATATGATAATCTTCAAGGATTGGGAATGATAGCTATTATCTCTGTTTCTCGCCCTTCCTCTAGAGCTGATTTCACTTGGTATTGGTAGGTGAAGAGATATCTAATCCAAGACCCTTACTATATAAAATCCCACCTAGCTTCATCCTCTCCCCATTCCTATTTAACATCAACATGAGGCTATTAGATAAGGCTTTCCATATGCATGGGATCAGGAATCATCAGTATACAAACAATATCCAAGATTATATTGAACATAAATTAGTTTATGGCAGAATCACATTTCAAGTAGGACTGATACAGTTTGGGAATCCTCCTTAGATTCAACAAACAGGTGGCAGCCATGGCCCAGAAGGGCTTTTGCATAAATCTGTCCAGAGTAACATTGAACTGTGAAATGGGAAGCATAGAAACTTAATACATTAATAAATCCATTTGAGGAGCTAGTTGCATTATTTTCTTGAACAGGAGAATATTCTTACTCATGCTGTGGTGTATCTTCTCTTTGGATTATTGCAATCTACTCTATATAAAGTCAATTACAGGGATGGTCAACTACCAACTATATGGAAGCTGTGATTGGTCCAGAATGCGATCAAATGATTGTTTCTGGGTATTTCCTCTTTTTCCCAAGTAACACCTCTGCTCTGCAAATTGCATTGGTTACGTCATAATCTGATACAATTCAAGGTGTTATCATTTATAGAGCTCCACATTGCTTAGGATTTAATTACCTGTATCTTTTACTGTATCAATTACTATATTTCTTCTGCTGTCTCTGCCCAACCAGAGTTGATGAACACCAAGTCAGGCCGTAAAACACTACTATCCCGTCGAAAAGTGCAACTTTTCCATTACTCTGTGGAATACAGTATTCCTGAGCCTTTTTCCAGGGCATTCATAAAGCTGTGAAAACTTAGTTGTTCCAGAAGACTTTGCATTAGGATACATGACCTACTCTCTGATAATTAAATCTTGATTGCTATAATTGTTTAATGTTGGTTATTCTCCATAATGCATGACTATGCATTACTTTTGTTTTGTTTTAGAATTTTATGATTATTTTAATCTTAATGTGTAATCCACCTAGAGTTACTCTGGTAATTGAAGTGATACTTAGACACTTGCATCTAGAATTATTGACTTTAAACAAGGTTAAATATTAGGTAAGTAGTTTTAATATAATAAACCATAAGCATTTATAAGTTATTGCAGTCTAGATAATATAGTAAACTGTTTATTTAAGGAAGAAACAAATTAGATATATGTAGCATTAGAGAACTAATTCATAATGCAATTTTACCAAGACATGATTTCTGAGATGCATTCATGAATTTTGGCTCCGCAAATATAATTTTTAAGACATGTCTACATACTACAGCTTTCCTCTCATCTGCAGAATATAGTGAGGTTAGATAACTTTGGGTTTTTCTGATCTGGTATTTTTTCCTGAGATAAGCTTTCAGTGGCAATTGTGATAATGTAATAGCAGTGCTATAATCTAGCCAGTTTCTACTGACAGGTTTTAAGTATGTCCCTTATTTCAACTTTCTTCATGGCCATTTTGGTTTGTGCTGCTGGTCTGATATGACATGATTGTTATAGAAAATGGCAAACCAGGATTTCTCCAGTCAGACGTATAACAATAAATGTCCTGATTGGCAGATGACTATGCTGTTTCTACATGGGTCTGATTGAAAGATGCCTGGAGAAGTCCTGGTCTACCATTTCAATTTTATACAAATAAATGCTCTCAGAGATTTAGCAGGCAGGTCACATTAAGATCACTAGCATTTCTTCTGTTGAAAGGTTCTGCCTCATAATTAAATTCACCACTCCATTCATCTAACATATGTTTATTTTTTCCTATTAAGAATGAGCCAGTAATCATTAGAAGCAGAAACTTTTCATTAGCATTCTGGAATGATGGAATAAACTATCTGTGAATAATAAACTCCAAGATTAATAAACTCTTTTATTGTAAAATATAACTTTTATAATATATTTTATATTTCTCTATATTACTTACTATATAACCAATAATTTTGTTTGAATGTTTATAAATTTAAAATGTCTATTTGGAACTATGAGACGGCCATCTCAATTAATTTGGTAAAATAATATTAAATCTATATTTTAAATAAAAATACATAATAATTCTGCATTTTGGTCAAATTTATCAATTTGTATTTATTTAGAATCCAGTGTTTATATTCTGCCTTTTGAAATATTTATAATATACATTTATGATAAAAAAAATCTATGAGATAAAGAAGGTGGGAATGAGAAGGAAAAATTAGTCTACTAGATGCTAATGTTAAAAAGACAAAGAAACCAGCTTCACTTACACAACATGAATATACTTGATACCCTCATAATCTTACAAACAACTTTTAATGAAAATAAAGAGTTTGGTAATTATACTGTTAAACACATTTACCTAGGTGATGCTGTTCCCTTTCAGAAGCATTAGAGAGGGAACTAAGGTTGGAGGAAGGCCTGGATCCTATTCTGTCAGTCTGTACCTCATGAAGGTCCTGTAATAATTTAGTTGTTTCATCCAAGTGTAAATGATTGTCATCATGATCAACTTCTTTCTTTACTTTACCTGTCAACAACATTAGATTATTGAGTACAAAAATGAATTTGAGATGGTTTATGAAGTTAAAATCAAAAAGATTTGTTACTCCATCAGTCTTATATAAAGGTAGATAAAACTAATATATGCTGAATAAAATGTGAAAATGAGGGTAATAGGGACTAAGTTGTATAGATACGTCCCTGCGTACTGACCCAGCTTCTTATACTTCCTGATTTTTTAAAAACAATTATTTTAAACAGAACATTTCTGATTTCCTTATTTATACACAATTTGAATCCAATTTTCCAGATAGTTATGATCCACTTAATTATTTACTTATTTAACTAAACTGCTGGAGAGACTATAAGAAAGTATTTATCAAATGTCTAAATGAGATCAAGATATATTATGTTCCACATTCTATTATTGAAATTATCCAACAAAAAAATTGAAATGAAATTGCTTTAATGTGACTTTTATTCATAAAGATATGCTGATCACTTTACCATTGTCAACATATCAATCTCTCCATGATGCCTTTAAGGTATCAGTTTCAAGTTCCTCCTTACATGAACTAGTACATCACCATTTGAATCTTTTAATGACTACATAAAATTGGGAATCAGCAACTTGGTACCTGTGATCACCATAATACAAATACATGTGATGACCTGTTGATGGTCTAAGTAGAATCCCAAATTATTTTTTAAAAAATTAAAATGTTTCAAACCTCTTAATTTCACAAAGATGCTTCCAGATGAAATCCTATCAGATACTATATTGTGTAGCTGCTAAAAATACAAGATTTTCCTTAATATGTTTTTCTATCTTATGACTTGATTTACACATTCTTTTCTGAAAAAAGGAGCTGTTACAGCTGAGCATTCTTCTCAGCAGTTTAGACGGAATAAATTGAGTAAGCATATATTAGCACTGGGAGCACAGTCATAGGCTGCTCGAATTACCAATTTAAACAGCATAGACGAGTATTGGTTTAGATAACTGACAACCAAACTGAAGCTATGAGCATCTGTAGAAGATGCTGTTTTTCTCAAAATGCTTCATCCCTTTCATTAATTTACACACACGCATACACACACTAACTATTATGTTATAACCACAAAGAGCATATGCAAATATTACAGTTTTTATAATTCTGTCTCCCTCCAGGTGCTGCCATCTAGATTTTCATAGCAAAGCATTAAAAGGAGTATATATTATAAAGTTTATGTCAAAACCCAGCAATTCCCAAGCATTTTAATGGACTAATGGAACAGATAATATATATAGCACTGTATTTTTACCTTCGGTGTTAAACTACTGCATGAGAACACCTACCTAATGAACTCAACATGGATATATCAAGTGACATATCTGAATAAGTTTTCATAGATAAAAAGTCCAAAACAGAACTATTATTATCTCCAATGGATTCTCCAATCTGGAAAAAAGAAAGAAAATTATATCTATGCAAAGGATTAATTAGTTATAATAAGCATTACTGTGCTGAAAGCTGCTATAAATTCAATATTTAGTAAATGTAAATAGTTTCAACAACATAAATGTTTCATTATTTCTACATAGCAGTCAAATGTGAAAAAATATTTACTATGCAAATATGCAATTATTTTTTGTTTGCATATCTAGGGCTAAAAATTCAGGAAAGTGCTATTTGGAACAACTTTTTTATTTAGGAACAAATTTTAAATTTGCAGAATCATTTTGAAACGTAAGTTTGTTCAACACAACTCCTAACCAAAAGCTGTATGAATCACCCTATTTTATTTATACAACCTACATTACACCAATGAAGTTACAATTCACATTTTCTGACATACATTTTTGCCTTTTTGTTCCTTAACCATAACTTCTAGCATTGAGTCATCAACTTGACAAGATCAAACTACTTTCATTCAGATCTACATTTTCTGTTACATTCACCTCAGAACTCTTGGATAACACTGATAGGCCATGCATTGATTACCCCTGACCATCCGTGCTTTGGTCAATCAAGGTGTCCACAAAATTTTAATAGACACAGATATAATTATCATCTTTGCTGGGCCTTGTCACATGTAACATCCCTTGTACATATAAATCATACGAAACTGATTAGTTTGAGCTTCTGGATAGTATACTTAAGTGCAAAAAAGCTCAGTTTTATTCCAAGTCTATTTGAACTATTATGTGCAAGCTAATTTATGTTGCTAAGTGACAACTTTGTTAAGTGAATTTTGTCCCACTTTACAACTTTTCTTGCCACATTTGCTAAGTGAATCAAAGCAGTTGTTAAATTAGTAACACGGTTGTTAAAGGAAACTGGCTTCCCCATTGACTTTGCTTGTCAGAAGGTCCCAAAAGGTGATTTACATGACCCAGGGACACTGCAACTATCATAAATATGAACCAGTTGTCAAGCATCCGAATGTAAATCAGATGACCATGGGGATGCTGCAATGGTCATAAGTGTGAGAAATGGTCTTAAATTACTTTTTTCAGTTCCATTGTAACTTCAAACAGTCACTAAATGAACAGTTGTAAGTCAAGGACTGCCTGTATTCTTGACCTGGATCATCTGCTGACCTATGGCCTGTGTGTGTGTGTGTGTGTGTGTGTGTGTGTGTGTGTGTGTGAGAGAGAGAGAGAGAGAGAGGGGCGGGGGAGGGAGGGAGGGAAAGGGAGAGTGACAAAGAATAAGGCCTGTAATCTTAAAATAAAAAAGAAAAGGAAAATTAAAAAGGAGGTAGAAAATGCTGAGAACCAACTATTTTAGATAATAAGTTAAGAAAGAATTAAACTTAAAAAGAAATATTACCATATTTTGCTTGGAGTCATCTGGGCAAGTATTACATAACTTATGTTCTTCTTTTATGAGGACTGACGGAACCTAAAAACATCACGTTTAAAGCTAATTTATACCTCATAATCATTTTCCTTATGGAACCATCATTTTTGCAACACTAGAGTTACAGCAAGAAAATAGTATGTCTTTTATTTAAGGGATTCCAAATAATTTAGTAGGAAAAATCATGGAAAAAGTACATATATTTTTTTCTCCTGAAATAAACGTAAAATTTAAAAGTGTTATAAAGATCAGGAATACTGGAGTAAGCAATTTTACAATAATACAACTATTATCTTCATTTATTATATAAATGAAATCTTTCTTTTATATTTTCAGAACCATTTAAGTAAAGAAACAGTATTTTTTTTACAAGGAAAAGTTTAGAGATGCAATGTAACTTACTTTGAGATCATCTGGTGGCTTCATTGGAATGTTTCTTCTCTGAAAATTATAATAGTAAAAATAAATTAAAAAATAATATTGCTGTTTTTCTGATACAGTTAGTCCTTACTGAACAACTAATTGGGGCTGGAATTTTCATCACTAAGCAAAAAAGTTAGGGGAAACATAATGTTCCTCTTAGTGACAGTTCTGGTCATCTTAGTTGCAGTAGTTAGGCAAAGACCTCATGTTTCTCTTGCCCTGTGTGAGCAGCTGGATTGGACCTGCTGCCTCCTCTCCAGTTGGGCCTGGCAAGCTCCATTCAGCAAGCAAGGCTGCATAGTACTGCCGATACAATGCTTTCCTCCACTTAACTTCTCTTCATTTCTTCCCGTTTCCACCCTTTTGTTCACCTCGCACACCTACCCCTGCCATCCTCTTTTAACCTCCACTGTCTTCCTCCCTTCTTTGCTGGTCCAGGATCCAGGTGCTAGCTGAGGGTGTGATTCTAGGACATGTTCAGGAAGAACAACAAGGTAGCGGACTCTCATATATCAAAGGGAGCTTGCTGGGCCATCAAAGAAGGAAAGAGGGATGGAGTTGGTAAAGGAGCCATGATGGTGGTACAAGTGATAGCACTGTATAAGTCTGATAATTGCCCAGGGAATTGTTGGCCCTACTGCTACCTTTGCTGGCTCTGTCCTGCTGCCTCTTCCTAATTGGGCCTGGGAAGCTCCTTTTGGCAGACAAGGCTTCGCCGTCTTGCTGCACTCCCTGTGCACATATCCCAGGGCTGCACCCTCGCCGAACACTGGATTTTGGGCCAACATCGAGAGAAAGAAATAAAGGGGGGTGGCAGTGAAGTGCAGAGTGGCCAAAAGGATAAAGATGGGAGGAGACAGTTGGATAGGGGAAATTGAAAAATTGACCCTGCAGTCATAAATGCAGGCCAATTGCCAAGCACCTAAATTTTTATTTATGACTGGAGTGGTACTGAATGGCCAAAACTTCAAGAACTGATTCTTCAGTGCTGTCATAACTCTGAATGATTGCTGAATGAATGGTTAAGCAAGGACTATCTGTAATTTACAATAATTTGATTCAGTAAGAAAATTAAATTTCTTAGAAGCAGTATTTGAAATATATTGAAATTGAACATGTCTTGTAGGATCCAAACTGGATCAGTCACTGGGACCAGAGGTTTAATCTGCCAAGGTTTTGGGCTCGTGCTGGAGCTCATCCTGCAGGATGGACCAACATGAGCCTGAAAGTTCAGAAGTCGAAACTTCTGGTCCTCATGACCAACCCAGATTGGATCTTGCAACATTATCCTGGGATACCTATATTTGCCTTAATTCGTAAAAATATCTTAATTAACCTTATCTTCTACTAATAGACATGTATGATAATGGTTGTAGCATTTTAGTACTAATTTATTTTCAATGTACTTTCAATTATTATTTTCAAAATACACGAATTTCATTAAAATTATATTTCATTTTTATTTTATATTTTGTTTTTCTCAATTCAGATCTTCAAAGAATTATAGCCATATATAGATGTATAGATGTAAATCTACAAAAGACCTGTGATCTTAGATATATGCAAAGCTTTTTTCCAACAACTGGAAATTTGATTATTTTAGGAATTATTTTTTAATTTATCCTTTAAAATTTCATGATGAATCAACTATATTGTCTCTTCCTTTATTCAAAAATATATTCCAATTTGCAGCAGTGATCTCCATTATTATCTCTGATAAAGGACTCTCTATAAACATTTACAGCAAGCAAGCAGACTTTTATTTCTAAAATAGGTTGCCTTTCAATATGTGCATAATCTATTGGTATGCTTAAATTTTATTTTCAATCTTTCTTTTCGGCTCCTGGAAGAGAACTGGGTTTTATAATAAACTGAGGCTGTTCTGTGCTGATAGGGCTGTTATATTTTGTCAATAAAAGAGTTTTCACCCTTTTGAATTTCAGATTTTGTGTTGTACCTGTTATTCTAAAACTAGTTAGAATGAAGAATGAAACAAGGCGTGGAACATTCTCTTTCTTATTTAATTTATTCACAAAAACACACACCCCTTATATCTTTACTATTTTACAAATAACTCAAGGCAGGAAATATATCCAGTACACCTTACTCCTCCTATTTTTCCCACAACATAATGAAGTGGGTTGGGTTGAGAGAGTGACTGCCCAAGGAAACCCAGCTGGCTTTCATGGCTAAGGAAGGACTTGAAATCATGGGCTCTTGCTTTCTAGCTGGCTGCCTAACCACTAGACCAAACCACTAGTGATTCCTTGCTTCTTAGAACATAGAATAATAGAGTTGGAAGGGACCTTGGAGGTCTTCAAGTCCAACCTTCTGCTCCAGTAGGAGACCCTATACCATTTGAGATAAATGATTGTCCAGCCTCTTTTTGAAAGCCTCCAAGTGATGGAGAACCTACAACTTCTGAAGGCAAGTTATTGCATTGGTTTTTTAAAAAAATATTTTAACAAACAAAAACAAAAACATAAATTCAAAATTACAAAATATATTTTTTTTTAATTTTTTTTTTTTTTTTAAATCCATTGTTTCTCATCTTGCCTTTTGATGCTTTGGAAAATAATTTGACTGCCGCATTCTTGTAGGAGCCTCTCAAATATTGGAAGACTGCTATCATGTTTCCCCTAGTCCTTCTTTTCATTAGACTAGACAGACCCAATTCCTATAGTAGTTCTTCATATGTTTTAGCCTCCAACCCCTAATCATTTTTTGCTCTTCTCTGCATTCTTTCCAGAGGCTCAATATCTTCGTGATTATGGTGATCAGAACTGGATGCAGTATTCCAAGTGTGGTCTTACTAAGGTTTTGTAAAGCAGTACTAGAACTTTATGTGATCTTGATTCTATCCCTCTATTAATACAGAGTAGAATTGCATTGATTTTATTACATTAATTAGTTTGATTTTTTAATTAGTTTACTGTTTTTTAAATGTAAGCCGCCTGGAGTCGCCATGGGCGAATAGGTGGCAATATAAATCTAATAAATAAATGAATAAATAAATTGGCTGCTTTGTCTACTGCAGCATACTGTCGGCTCATATTTAAGTGATTGTCCACTAGGACAATCTCACGTTTACTGGCATTAAGCCAAGTTTCACCTAGCCTGCACCTATACAGTTGGTTTTTCTTGCCTAAGCGTAGAACCTTACTTTTATCTATACTGAATTCCATTTTTTTAGACAAGCCCCAGTGTTCAAGTCTGTCAAGGTCTTTTTGGAACTTGAGCTTGTCTTCTGATGTGTTGGCTATTCCTGCCAGCTTAGTGTCATCTGTATTTGATGAGTTTCCCATCTATTCTTTCTTCTAGATCATTTATGAAGATATTGTAGAGTACTGGATCCAAAATTGACTCTTGAGATACCCCTTTGCTTACTTCCCTCCATGCAGATGTAGTTCTCCTGAGGACTACACACTGAATATGATTTGTTAGCCAGTTACAGACCCATCTGGTGGTGGTACTGTCTATCCCACATTTTTCTAGCTTGACAAGAAGTAGATTGTGCTCAACTTTATCAAATGCTTTCCTAAATATAAGTTACTATGTCCACAGCATTTTACTGGTGCATTAATTTAGTTACTTTGATAAAAAATGAAATAAGGTTTGTTTGGCATGATCTGTTTTTGATGAACTCATGTTGGCTACTGGTTATAACTTTGTTTGCTTGTAGGCATTCAGAGATTTGTTGTTTGATTATTTTTCCAAGATCTTCCCAGGTATTGATGTCAGGCTAATTGACTTGTAATTTCCTGGACCTGTTTTTTTTCCCCCCTTTTTAAAGGAATCAGAACAATACTAAGTAATTAAGTTTCTGTTTTTTATTTTTCCTTTTATTTAAATTTATGAACAATTTTATCCCACTCTTCAATGGAAAATATTTCTACTTAAACAAAAGATATAAAGAGTATCAAGTTATCCCTTAGTCAATGAGACAATTCTGAGCATCATGGACCAGAAATACGTTCTTTTCTCAAAGGGATTAGTTCTATGAGCATATTGGTAAAAATTAATTTACTGATTTATGGATATAAGCCAGTAGTTTATGGATATAAAAAGTATGCATACCCTTGTTAAAATGCCAGGCTTCTGATATGTGAAATATTTTTTAAATGTAACATAAGTTGGACATTTCCACTGAAAAACAAACGGAAATCTTTTATGGGGAAAAACAATAAAAATGTTCAGTAACGTGGCTACATAAATCTGCACACTCTCTTTAGGATTAACAAATCTGATGTTAAATAGTCAGTATACACCTGCCATAAGTAATGTGACTCTGAACAAGCCCATGTAATGTTCAGCTGCTCTACTAGGAATTTTCTTATATTAACTCAGTTGTCTCTTATAGCAAAAACCATGGAGTGCAAAGAGTTTAGAAAGCATCAATGGGATCTCATTGTTGGAAGATATTAATCAGGAGAAGAGTACAAAAACATTTGCAAGGCATTGCATATAGCATGGAACCCAGACAAAATAGTCATTGATGAGAAAATATAGCACAACAGTGACATTATCAAGAACTGGATGTCCTTCCAAAATTGATGAAAAAACAAGAGAAAAACTGGTCCAAGAAACTGCCAAGAGACCTACAGCAACAATAAAGGAGCTGCAGGAATTTCTGGAAAATAGCGGTTGTGTCTCCCATATTCTTCGTATGTCTGGGCTGTAAAGTAGAGTAGCAAGACAGAAGCTTTTTCTTACAAAGAAAAACATCCTAGCCCAGCTACATTTCATAAAAACCTACATCAAGTATGACAAAAGCATATCGGGAATGATGTTATGGTCTGATGAGACCAGAGTTGAACTTTTTGGCTATAATTCCAAAAAATATGTTTGGCTCAAAAACAACACTGCACATCACCAAATGTACACCATACCCACAGTGAAGCACAATAGTGGCAGCATTATGCTTTGAGGTTGCTTTTCTTCAGGGGCTTTAGTCAAGATGAAGGAATTATGAATATCAGTTAATTTTGGCCCAAAACTTTCAGGCCTCTGATAATACTGACAATGTAGAGAATTTCATCTTTCAATATTGCAACAACCAAAGCACACCTCCAAATCAACCAAAGAATGGCTTCACCAGTTCTTCAGTTTTGAAATGGCCCAGCCAGAGCTTGGAATTGAATCCAACTGAAAATCTGTGGGGTGAACTGAAGAGGGCTGTGCACAGGAGATGCCCTCATAATATGACAGATTTGGAGCACTTTTGCAAGAAAGAGTGGGCAAAGATTCCCAAGTCAAGATGTACCACGCATAGAAGTTCCTACCCCAAAAGGCTGAATACTGTCATAAAATCAGAGAAGTATTAGTTTAAGGGTATGCACACTTATATGCAATCACATCATTGTAGGCTTTCCTCCCTGAAAATTTCAGTTTGTTTTTCAAATGAAATGTACAATTTATGTTATATTTATATGTTATTGTTATTAATATATTAATATGTGATTAATATATGTTATTGGGTTTGGCTAGTGTAGTGAAAAGGAGGACTAGGGGTGACATGATAGCAGTGTTCCAATATTTGAGGGGCTATCACAAAGAAGAGGAAGTCAACCTATTTACCAAAGTATTGGAAGGCAAGACAAGAAATAATGGATGGAAACTAATCAAGGAGAAAAGCAACCTAGAATGAAGGAGAAATTTTTTAACAGTGAGAACCAGTGGAATGGCTTCCTTTCAGAAGTTGTGGATGCTCCATTACTGGAGGCTTTTAAGAAAAGACTGGACAGCCACTTGTCTCTGGAATGGTATAAGGTCTCCTGCTTGAGCAGAGGGTTGGACTAGAAGACCACCACTCTTTTATTCTGTTCTATTAAAAGTAGGAAAAATTCTGAAGTGATTTATCTTGGTCTGATTTTTTTTTTTACATCTCAAAAACCTGACATTTTAACATGGATGCTGTTATATTACTGTATATATCTTCTATGTCCTGCATAGTACAGTCTAAAAATTTATCTATGCACATTATTTTTTAAAAAAGGAACTACCTTTGTGATGAAAATAATACTTTTTATGACTATGTCAAATAAAATATTTCTGAGTTTTAAAAAGTGTAATTTGTTTCAATAAAAAATCTGGTTTTAAGAATAATTTCAACTATAAACTATTGAACCTCAACAACTTCAAGTCTATATTCTAAAGTAGGCTTTGAAAGAAAAGTCTGGTGAGCACACTTACCTGTTTTAGTTGATAAATAGACTTGGAATGATCTCCACCAGTGATCTGATCGAGCAAATCATCTACTATTTTTTTACTATAGCTTCCAGAATCTTTCACAAATTCTTGAAGACTAAAAGAAATTCCAGTGTAAAACAAATATCAGATGCATTCATATTTTACAGATGCCCATAACATCGATACTGTAGGTGGGAGGGGCAGATATGGCGGGAGCAGGGGGCCACATCATCCTGCGGGAGTGCGTCCTTGCTGTTTACAAGCGGTGGCGCGCTCCGACCCTCAAAACTCTTCTCGTTCCCCTGGTTGTACGGAACCTCGGGCCCCAGGCCTTCGGCTGATGCTGTGCAACGCCAGGTCCGTGGTAAATAAAGCCCCCCTCATTTGTGATCTTATTCAGGAGGGGGGTGCGGACCTGGCGGGTATTATGGAGACCTGGTTGGGCCAGGAAGGGGGAGCCCCCCTTGTTGATATGTGCCCACCAGGTTTCCGTACTTTCCATCAGCCAAGGTCTCAGGGGAGGGGCAGAGGGGTGGTGGTTGTTATTAACGAAGATCTTGGACCGAGGGAGGCCACTGTTCCTCAGACGGCTGGATGTGAGTCCCTCCTTGTGAAGTGGGGTCATAGGGTGCAGTTGGGCTTGCTGGTCACGTACCTGGCTCCCTGCCACGTGGCAGCAGCCCTACCAGAGCTGCTTGATGTTATAGCCGCGGTGGCTGTTGACACCCCCAGGCTTATGGTCATGGGGGATTTTAACCTGTCATCAGTTGGCGAGACATCTGAGGTGGCTCGGGAGTTCATGGCTTCCATGACGGCTATGGACCTGACCCAGTTAATTTATGGCTCTACTCACATGGGGGGACACACACTGGACCTTGTTTTTGTCTCTGGACAGTGGTTGAGTGATCTCGAGATAGGGGATATAGTGATTGAACCTTTGTCATGGTCAGATCACTCCCTCCTTCGCCTGGACCTTCGAACCGCCACACCCCGCCGCAGGGAGGCGGAACCGACCAGGTGGTTCCGCCCCAGGCGCCTGATGGATCCTGAGAGATTCCAGATGGAGCTTGGGCCATTTCCTGAGGTTCTGGCACACGACTTGGCTGAGAACTTAGTATCCGCCTGGGATAGGGCGGCGGCTGAGGCTTTAGACCGAGTCGTGCCTTTGCGGCCTCTGACCCGGCGCCGGTCTCACTTGGCTCCTTGGTATACTGAGGAGCTGAGGGAGATGAAGCGCCGGAAAAGACACCTAGAGAGCAGTTGGAGGGCTAGTCGTTCTGAATCCGACCGAACACTGGTAAGATCTCATATTAAGAATTACCTAGTGGCGATAAGAGTAGAGAAGAGTAACTACTTTTCTACTCTTATTGCGTCATCAGATAATCGCCCAGCCACCCTGTTTAGGGTGACCCGCTCTTTGCTCCATCAAGAGATGCGGGAAGACCCCTTGGAGGGTAGAGCTGAGGATTTTATACAATATCTGTATGACAAAATTGCTCAGATTCGGGAACAGCTGGACTCTGACTGGATTGATCCAGAGGAGATGACAAGGGCAGGTCCTGAGAATATTATTTGGGAAGAGTTTGATCCTGTGACTCCCGAAAGCGTGGACAGGATACTGAACAGACTAAATGCGACCACCATGTTTATTGGACCCGTGTCCCACCTGGTTGGTACTGGCCTCCCGGGAGGTGACGCGAGGCTGGCTCCAGGAGATTATAAATGCTTCTTTGAGTGAGGGTGTCTTTCCCACCGCCTTGAAAGAGGCGGTGGTGAGGCCCCTCCTCAAGAAGCCCTCCCTGGACCCAGCTGTGTTAGCAAATTATCATCCTGTCTCCAACCTTCGCTTTGTTGCGAAGGTTGTTGAGACTGTGGTTGCACGACAACTGCCTCAGTACCTGGATGAATCGAATTATCTAGATCCGTTCCAGTCGGGCTTCAGGCCCGGGTACAGCACAGAGACAGCATTGGTCGCATTGGTTGATGATCTCTGGAGGGCTCGGGACAGGGGTTGCTCCTCTGTCCTGGTCCTACTAGACCTCTCAGCGGCTTTTGATACCATCGATCATGATATCATGCTGCACCGGTTGGAAGGGTTGGGGGTGGGGGGCACTGTTCTACAGTGGTTCTCCTCCTTTCTCTCTGACCAGTCGCAGTCTGTGTTGACAGGGGGGCAGAGGTCAACCCCGAGGCCCCTTATATGTGGGGTGTCACAGGGATCGGTCCTCTCGCCCCTTCTATTCAACATTTATGTGAAGCCGCTGGGTGAGATCATCCGTGGTTTTGGGGTGAAGTACCATCAGTACGCTGATGACACCCAGCTGTACATCTCCACCCCAGACCACCCCAATGATGCCCTCGAGGTGATGTGCCTGGAGGCCGTATGGATCTGGATGGGGAGGAACAAACTCAGACTCAACCCATCCAAGACCGAGTGGCTGTGGTTTCCGTCGTCCCGATATAGTCAGTTGACGCCATCTCTGACTATTGGGGGCGAGTCACTGGCCCCCACAGATGGGGTTCACAACTTGGGCATCCTCCTGGACTCACGGCTGTCTTTAGAAGAGCATATGACGGCCGTAGCCAGGAGGACTTTTTATCAGGTTCGCCTGATTCGCCAGTTGCGTCCCTTTCTGGATCAGGACTCGTTACGCACGGTCACTCACGCCCTTGTCACCTCATGCCTGGATTACTGTAATGCTCTCTACATGGGGCTCCCCTTGAGAAGCACCCGGAGGCTCCAACTGGTCCAGAATGCGGCTGCGCGGGTGGTGATGGGAGCAATGTGGCGCTCTCATGTAACCCCCCCTCCTGCGCGAGCTGCACTGGCTCCCGGTGGTCTTCCGGGTGCGCTTCAAGGTTTTGGTTACTATCTTTAGAGCGCTCCATGGCTCAGGACCAGGGTACTTACGAGACCACCAATAGCCTCTCAACGACCAGTTCGCTCCCATAGAGAGGGACTCCTCAGGGTGCCGTCGGCCAAACAATGTCGACTGACGGCCCCCAGGGGGAGAGCCTTTTCTGTGGGGGCACCTACCATCTGGAACGGGCTTCCCCCGGAGTTACGAAACATCCAAGACTTACGCATTTTCCGCCGAGCCCTGAAAACATTTCTATTCCAACAAGCTGGTCTGGCCTAACTCTCCCTTTTTAAATTGGTTTTTTAAATTAGCTTTTAAATTGGGTTTAGACCTCTTTTAGATAAATGTGGATGTTTTAATCTTTGAGCCAAATTACTTAATCTGTTTTTAATAGTTTTTAACTTCTATATGTATTTGTATTTATTATGGCTGTTCACCGCCCTGAGTCCTTCGGGAGTAGGGCGGTTTACAAATATGAAAAATAAATAAATAAATAAATAAATAAATATTTTGCTTTTGATCATGTTTCTTAGATATTTTTAAAGCTGTTCTCTTTGTTATTTATACTAGCTTCTAAATGAATTGGGCTCCTTCATATGCCAAGGCCATGTATATTGCCAACACTGTTATAAGATTGAGGGTTCAATACTGCAATTCAACAATCTTACCTTAAAGCACACTGAATCCCAGTCTCATCTCCATATGCTGAATATAGCAGCTCCATTTCATCCATTTTCAGATCATGAAAGATAGAGTGGTTTTGCATTGAAACCACTGTATTAGCACTTGAAAGAAATGTAACTGAAAATATAAAAAATGTATTTGAAATATTCTGCAAAAAAAGAGCTGTAACTCTTGGGCTTTGCATATTTTACAGTAAATAACTGGCTATACCACTCACTGTAGTAGTGTGACTCCTAAAATTATAAATAAATTTGTGCAGCCTCTACAAAGAATAAAGAGTGTGTTCCAAGAATAAGACAGAAAACATATAAGACTTTTGAAGTTATTATCTAAGCATTATTCATAAACCATCCTACAAAGTGCTTTCTTTTATTTTAATGCCAAACTCTCTTTTTATCCCATATCTTTGCGACATTTTCAACGGAATCTTCTTGGAGCAGGACTTTGATCTTTCATTTCCTGCAAAGCTCAGGAAATCTAAAGACACTTATTATAAATCAAAGTCAAGGCAATAAACAGCAGCCAGCCTGGAGAAGCAGGAAAGTGGTGAATTCTCAACCAGGTTTAACCTATCTTCTTCCTATCCAGCAGTTTATATTAAGAATCCTGATCATACCAGGGTATTTTACATCCCCTGACCACATCTGGCCCTTTGGCTATCTCTGTTCAGCCCGTGGGAGGTCAATCATAAATTAAAAATCAAATGTAAATAAAGGTATGCCTACAATTTGTATAAATGCAATTTACACAAAATTGTTCTTCATTTTATAAAAGATTCAGGACACAGCTGAGGAGGAAGCTGACTCCCTCCTCTCTGTGGCAGCCCTTCAAATATTGGAAGACGGCTATCATGTCTCTCCTGGTCCTTCTCTTCACTAGACTAACCATGCCCTGTTCCTGTAACCGTTCTTCATATGTTTTAGTCTCCAGTCCCCTAATCACCCAGGTTGCTCTCCTCTGCACTTTTTCTAGAGTCTCAACATCTCTTCTTATAGTGTGGTGACCAAAACTGGATACAGTACTCTAAGTATGGTCTTACTAGGGCTTTATAGCGTGATATTAGTACCTCACTTGATCTTGATTGTATCTGTCCCTGATTACTGTTTGTTCACCAACATTCTCCTCTATTTAAAAAAATAAGGCCAAGTCTACTCTTTGTTCCTCCATTTTATTAGAAACAGCTTAATGGGCCTCCTACATATTCAGCTTCTCTGACATAAACCTTGTCATCTGATATATTTCTTGGCTTTTTCATCCTATCCAACCCACCTACTCTTCTTCATTCCCCACCCCGCAAGAGTCAAACAAATTAGAAACTTCATCTCTACTCTCTAATGGTCTAGTTAAGCAATATTGTAGCAAGAATTCTAACCACCATTGTTGGCCTTCCAGCAGCATTCTAAAGTCAGAACTCCTAAATTGTTCAGCTGTATGATGCCTATGGCAATAGCCTCAACTTTCCAACAAAGCAATCTCCCTGGAGATAGTTCTCTTGCTAGTCCTTTCCCTGTTCACCAGGGCCTCCAACTCCAATTTATACACTTTAAAGTTTTAAAGTCTTTTTTCCACACTATAGCTTCCAAACTTCATCTTGGACAGCTAGAAAAACTAATAATACAAATTAATAAATAATCAGCACACAATCTTTACAGATTCAGCCAGTTTCCATTTTTTCTGTTTTTTCACATTTGATAAAGTTTTAAAATTATTTAATTGTACTGTGATGCATGTTTTAATTGTATTTGAACTTTTCTTATTGATTTTTTAAAATAAATGTTGTTTGGTATTCTTATTACATATGAAATAAGCATATTTAAAAATGACACTAGCATATTTAAAAATGACTTCAATATATTTTTTTTAATTGCAGGGTTCTGAGCCAAGAACAGAATCCTGACTATGCCACCGAAATATGCCTCTAGTTCAGTGAGGGGTTACAGATAAACCTTCTTTGGTTTTTAAACCAGTTTAAAGAACCTGTATGCTTGAGAAATGCTTGCATTACGGTACCTACATCCAAATGAAATTAATCATTTACATTGCAATTATACCTACAGGACCAAACTGCCTGAGTCACTGGATATCTAGTAATTATATTCTAAAAATATTCGAAATTAAATAAAAACGTCTTATAAATATGAAGACAAATGTTTAATCTTGTAAATATAAACATTCTTTGCATCACAGAACTTACCTTTGTGCCTTCTTTCATCTTTAAAACCTAATGCTGTAAAACCCGGTAATAATTTGCTAGATAGAGAGCTCAGATCCACTGGATGGCTTTCCTCCTCTATTTTCAACAATAAATAAATGTTTATTAAGTTTTCAAAAATAATAGACAGGAGAATATTTTTATAAGACAATCATGAATTTTAAGAACTTCTGCATGAAATTACAAAAAAGGCTATTAAGAAACTATTAATATTTTAATCAGTATCAGTTTGTTTTAATGTGTCAATAAAAAAACAAATCAGCTGCAGAAAAAATAAATTAGATAATGAACAAAAATAAAAAAATAAAGTTATTAGGTTATTTAAATAAGCAAAAAGAATTCTTTTTTCAATTATCTTTTTAAAAATTATAATGGAGCTGTATTTTCAAAACTAATAGACAGGAGGATACTCTTATATCACTATCTTAGATCTTAAGAACTTTGCTTGAAATTATTAAAAAGCTTATTTAGAAATTATTAATATTTTAAAACAGTAACTGTTTTAAAAAAATAGTAAAGAACAATTGAGCTGCACAGATTAGATAATAAACAAAATAAAGTAAAGTAATATTAATAGGTTATATAAATGAGTTAGGCCTTATGTATTTTAAAATTATAACAGAAGTGTATTTTCAAAAAAGATCTATAAATGGACCGATAATGACTGAAATTTTACAATTAATGCTCGATAAAACATTACTTTTATCAAGCAGCATACACTGAATTGAAAAGGAAGCATACATTTTAGTTTAAAATCTTCACTATACTATTAGTTATAAATGTAAAAAAAGAAAACACTCCTAAAAATAATATAGATAAGTATTTGATTTTTGACTTCCCCCTTCTTTGCAGAACTGACTGGCATAAACTTTAGAAACTGTTCTCTAAAGAATTCATTTCTTTTAGTAAAAGATAGAGTCAAATACGATGCATTAACTGTTAGAAATTGATGCAAGAAAATTAATGAACAAGTTAATTTTGACATTATTGAATAAATGAATAGGGAAACTGAGCATGTAAAATACAAAATTTCATTGAAGATAATTATTAAAATATAATTAGCAATATAAACATGAAAGAGATTGACATATAATAAGTGAAATTGTTGGGTTAAACAATAAATATTGAAACACAAGCCATAATTCAGAATTACCCAAGAAAATGAAAAATAAAATTAAAGATTTATATAATAAGTTCAAATGACAGTTCCAATTAATTTTAGATGTGCTTTTATTTAAAGAGGTCACCCAAACTGACCTTTGCCTTCTTTTTGCTCCTCCTACTGAGAAAGCATATACGTATTCTGCTAGGATGGGATGGGGCTGGGTTCTGTCCTGTGACGCAGGGACTATCTTTTGAAGAGATACCAAAGTCCTCCTTTCAATAGTTCTCCTTGGCCAGGCTGGAGCTGACTTTGTGCCAGAAAAATGGGGGGAAAGCCTAAAACAGTCCCTTTGCAAACAAAAAAATAAATAAAAACCAACTTCCTGGGGAGGGCTAGGCTTCGCTTCCAAAATGGGGTGGGGGTGGGAGTGGGGATCAAGAAGGAAAAGGAAAAAAGGCAGAAATAGTCCCTTAACAAAGAGTTCGCAGAAAAGAGTTGGGCTTTTTGCGATGCTCCTTTCTGGGAGGTTTTGCAAAGCGGCATCTTAGGAGTGTTTTACAAAGGAATGTTTTGGAGCAAATGACTTTGAGGCCACTTTTTTTTTTTTTTTTGCAGCCAAATGCCAGCCCAGCAGTCAGGCCAGGCATACCTCGTCAACAGAAGGAGCAAGAAGATGTTGAAGATCATTTGAGGCAGTGGAGTGCAAGGTGGCAAGGGCTGGGACTGATTTAGGCAGCTGTAGTTTCTTGGGCCATGGCAAACAGTACCAGAGAAGCATTTTCGGGGGTTGTTGGCTGTTCCAAAAGAAATGGGGAGAGAATAGGCAGATAGGAAGACTTGGAGGCAGTCCCTTATCTTACTGAGGCTTGGGGCTAGGAGGGATGAAATCTGGAAAGGCTTGAATTTGGATGGATACTCACTTAACAACCCACAATATTTGGCTAATGATAGCAATTGATACTCCCAAAATTGCAATGTGATAACGTGACTTCTTACTCTATGACTGCATTATTTAGCAATGGAAATACTTGTCCCAACTATAGTCATCATGGACTACTGGTATATTGCTTTGCATGGCTACGCATTTTTGCTTTAAAATATAGCATTTTTATTCAATAATGCCAAAATGGTGCTACATCAGCACAATAACATGATTTAAAGGCAATGCAGAAGAAAAATGGATTGGAGACTAATTTCTATCTCAGATTGAATCTAACACAGATTTAATACTATTACCAGACTTAATAATCTTCTACACAAGTTCAGCTTAAGGAGCAACTGAACAGATTTTAACTAATTAGGTAAAAATGGTTACATAATAAGCAACATCAGAGGGAGATAGGCAGTGCAAAAATGTGAAAAATGAATGAATGAATAAATAAATAATGAATAAATAAATAAATATTAATGGTATTTAAGTTAGAGTTCATAAAGTCTTTGTTCGTATAGGGCAGTGGTGGCGAACCTTTTACTCACTGAGTGCCAAACAGGTAGGCGCTTCACTTATGTGCGGCTCCTCCCCGAGTGCTGCATGCGCAACCACACCATCTGCACATGTGCACATGTGCATGCATGCCGTGCGCTGCATGCACAACTGCACCATCTGTGCATGCACATGGCTTTTGCATGGGTCCCCAATTGCACCATCTGCATATGCACAAGGCTTTTGCACATGCAATGTGTACACATGAATGCCATCTGCGCATACAAGCACTGCACGCAGATACTCCCGTGTGCATGCATGAATGCGCGTGTGTGCACATGAGAGCTCCGGACCAGTGGGTCCCCAGAATTGCACGTATGCGCACCGGAGGCCCGAACACCAGCTGGGGCACGTGCATGCACAGCTGCAGGCAAGTTGGTCAACAGCTCGCATGCTCAGAAAGATAGCTCTGTGTGCCACCTTGGGCACGCGTGCCATAGGTTCGCCATCACGGATATAGGGTTACTAGTAGATTTATATTTTATCACAAATGTAACTTAATTCTGACTTTACTAGAATATTAGCCAAAGGCCTTCAAATATTAGCTCACCAAATATATTTCAATTTGCAAATCTTTTTGTTGCCAATTCTGACATAGCAGCATATTTAATATTCAAATGGAATTACCTATGTCTATTAAATAAAGATTAAAACATTATGCATTTTCTTTTGACAATTAATGTACAAACATAAACTTAGTTATGTATAATTAAAAACATGTTTAAAAATATAAACTATTAAAATTATCTGAAAATTACCTTCTGTTTCAGGATCTGATGGATTGAGTACACTGAAAATCAAAGATCCATCAGTATTCTTTTTCAGGTAACCTATCTGTATTTAAGAATAATAAAAAGAAAATCAGATTTTTAAAAAAATGTTTCCTGTTTAATCAGTAAATACTAACAGATCTGTTATCACAGGGGTCCCCATCTCCCACGTTGTGGCCCACTCCCGGGCCATGGCCTATTCGGAACTGGGCTACACAAGTGGTAGACCGATGCACACATGAGCATGCAGGTCCACTTGTGCGAGCGGCCAGCCAGCGCAGACGCACATGCAGCTCCACTCACACAAGTGGCCGGCTGGCGCACTGCACAGCTCAACTTCTAATGAAACTGTGCATGCATGCGCAACTGCCTGCACACTGTTTGAGTTGAGCTACTTGCGCGCATGTGTACTGGCCTGGCTGGTTCCCCCCCCCCCGCCACAAAGGTTGGGGACTGTTGTGTTAGCAAATACTAACAATATCTGATGTTGAATGTGTCATTGGAAGAAGAGCTGTGCCTATGCAATCTAATAAACAACCTTTTGAATAGGATATGAATATTTCCATTCTTAAATATAATATACAACGAAACTGGATTCACACATTGTACTGAAACACAATTTTCTATGTTGTTCTAAAAAATAGAGCATTTGTATTCATAAATGCTCTAAATAAAAGAAGAAAAAATAGAATTATCCAATATATTCATTTAGATTAACACTGATATTGTTCATCAAATTTTAACTTCAACTTTTCTAGTTGGCTTATACTCTTTGGTATAATCTTGTCAACGTAGAGTACTGTACTCTTATTTAACATGTAGGTTAAATAACTGAATTTTTAAGACCTTCACTGAGATAGAATGCTAAGAACATGTCATTTAATTTTCACTTATATTCAAACTAAAGTCTAAAACATGTAAGTTTTAATCTATATTGTAGAAATTTAACATAAAAACTCCTCATAAAAGTATTCATGTACTAAATACTATGTAAAAATTCTTGTCCAACTGAGCAAAAATTTCTGAGAAAATTAGCTGAACAAAATGTGAATTAATTTAACAAGACCTTGCTGTTTGGAAGACACTGGTTGATCCGATCCCGTGCTTCATCTGCTGCATGTTCTACCAAGGCCAGGACGTGTTCTTCAGCTGTGCTGTCTGTCAGACTGCATGCATTTCCTTCTGGTTCAAATATACAGCTATAATAAAGCACAAATTATTAAATAAATAACAAATCAAATGCACTCCCTCTCCACAAATAGGTTCTAAGTCATTGAGTTTTATGACCTCTAGGTAAATATAATGGATTTCCTGGATAAATCAACATTATTTTCATCTTACTGTATTTTTTAATTTTAATATCACAGCTCCATTGTGACAGACAATATTAATAACAAAATTAACAAAGCCATCTATGAGGAATAAAACCAAGTATCCTCTCATCATATATCCTATTCACCGAGAGTCCACCGCTTGACTTAATCCAAAGCCTAGCGGACGATCCAGGCTTTAAAATTTATGGAAGATTTAAGGAGATGGAACTCCAGACATCCAGGCTTTATAATACAAAGTTTTATGGCTGATAATTAGCACCCTGAATTATACCCAAAAGCCTATGGGGTAACCACGAAGCAGAGGAATTACATGATCATACTGTGGTATGCTCATAACTTTCCATGCTGCTGTGTTCTGGGTTATTTCTGAGTAAACTTTAAAGACAGCCATATGTAGAGTAAAATATATTTAAGACCCAACTCATATTTTCAAATATTTTCCTCCAGTTTACAGTTTAAAAATTTATATAAAATTTTGTTTTACAGGACCCCCATTTAATAACATTTAACACTCTTGTTCAGAGACTGAAGTTATAATATTTCAGTTATGAAGGTGTTTTATGAACAGTTCTTATTGTTAGTTTCCTTGTAATGTGTTTGCTGGATTAATTTAGAGAGATTATCTTCTATTACATATATCTCTCATACAAAAAATCTTGTGACTGTGCAGAAGAATCAGACAAATCATGCTGTGGAGCTCCAATTTGAAAAAGCTTTCTTTCTTTTGCTTGTTAAAAAAAATATATGCATTCTTATGTCTAGAACTTCTGCTCATTAAAATAAAGCAAATTTTATTATTGAAAGTTAAGTATTTAAAAAGATATCAATATTTGATATAAAACAAATGAACAAAAATCATTGATATGAAACATGCAAAAAGAAATTATCACAACAGATTAACTGACTATATTTTGATAATAAAAGCTAATTAAGATGAACAGCAAGAGAAAGGAAATAGAGCAAGCAAGCATTATATATAGATGAACTCAGATCAATTCCAATTATATAATCAACTATATTAGAAATTTTTAAAAAATCTATTAAGATAAGTAATAATAGTGTAAAAAATTCACTTATGATTTTTTTGTGATGAAATGGCCTCTTGTAGCCAAAGAGGAAAAAACAGTCTGAAAACAGAACAGATTCTGGCACCAAAATGATTGACTAGCATGCAGGAAAAAACGTCATTAAAAATATCCAACAAGTACTGTTTAAACAATCTACCAATTAAATCAAAGTAATTGGTTTTAATTACAGAAATACCTTTTAGTACATATTATTGGTAGAAAAGTAAATTTCTCTCAAAATTATATTAGAAAAAAGTACCATATATACCATAAATAACATATATTAAAAAATCCAGGATTTATAGCTGCAAATTACTTAAGTTCTTAATTTCAGAAACACCTTGAAATCTTAATGTTGTATGAATCTGTGCAGTAGAAGATCCCAGAACTTTAAAAAAGGTTCTCAAACACCTTTACCATATAGGGGAACTTTTTTTTTTAATTTGATTTATATGCCGCCCTTCTCCGGAGACTCAGGGCGGCTTACAATGCGCTAAGCAATAGCCTTCATTCTTTTGTATATTTATACAAAGTCAACTTATTGCCCCCACAACTGGGTCCTCAATTTACCTACCTTAGGCAGGCTGCAGTGCCCAAAAATTGACTAGAGCTTTCAAGTACCCAGTTTCCTTTCCACACTAATGTCCTAATCAGTTTCACTAAAGACTGGAAAAAGCTACATAATACAGTATATATCCAGAAATTTCAGGGAGGGGAGGGGGATGAGAGATTTTAACCTGTAAATCTATTAGGTGCAGATCAAGAATTTCTTATCAACATAATTGCTGACCATTATTGCAAGTGTTTTATAAAAAATTACAATTCTCTTGGATTTACCCTCTCGGAACAGGTCTCCAAGAAAAATAAATTCTGTCAATTCTCTTTTTTAAACAATAATTTTAATTGAAGTATAGAAATACAGTGCAATCTAACTTCTGAAATATTCTTTGCTCATAGTATGAGAGGCAAGTAAAGCATTTATTGGAGAGTTCTTTGTCTCTGAATCAAACAGAAATTTATGCAAAATCAGAAAAATATATTACTGAATAATCTGAACAATTAGAACTAAGCCTACATTGGGAAGTAGCTCAATCCAATTTTAGATTTAAAGTAAAAAATACAAGCAATAAGGGACCATATAACTGATTGGCAGTGAGCCAAAAATAACTTCACCTGGCATAAATATTTTTGTTAATTGTTAGCCTATCAAATTAGTAAAAAACAACATCAATAACAAAAAAAGCACTTACATTTGAAACAATGATAAACATGTTTCTACAATGAAGCATATGGTGTGGCAATTCATTCTTTATTTGAACTTATATAATAAACAAGAATCTAATACAGTAGAAATTGAAGAAAATTTGAATAAAATATTACTTTAATAATGTATGGCTCAACAAAAAGATATTGTTAATCAATTTACAACAGAACAGTGTCAATCAAAAAGTGACATTGAATAAAGCTCTAGTACCTGACAGTATTTCTATAAATTACTGCAGAATTTTTCAAGAAATTTTTAAATTCAAATAATAAATGAGATACAATTATGTCATGAATCTCATGTCATGGAAAGGAGCCTTATAAAGGAAGGAAAAGATCTAACTCATTCTGAACCATAGACCTATCACTTTACTGATTGTAGATTATAAGCTTTTTCAACAATTTTTGCGGAGTCTAAATAGTCATTTATTTATTAAATTCATGACACTTGTCTCACTATCCAAAGTGACTCTAGGTGGCTTTTAGCTGAAATAATACATTTTGACTAGATGTATTTGTCTCAAAGATATATATCTGGAATAATATTATATATAATTTAAATATTATTAATAATGCACATAAGAAAAATTAAAAATTGGCCATGTTATTTCTTGGTGCTGAACAAAACTCTGACAATATGAAATGGGCTTTTATTTTTTGAAATGGGCTTATGCAGTTTTGAAAAAAATAGGTTAGGGATAATTCTCTTATATTCATACAATGTTTATAAAAAAAATAAGCAGCCAAAATTGTAGTAAATGTTCTTATTTCAAAGCAATATATTATATCAAAGGGAACAAGGATGATCCCCTATTTTTATTGGCATGGGAACCATAGCCTCCTAGCTATACTGAGAGCAAAATTTCAAAAAAAGAAACTATAAATGAATATAAATTAAAATTTAGCATTTGCTAATGATATTGTATTTAAATTGCTCACCCTAAAGACTCTAACATTGGTGATGTAAAATATAGTTCAGTGTCAAGTTACCAGATCAATAAAGAGAAAACTCAAATTTTGATAAGGAATTTGACAGTGGAAGAAGTAACGGAATAACAAGAGTTGGAAGGGAGGTCTTCTAGTCCAACTCCCTGCTAAGACAGGAAACCCTATACCATTTCAGACAAATGGTTGTCCAATTTCTTCTTAAAATGTCCAGTGTTGGAGCATTCACAATTTTTGGAGGCAAGTTGTCCCACTGATTAATTGTTCTAATTGTCAAGAAATTTCTTCTTAGTTCTAGGTTACTTCTCTCTTAGTTTCCATCCATTACTTCTTGTCCTGCCTTGAGGTGCTTTGGAGAATAGCTCGACTCCCTCTTCTTTGTGGCAACCTCTAAGATATTGGAATACTGCTATCATGTCTCCCCTAGTCCTTCTTTTCATTAAATCAGACATACCCAATTCCAGCAACCATTCTTTGTTTTAGCCTCCAGTCTCCTAATTATCTTTGTTGCTCTTCTCTGCACTCTTTCTAGAATATTAACATCTTTATTACATCATGTCGACTAAAACTGAATGCAGTATTCCAAGTGTGGTCTTACCAAGGCATTATAAAGTGGTATTAACACTTCATCTGATCTTGATTCTATCCCTCTGTTAATGCAGCCTAGAACTGTGTTGGCTTTTTTGGCAGCTCTAGCATACTGCTGGCTCATGTTTAAGTGATTGTCCATTAGAACTCCAAGATCCCTCTCACAGTTACTACTATTGAGCCAGGTACCACATATACTATACCTGTGCATTTTATTTTTCTTGTCTAAATGTATACCCTTACTTTTTTCACTATTGAATTCCATTTTGTTAGATAGCACCCAATGTTCAAGTTTGTCAAGATCCTTCTGTATCTTAAGCCTATGTTCTGTAGTGTTGGCTATTTCTGACAGATTGGTGTCGTCTACAAATTTGATGAATTTCCTATCTATCCTCTCATCCAAATCATTGATGAAGATGTTGAAGAGTATTGGGCCTAATACTCTGGGCCCAATGGGGTACCCCACTGCTTACTTCCCTCCATGTAAATACATTTCCATTCGGGGTAAAATTCACTTACCTTCCCTACCGGTTTGCAAATTGGTGAGCATCATCCATGCATGCGCAAAGCCTTCTGTGCATGTGCAGAGGCTTAAAATCGTCACAAAAAAGTGATGTCATGATTTCCACGTGGGTGGGAAGAGCCTCCCACAGCCACCACTATTGGTTCGCCCAAGCCAGATAGAACCAGATGAATTTTACTCCTGGTTCCATTGACGACTACACTTTGAATGCGGTTGATCAGCTAGTTATGAATCCATCTGGTGGTGATATTGTCTACAGTCTAACCCACATTTTATTCACAGCATTCCTCTAATTAACTAATTTTGTCACTTTGTCAAAGAATGCAATAAGATTTGTCTGGCATGATCTGTTTTTGACAAACAACAGACCATGTTGGTTTTTGGTTATGACTTTATTTGCCTGTAGGTGTTCGCTAATTCCTTCCTTATCTTTTCCAGAATCTTCCCAGGTATTGAGGTCAGGCTGATAGGTATGTAGTTTCCTGGGTCTATTTTTGTTTTCCTTTTTTGCAGATGAGAACTAAATCAGCTCTTTTCCAGTCCTGTGGTAGTTCCCTGGTGCTGCTGATCTTTGAAAGTATGTAATGCATATATCAAGCAACAGGTTTTAACATTGAAGTTATAGATGATATCCAATGGAGTTAGACAGGATACCTCATTGGCTTTTTTAAATTTTACTTTATTTTATTTATTTTAAAATTTTCTTAACCATTTATCTCCTTCAAAGAGAGACTCCGAGTGATGTACAATAAAACGTTAAAATATAAAGCAGTATGTATAAAAATTAAAAATGTTAAGAGGAGGCAAGGGATTAAAATTAGCTAGAAGGTGAAGAGAGGGTTTCCAGGGAATTAACCAGTCTCATGGCTGCCTGCTCCCCTGGGCTCCATACATGAGGCCAAATAGCTATATTTTAACTCCTTTTTGGAAGGCAAAAGAATGAAAGCCTGTCTCACCTTCAGAGGAAGAATATTCCATAGGATAGGGAAGAGAGGAAACAGCAGAGAAAGCTGTTTTCTTAGACCCCATCAATCAAAGTTCTTTAAGTGACAGGGTTGCAACATATCTTCTCTGCCTGACCAGGGGAGATGGGCAGATGTAATGGGATGAAGACTGTTCCATAAGTAGCCTGCCCCTATGCCATTTGGGTTTTATGATTGACAACCAATACCATGAATTGGACCCAGAAGCAAACTGGCACCCAATGAAGTTACATGCACTATTCTTTGGGTGCCTAAAATTTCCCATGCAGCCACATTTTATATAAACTGAATATTCTGGACATTTTTCAAGGACAGCCCCATATAGAGCATGTTGCAACAGTCCAAATCAGAGAAGACCAGGGCATGAGTGTCTAAGCAGAGAACTTTTACACCTGTTCTTCAAACCGGAGTCTTGAGTGCAGGAGCACCAGATCTGTCTGGAGTAGTGCAACCTCATTCACAACCATGCCATCTTACCAGGGTCCATCTGAAGTCTGTTGTTCCCCATCCAGGCATCCATAGCCTCCAGACACCGCACAAGAATATCCATAGCTTCACTCACTTCATCCGGGATGAAGATATATACCTCATCCTAGTGTCAAATGATCTCACCTGGTGGTTTCATGTAAAAGTTAAAAAGGAGCGAAGACAGCTGCAAGCCCTAAGGGATCCCACAGAGCAGGGACCAAGAGTTCCTGCTCCCTACCAACACCAACTGGAACCAACCTCAGAGGAAGGAGTGAACCAACACAGAACTGTGCAGACCTCACCAACAGTGACAGGCAAGCCATTTGAATATAAATTGATAGCAAATCACATTCCTTACTAGCACTGATGAAGTTACCTAGTTTGGGTAATGAAACATCTGCAAGAAAACAAGCAAGCTCAGAGAGCACCAAGATCCCTCATTTTAAAAATAATTTTGAAGAAGTGTTTTAGTTCTTGCATAAGAATGAACACATGTCATGCTGCTATTCATTAAAATGATCTTTCTCTTTTCACTTCTATTCCATCCTCCAAAAGGATGTGGCTGATTTAAGAAGTAAGCTCATTAAAATTAAAGCACCCCTTACAACTGTATTTTTTTTTCTGGCTAATGTGGAAAATTTACAATGAATGAAAATAATATTCTGTGCTCATGCCTGCCAATTCTTCCAGCTCATTTTTAAAATATTTACCGTATTTTTCGGAGTATAAGATGCACCGGAGTATAAGACGCACCTACCTTCAGCAAACAGCCTGCTTTGCTTTCATAGCTTGATTAGCACAAGGAAAAAAAAATCTGCTCCAGCAATTTACCTCTTTGCAGCAAGCAGCAGAGCCCTACGTAAAACAGCTGAGAGTTGGGAGGCCGATCAACTTGTGCTAATTAGGCTGTGCTGAAGCTGAAATGAGCTGTTTTTTCTTGCTGTTTGCTTGCAAGGAGGTAACTGCTGCAAGGCAGAGGCCAAAGGGTGGAGGCCAATGGGTGGGTGGGGCTACATTCGGTGTATAAGACACACCTAAATTTTCACCCCCTTTTAGGGATGAAAAAGGTATATCTTATACTCCGAAAAATATAGTATCAAATGCTACCTATACTGACTGTAAACTCTAGAAAGAACTTCTGGGATACATAATGATTCTGCTCAAGATGCCCAAGGTGCTTAAATTTTTTGAAAAATAATTATATATTGTGCCTAGTATTTCAAAGTTAAAAACTAATGGTCTAATTAATTCATTCCAAAAGTAGGGATGTTAATTTGCAAAGAAAGGCACAAAAGAGCAAAACACTTCCTCCATCATTTACCTAATAACTTCTTTACTTGGCTTTTTGGATTTCTTGGTAGTCTCTACATGCACAGGAACAACTTCGGGCACTGGATCTTCAACAGCTGGATCTTCATCGCCCAAAAGAGCTGCCTGCTGAGAAAAATCCATGTCCTGCATAAACGACATGCTGCGCTTCAAAGCTAACAGCCGTTCCTAGAATTAGAAAGGACAGAGCAGCAGGGACTTTACACCTTTCCCTCATAGCGAAGATGCTATGATGATGGGATGGGATGGGAATGGCCATGGCTTTGCACCTAAGAACTACATCTTCAATGAGGATGCAAGGTGATTCAATCATGAGCAGCATGACACCGGAACACCTGCAACCTATTTCAGAAGGGAAACCATACATACAAACGGCCACCTACCTGTACACAATCTTCATACAAGATAATCAATTGTTCAGTTTGAAAGTCAGTTTTTTTATAATTTTGAAAAATAGTATTATATAATAAGTATGTTTACACAAATCCATCTTTCACTCATTTTATATAAACATTTCCATTATACTATTTAGTAGGTATTGTATTTAGGAATTCATTAAATATATAATCAAATAGATTTAAAATAAAGAGTATGTATGTATTTCTTCCAATATTTTATGGAAAGGTATTGTTAAGCAAAATGCTTAACATTCTAGAATAATTCCAAATTTATTTAAATAAGACAATACTTATTTCTTCAGTGAAAGCTTCAAGTTAACATTTTTATCTTGAATGAACCGATTCTTAAAAGAGTAGAGATGTATAACTTTAAAAGAAAAGAGATGTATAATGGAAATGCCACTGAGACCTTCAGTAAACCCAGCAGTCTGAGAAACCAACACTAAGAGCAAATTCAATTTCCTTAAATTTCCAGTTTTATTTTATAAAGACATAGTCTGCCCTCTAGGGCTATAAATACAGTAGAGTACTTTATTTAAAGTAAAGTTAAATGTTTAAGAGCATGTGGAAGTATGAATGCAGCATATCAGCAATTTGTTGAATTAAGGCAGGTAGACACATGCTGCATTCACATACCTGTTACCTGAATCTTCTTTTTGAAACTAAATCTAAATCAGAAGTATAAAATAATGTTGTATTGTAATCATCTACAAAGGTTAATCTATATTTTTGGTCCCAATATGTTCTCTGTTGTAGTTGTCTTACTTTGCTCATCATCTTAAAGCCAGCATGGAGAATCTTTTTAGCCAGTTTGTAATACACAGTATCTGGTCTGTTGTAAGTCATTGCATTGTCACACATCAGTTTAAAATCTGCCTGGAAAACATAAACATAATCATTGCTATATTTTCAAAAACTGTTTATATTCTAAGAAATTCAATTTCAGTAGAATCTTACAATGTAAAGAGGCAGGGAAGACCCTTGCAGGCTCCACACAGAAGCTGAAAATCCTCCCTATAGGAATGTCAGCAGGATTTTCAGCTCTTGAGAAACAGAGAAACTCCTGTGTTCCCAACACTGAAGAAATGACACTTGGCTACAATGTAAAGTAGTGAGTGTACAGCTTGTAAATGTGCTGTCCCCTCAAAATAACGCAACACACAGCCATTAAACTGGTGGCAACAAAAGTGAGTATACCCCTAAGTGATAATGTCCAAATGGGCCCAAAGCGTCAATATTTTGTGTGGCCATCATTATTTTCCAGCACTGCCTTAACCCTCTTGGGCATAGAGTCCACCAGAACTTCACAGGTTGCCACAGGAGTCGTCTTCCACTCCTCCATGACGATGTCATGGAGCTGGTGGATGTTAGACACCTTGCACAACTCCACCTTCCATTTCAGGATGCCCCACAGATGCTCAATAGGGTTTAGGTCTGGATACATGTTGCCCAATACATCACCTTTACCCTCAGCTTCTTTAGCAAGGCAGTGGTCATTATGGAAGTGTGTTTGGGGTTGTTATCATGTTGGAGTACTGCCCTGCGGCCCAGTCTCCGAAGGGAGGGGATCATGCTCTGCTTCAGTATGTCACAGTACATGTTGGCATTCATGGTTCCCTCAATGAACTGTAGCTCCCCAGTGCCGGCTGCACTCATACAGCCCCAGATGGTGGGGCTGTATGTCAAGCATGGTGGTGACATTCCCACCACCATGCTTGACTGTAGGCAAGACACACTTGTCTTTGTACTCCTCACCTGGTTGAGCCACACACACTTGACACCCTCTGAACCAAATAAGTTTAACTTGGTCTCATCAGACCACAGGACATGGTTCCAGAAATCCATGTCCTTAGTCTGCTTGTCTGCAGCAAACTATTTACGGGCTATCTGGTGCATCTTTAGAAGAGGCTTCCTTCTGGGATGACAGCCCTTCCTTCTGGGATGACAGCCCTGCAGACCAATTTGATACAGCGTGCAGCTTATGGTCTGAGCACTGACAGGCTGACTACCACCCCACCCCTTCAACCTCTGCAGCAATGCTGGCAGCACTCCTACGTCTATTTCCCAAAGTCAACCTCTGGATATGACACTGAGCATGGGCACTCAACTTCTTTGGTCGACCATGGTGAGGCCTGTTCTGAGTAGAACCTGTCCTGTTAAACCACTATATGGTCTTGACCACCGTGCTACAGCTCAGTTTCAGGGTCTTGACAATCTTCTTATAGCCTAGGCCATCTTTATGTTGAGCAACAATTCATTTTTTTCAGATCTTCAGAGAGTTCATGCCATGAGGTGCCATGTTGAACTTCCAGTGACCAGTATGAATGAGAGTGATAACACCAAATTTAACACACCTGCTCCCCCTTCACACCTAAGACCTTGTACCACTAACAAGTCACATGATACCAGGGAGGGAAAATGGCTCTTTAGGCTCCATTTGGACATTATCAGTTAGGGGTGTACTCACTTTTGTTGCCAGCAGTTTAGACATTAATGGCTGTGTGTTGCGTTATTTTGAGGGAACAGCACATTTACACTGTTATACAAGCTGTATACTCACTACTTTACATTGTAGCCAAGTGTCATTTCTTCAGTGTTGTCACATGAAAAGATATACTTAAATATTTACAAAATGTGAGGGAGTGTACTCACTTCTGTAATATACTGTATATACAAGTATATAGCCTGGGACAATATAGGGGATATCATGAAAACAAAGCTCAAAATGAACTGATGTAAGTTAGATGTTAAGAAATCAAATCAAATCAAAAAGATTTCTTTAAATATGTTGAAGAGAAAGCAACCAATATACCACTTATTCAAAGAAAAGGGCAAAATGCTAATGGTTAAGAAAAGAAGATAATTACTCAATTCCTATTTTCACATCTGCTCAAAATTTCATTCCATCAGGAAACTGTGAAAGGCAAGACTGCAGCTTCAGATTTACAGAAATGTACAGTAGAAAGGGCATGCATATATAGTAATACAATATATATAATACAAATAATAACAACATAACATAAAGTTCTTATGAAGGCTAAAACATACGAAGGAGGCTAAAACATGAACAGTAGCAGTAATGGGTATGTCTAGTCTAATGAAAAGAAGGACTAGGGGTGATGACAGCAATGTTCCAATAATTGAGGGACTGTCACAAAGAAGAGGGTATCAACATATTTTCCAAAGCATCAGAACGCAAGACAAGAAACAATGGACAGAAACTAATCAAGGAGAGAAGCAATCTAGAACTAAGGAGAAATTTTCTAACAGTGAGAATAATTAACCAAATAATTGTTTCAAAAGTTGTGGGTGCTTCATCACCGGAGGCTTTTAAAAAGAGACTGTACAGCCATTTGTCTGGAATGGTATAAGGTCTCCTGCTTGAGGAGAGGGTTGGACTAGAACACCTGCAAGGTCCCTTCCAATTCTGAAATTCCGAAATGTTCTGTCCTGTTCTGTTGTTCTGTTCTATTCTATTTTCTATTCTGTGACACTTTTAGTATTTGAGAAATCATGAAGTACCAGATACTTAGATGACAGCAACTATTGTTCCTATAGTTAAAAGAAAGGGTTAGTGTTCATTATTTTAGCTTATATATATTCTATTTTAGCACTTTTTTCAATCTCTTGTTTTTAAATTTTTATGCTATAATGTTTTTTACATAAATTATATATATAATATTTGAATATTAAATTGAGGCTCTGTATCTGTGAGCAACACTAGAAAATATGCTAAAAATTTAAACATAAAAAGGTAATAATTAGATACTTGTTAAGTGGTACAGTTCAACAAGTGAATTGATATCAGGAGAATATTGATAAGTGGACCAAAATAAAATTTATGAAGTTAGTCTTAATGTAAAAACTTGTGAGAATTCAGACACATATTAGCATATATAAAATAATTAAGAGCAGATATTGCTTATTTACAGAAGACTCATTTAATGGAAATGGATAAATTTATATTAATAAAGGATTGGGTAACACATGTTTAGCTCCCAGATACTTTGACACAAGCTAAAGGTGTAGTATTTTAGTTTGAAAGAGATTCCGAATTGATGTACAGCAGTTGATTACTGATGTACAACAATTTATTACTGATGTAAATGGGCTTATTTAATTTTATGTGTTAATATAGCAGAGATTGTAATAGCTGTTCTTAATGTTTATGGACCTAATTTAGATTCCCTTATTATGTTATATGAATGTTCTCAACATTTGAATAAGTGTGTTAATGGTAAGTGATAAGAGAAAGAGATCTTAGTGAAATATTGGTTCCCAAGCTTGATAGAAATATGCCAGCATGAAAAGCAATTATTAATGAGGGAAACAATATTTATTCAGAAGAATTGAATTTAATAGACCCTTGGCATTTGATGCATCAAAATAAAAGAGAATATATACTTTATTCACATATGTATCAGAATTTTTTCTGAAATGGACCTGCTCCAGGACGACTGAATTCTGGAAAATTATACAGGCATGGATCATGGAAATCACAGGTTATAACCTAATTCTGAAACCAGAGTACTATCTACTGAACATCAGGCCAGACAACATAGGCACAAATATATGGTGTCTGTGTGTATTTATCACCACGTCAGCAAGAATATGTTTCGCCCAACATTGGAAGGGGAAAGACCTGCCGGTTGAAGATTTGATTTTGGAGAAAATTTTGGATTATGCGGAAGCCGACAGACTGACTAAAGCATTGAGAGATCAAAAGGACTCCGTATTATTTCCAATGTTGGGACAAATGGTACGTTTGGTTGAACAACAGATGCCCAAAAAGTCAAGTATAACCAGGATTATGTTTAATATATGTTAAATCTGACTGAAACCTACATACCGTAGAAAGTGTAAATATCATGTAAAGTTCCTGTTGCGATAATTTGTTTGACTATTTCTTTTTTTGATGTATTGTTTTAAATAAATAAATAAATATTTTTTTTTAAAAAAAGAATTTTTTCAGACTATTTTTTGACTATTAACCCTAACCCAACAAGGGTTTCTACTTTCAACTTTGCTTTTTAGTTTTTGCATGAAACTCTTGGCTTGTGCTATTAAATAACACAGAGGGATCTATAGAATAGTATATAGTTAAACTGAACACAAATTTTATTTGCAGATGATATTCTTTTGTTTATTTCTCCACCTAATATAATATTCTAATGCTGATGCAAAAGATAAATTTGCACAGATTTAAACAGCAGAATATTCTATTAACTAGTCTAGATCAGAACTATGTGTGAAAATTTAATTCAAAGAATATCAATGTTATTTCTTAGAGTATGGAATTCTAAATTATTTTTTCTCTGAAATGAAAAAAAGATAGCGAAGAAGAAGGGGGAGGAGGAAGAGGAAGAGAAGAGGAAGAAGAAGAAGTAGTAGTAGTAGTAGTAGTAGTGGTAGTAGTAGTAGTAGTAGTAGTAGTAGTCGTCAAAGAGGCAAGTTTGTTTAGAGCAGTGGTCACTAACTGGTGGTCCGTGAGAAAAATTTTGGTGGTCCACAGAAAAATTATTTGCATTTTTTATATTGCACTAAATACTATTTATCTTTTTTAAACAATCATATTAGTAGTCAGCGGGATTTAAAATTATGAATTTAGTGGTCCCTGAGGTCCGAAAGGTTGGTGACTCCTGGTTTACAGAATAATTGAATGGAAAAGGGGGGAGGAACAGTATGAAATATAGGTATTATTTTGGCAAAAGCAGAAAAAGAGCTGGAAAGAAGATACTTCCAAGAACCAAACAAGAATTTCATTTTACTATTTATTTTTGTCCTATTTTTTAATATATTTAAGAAAAAAATTAAGCAATTTGCCAAAGAATTTATAGGGCAAATCTGAAAAATAATAAAAAATAAAGGCACCAAGTTATTAGAAGACTGCTATAATCTTAAAATAAATTTTTATAGTTTATAAAATGCATATATGTAGGGCAAATAGCAATATAATACATTGAACACACTGAATGGCTTTGACTTTTTAGGTATAGGTTGAAAAGCATTCCTGTAGAATAGAAAGATTTCTATGTCTATCTCTGGAACCTTATCTTTGTTGCAGAAAAAACAAAGATTCATGTGAACATTAATATTGGGTTAATAAATCTCCATTAATTTACCTTGAATTCTGTTACTGATTTGTACTCATTTGCTGCAATTTTTTCTTTCATGGTACCAAAATCCATAGGATGTTTTATTATCATGGAATAGCCAGGAGCAATAGCATCCGTGACTGGAAAAGCAAAAAAACCATGAGGATCCTTCCTAAAAAAAAAGCACAGAACATTATATTTAGGCAAAATATTGCCATACTATGTTAATGATATCAATTAACAACTTTCTGCAATATGCAATATCTGAAAGCAAAGCCAAGGAATGGAAAACATAAAGAACTAAAATACATTTCCTAACCCATCAAAGTGCCAAAAATTTTAGAGCATCTACAACAAATAAATATTTGAGCATAACAAATATTCAGCATATACCATTATTTTCACCTGAGGTGAGCAAACTTGGGACAAAAAAACTCCTATTTCTGTTCCTAATGAAAGTAAAAGAAAGCAAAAGAAAGCATAAAGCAGAATTTTGCACAGTATTTCTACAATCCTCTCCATCCAGATTAAGGGCATAAATTAACTGACTGGAAATCTCTTTCAGGCAGCTAAAATGGAGTCTATTTTATTCAACCACATAATATTCAACCACATAACCCTCATTCCCAGGACCATCTGAACCAAACAGACATGCTTTCAACTCCTAACTTCCTTCTCTGGTGATTTTTGAATCATATACAATTCTATTTTTATTCCATTCTCCTTTGGACTGCTTTAATTTCAGCATCTAAATTTAGCATCTAAATTCAGCATCTACTTCTGTTCTACTATCGCAGCACCATTGAGAGTGTCTTGACATATGGCATTCTTGCATGGTATGGGAGCAGCTCTGTAGCGGACAAAAAAAGCTCTACAGAGAATCTTTAAAACTGATCAGAATATCATCGGGTTCCAGCTACCAGCCTTGGACATCTTTGAATCTCTCTGTTTGAGGAAGTTGCATAACATTCTCAGAGACTCTTCCCATCCTGCTTACAATTTTTTTGGACTTCTGGCAGAAGATACAGAACAATTAAAACTCGGACCACACGCTTTCTGAATAGTTTTTAGAGCTATAATTGCACTCAACAATGAACTAAAGAGCCACCATCAGTGAGCTGTTGGACAGCATTACTTGGTCTTTTGTGTGAATGTTTGGGTGGTTTAGGGGCGGGGAATTTGTGGAGGGTGGGGGTGTGTTTGGGATTGTATGTGTGTTGGACCTGGTCTTTGGGTGTTATGTGAATTTCGTATATACTGTGTATATACGTACAATGACAATAAAGTTATTATTATTATTATTATTATTATTATTATTATTATTATTATTATTTACTTTATTCATTAAACATGAAACTCCATTTTGAACATTCAAAAATGCATCACAAATACCATTGACTAGTGCTAATGGTTGATATGGGTTGTTGTTGTTGTTATTGTTATTATCTTGGAACAAACAAGCTGCAGTAGCCAATGCTGCCCAGAATTTTTTACTCCCAGATGTGTGGGCGTGGTTTATTTTGTGGGTGTGGCTTGATGGTCATGTGACACTGGGTGTGGCCAACTGAATGTCACTCACGTCAAGGGGTGCCTCGCCTGGCTCTTCCCCTCCCATCCCAGCCACTCCTTGTCTCACTCAGCCTCAACATATCTATAGTTTTATAAAAATGTTGTTCATCTTTTTTCAACTTTATTATCTACATACTATAGATGCACTTTCATGGACCACTGAAAGGAGGAAATGGCTCACATGCTTTGCCCAAGAGTGTGTTAGGCAACAGGCTTTTAAGGGGCTGCCAAAAAGAAGAGGGGGGGGCAATGTATTTTCCAAAGCACCAGAAGGCAAAACAAGAAGCAATGGATGGAAACTGAACAAAGAAAGAAGCAACCTAAAAGTAAGGAGAAACTTCCTGACAGTGTGAACCAATATAGGGGCAGAAATATTTCAGTCATAATTTCACATATAAAATAGCCATTCGTGTAGTACAATCTGCATATTATTCAAAACAGTCATTAGTATTATGGCTGATGTTTGACAGAAAGATGTTTACAATCATGAAAGCCTCTCAGTTTCTATCTGTCCCATTTTATATCAAATAAAATCGGTGAGATTATTTGAAGTATCTATTGAATACATTCCACTTTCTCAGGAATTGCCATTTCCTTCCTTTTAATATTTCATTGCTTTCTTCCCCTTTCTAAAAGCCAGATCTGTATTCTGTTATATCATCTCATCCATCAGAAGGAAAATAGACACATAATGTTTCCCATTTTCCTTGATTGAAGATGGGCCGAACAGCTTGCCAAGTTTAATGTTCAAGCATAGCACAACAGAACCAGATGAAGATGGAAGGTGTCTCTCTCTTCCTTTACACAGCAAAAACAAATGGGGAATGGGACATGACCAAAAGTCAAGTTTCTTCATCCTGGGAGATAAATTAGTAATTTTGGAGGCAGTTCATAAGGATGGGGTTTATGGGGGAATTTCAGAGGAAACTGACACACAAATTGTGATGACTAGACAGTCTTTGTTCCCTCCCACTAATTCTCTGATTAAGTTATCCTTCCAGTGAATTTATTCGCTTGATAGTCTTCTTTCCCATTTGCCATTAGTGTTCAGGGTAGGATGAGATAATATGAGGAAGAGGTCCAGAATGGGCCCCTCTCAAACAGAGAGCAACTAATGAGATATGGATAGTCCTTGACCTATGCCAGAATTGAGACTAGAATTTCTGTTAAGTAAGGTAGTTTTTAAATGAATTGTATCCAATTTTATGACCTTTTTTGCCATGGTGGTTAAGTGAATATTGCAGTTAAGTGAATCTTAGTCATTAAGCAAATCTTGCTTTCCCCATTCATTCTGCTTATCAGAAGCCATCTGGAAAGATCACAAATGACAATCACCTAACCCTGGAACACTGCAACCGTCAAAATATATGCTAGTTGCCTAGCACCTGAATCATGTGACTCTGGGGATGCTGCAAAGTCGTTAAGTGTGAAGAATAGCTGTAAATCACTTTTTTCAGCACCATTGTAACTTCTGTCACTAAATGAACTGTTTTAAACTGAACACTACCTATATTGGATTTATCTTCTTTTAAGCAGCCAATTAGTGAAAAACTACTCTAAATCATCCACTAAAATCTTGGTGCTGCTAAGTACACCTATTGCATGTTTCTACATGGCCCAAGCCAAATCTAATTGGTCCTTTAAGAGGATCTAGGCAGCCTATTTTCCTGGAGAAAGTAAAGAATTCGAGACAAGTGCTCTGAGGACAAGGAGCCTGGATAACTGCAGTCAAGGCACTGCAATTTAACACTAGCTGTCTGCAATTAAAGTAAGTTCGAATCTTGCCAGGCTCAAGGTTGACTCAGCCTTCCATCCTTTCTAAGGTAGGTAAATTGAGGACCCAGTTTATGAGGGCAATAAGCTGACTTTGTATAAAATATACAAAAGTATATTTACGCTTAACGCACTGTAAGCCGCCCTGAGTCTCCGGAGAAGGGCGGCATATAAATCAATTTTTTTTTAAAAAAAAAAAGATGCTTGGTGGTGGGGGCAGGGTTAATTATAGACTGCTTGAAAGTGAGACCTATCAGTTGCTATATTGAATTACTGCAAAAAGCAATAATTCAATTTAGTTATCCTATGGATAAGATACATAGTTCAATGCAAATATTGTTCAATGTAAGTCACATTTTCCTCTCCCATTAGATTCCATACAATAAATAGCAATAGCACTTAGACTTCACAGTGCTTTACAACCCTTTCTAAGATGTTTACAGAGTTAGCATATTGCTCCCAACAATCTGGGTTCTCAGGAGGAGGACAAATAGCAATAGTAATAGCACTTAGACTTATATACCACTTCAGTGCTTTTTATAGCCCTAAGTGGTTTACAGAATCAGCATATTCCCCTCAACAATCTGGGTCCTCATTTTACCCGCCTCAGAAGAATGGAAGGCTGAGTCAACCTTGAACCTGGTGAGATTTGATCTGCCAAATTGCAGGCAGCCGGCAGTCAACAGAAGAAGCCTGCAGTACTGCATTCTATCCATTGCGCCACCATGGCTCTTTACATAAATATAATGTAAATATAAATGTAAATGTAACATAAATGAACAAAAATGTTCAGTAAGTGGGAAAGGGTCTTCCAAACCTGGAGGTAAATTAAGAACCTGATTAAAGCTCATCTACCTGTACCAAGCAATATGATCTATAAATATTTCTAGAGTCTCCAGAGCCCTTTTCTTATTGCAAAAAATAAAGTGGATCAATTTGGTAAAGAAATTTTAAACTTTAAATTTTAAACACCTCTTTATCAGAGAAGACACATTGTTAAGCATCTAAATTTCAAAACTCAAAACAGCAGCTGTACATCTTATTATATTTATATATGATATATTCTTACCTTTGTAACTGACGAAGGAAATGTTCCAATAATTGCTGAATAGGAGTGCTCTCATTTTCTGCTATAATACAACACAAAAAATAGGTTTTGATAGTAATTCTTATGTTTTCACTATTCTAATAATATAAGCTATTTCTACAGAGGTCTTCTACTATTGAATGTGTTTCTTCACAAGAAAGATAACAAATTAACCATTCATTTAAGAGTACATACTCTACCTTCCACCCCAGAAAAAAGGACCAATCAAAAGAGCTTATGAGACATGCAAATGTTAAAAATAGAATTCATTAAGTGTGTGTGTGTGTGTGTGTGTGTGTGTGTGTGTGTGTGTGTGTGTAGGTCTTTGATTATTCGTGTTTTGTACTGCGTAAAATTGGAAGTGTCTTGGCGACGTTTCGATGAAGTCTCATTCGTCATCTTCAGGCTGGTGTTCTCGGCTTCGTGCTTCTAGGAGCAATGTGTGGTCGCAGCTGTTTCTTCCTTTTAACTGCCAGTGGGGGTGTGAACTGATTGGGTGAGAGCTTGGCTGTGTTCTGATTGGGTGGAGGTGTGTTCTGATTGGTTGGGGGCTTGGCTGTGCTCTGATTGGATGGGGGCTTGGCTGTGCTCTGATTGGATGGGGGCGTGTTCTGTTTGGGTGGGGGCTTGGTTGTGCTCGGGTTAGTCTGATCACACATTGCTCCTAGAAGCACGAAGCCGAGAACACCAGCCTGAAGATGATGAATGAGACTTTGTCGAAACGTCACCAAGACACTTCTAATTTTACGCGGGAGAAAACCCGAATAATCAAAGACCTACATATAAACACCTCCAAAACCTCAGAAAACAAATATACATACATACATACATACATACATACATACATACATACATATATATATATATATATATATCTCAAAAAAATAAAGGGAACACAAGCAGAAGACATCCAAGATATGAATGAATGAAATAGCCTTATTAAATACTTTGTTCTTTACCAAAACAGACTTATAACCACTGCCCAGTGCAGCACCCCAGTGGCTGGGTCATCAAAATTTGGGTGCTTGGCAATGTGTTTGCCCTGATAACTCCCACTATACCATGACCTGAGAGGCCTCAGTCAACTAGGCCCACTAGCATGCAGAAACCTGCCATGGGCTAGAAGGTCTCAGACAGTTAAATCCGGTAGTACATAGGCCTCCTGCCTCCCCACCATCAGTCAGGTCCCTAACTCCCCTATTCCCCACCATGCCCAGAAGGCCTCTGTCAGCTAGGCCCACTAATGCGTGGAAAGGCCTCAGGGAGTCAGCAAGCCTTGGTCAGGCTTGAGAAATATTTCCTCTTTAATCTTGAGGAAAATGGGTGTTGATCCTACCTAAATGCCATTTCTAGTAGAGCTGGAAGACAGCATCCAGGCATGGGTAGTAGCTCTATGTTCTGCATGTAGACTGAGCACATGATCTTTATTTCCATATTTGGTCACTCCCTCCTCCTCTGCTGGTCTCCCAGTTCGGCGAAGGCATAGCGATGAATAGACTTGTGACCTGAAAAATATTAGCCCCTCCAGACTGTGGACCAGACATTAGTAAGGGTGGGACTGGATGCTCTCTTCCAGCTCTACTAGAAATGGCGTTCAGGTAGGACCAATGCCCATTCTCCCTAGAGCTGGATCGAGAGCATCCAGGCATGGGATATATCAAAGCTGGTCTGTCCCCAATGGGTGGGTGCAGTCTGGTCCTAAGTCCCCTGACACTATGAACCCTCTGGAGGACTTGCCTCCTGAAGGCCGCCTCCGCCGAGGCAAAGGAATCCAACTTATAGAATAAATGGGGAGGACTAGGTTGCTGCTTGACACACCACCTCAATCGAGGCTTGCGTCGCCCACGCCGCCATTGTGGCTGCGCTTCTGGTGGAATGTGCTGTAGTGTGCCTAGATGTAGGCAGGGCTTGGGACTCATATGCCTTGGCAATACAAACCCTGATCCAACAGCCCACCATGGAAGGAGTGACCCTGTTTCTCAGAGTAGATGGCTAAAAGGAAATAAATAAGGATTCTGTCTTCCAGAAGGAAGACGTGCATTTGATGTAAATACGGAGGGCCCTTCTAACATCTAAAGTATGCCATTTCTGTTCAAGGACAGAAATGGGCCCGGACAGAAATTAGGCCCGGACAGAAATTAGGCAAAATCAACTTCTGGGCCCTGTGAAACTATGAATTGACTTTGGGAATGAAAGAAGGGTCCAAATGGAGGACCACCCTGTCCTGGTGAAAAATGCAGAGGTCTTGCCTAACAGAAAGAGCCACCAACTCTGAAACTCTCCTGGCCGATGTAATAGCTATGAGGAAGGCCACCTTAAAGATGAGGAAGTGGAGACTTATTGTTCTTAGCGGCTCAAAGGGAACCTCCGTTAGAACCTGTAAAACCTTAGAGAGATCCCAAGTGGGATATCTGTATACCACAGGAAGGCGCAAGTTAGAGGCGCCCCTGACAAACCTGCACACTGTGGGATGCTTAGCAAGTGACTCTAAACTCCCACATGACTGAACGGAGGACAGAGCAGTTACCTGTCTCCGGATGGTATTGGATGTTAACCCCTTGTCTAATCCCTCCTGGAAGAACTCCAGGAGCTGAGCCACCGAAACCTTCAAAGGGTCAGTCCCTGATTTGGAGCACCAGGAGCAAAAGGCCTTCCAGGTTGCATTGTATATCCTGTCCATGGACTGTCATCTGGAAGCTTGGATAGTCTGGATAACTCTGAGAAAAATTCTCCCGCCTCAAGGACCACCACTCAATCTCCAGGGGATCAGTTGGAACCACTGAGGGTCCGGATGGACCAGGGCCCCCTGACTGACGGATATTCGGTCCCGAGAAATTTTCCAGGGTTCTCTCACTGACAGGAGGACCAGGTCGGCAAACCATGGTCTCCTGGGCCAATATGGGGCTCTCAGGATCACTTCCGCCCTCTCCGAAAGGACCTTCCTGATGACTGCTGGAATCAGGAATAGGGGAGGAAAGGCATATAACAGACCCCGAGGCGAAGGGCAGCCATCCTGTCCGGGCACTTGACCTGAACCTCCTGAAGAACCTCAGCAGGTGGGAGTTCTCTGGAGAGGCAAACCGATCCAGAACCAGCCTCCCGTAACGACAGCTGTTGAAAGAGTGAGGGATGCAGGCGCCACTCTGACTGATCCATTGTCACCCTGCTTGCACATTCAGGACCCCTGAGATGTGCTCTGCCCTTATGGGCTGAAGATGTCTCTCCGCCCAGCACCCCAGGCAATCCGCCACCATCATGAGGGGCCTGGAATGAGTCCCCCCCCTTGCCGATTGATGTGTGCCTTGGCCGTCATGTTGTCTGTTAAGACCAGAACGTATTGACCCTCTATTGTATCTTTGAAGCTCTTGGGGACCAAATAAACCACTCTGAGCTCCAGCCAATTGATTTTGTGAGACAGGTCTGCCTGGGTCCACCGGCCTTGTGAGATCTGTGACTGGCAATGAGCATCCCAACCATAAAGGTTGGCTTCTGTTGTGATGGTCAGATGGTCTGGCTCCTTGAATAGACATCCCCTGGTGAGAGCCTGAGATCTCCACCACTGAAGGGAGTACAGTACCTGTAGGGGAACTCTTACCCTCTCCTGTTGGATCGTTGATAGGATAGGAGAAACCATTGCAGCACCCTGCGCTCCCTGCGTGGGAGTGCAGTCATTCCCATGGAACGATGGAGATAGATGACATCATTTTCCCCAGGAGCTGCAGCAGGAGAGCGAGAGGTACTGTTCCCCTGGCTGAGATCCTTCTTGCCAATTGATGCAAACTGTCCAGTCTCTCCGGAGAGAGAGAGAGAGACCATACATATTGATATGTCTATTATGGCTCCCAAGTGGAGCAATCTGGTAGTTGGGGAAAAATGACTCTTCTTGCTATTTATTGAAAAGTCATGTGCTTGTAGGACCTGAATCGTGATCTTTAGGTCTGAAACTGCCTGAATGAGGACTGAATCAGAATGTCATCCAGGTAACACTGGATCTGATAGGTATTGATCAAAGGTGAGCCAGAGCTGAGTGAGGTGCCAGAGCTCCCAATATCTTAGTGAATGCTCTTGGCTCTGAGGACAGACCGAATGGCATGGCCCTGTGTTGATAGTGCCTGCCTGCATAAGTGAAGCGGAGAAACTATCTGTGATCCTGCTTATGGGTGTATGAAGATATCCCTTTGTGAGATCAATGGATGGAAGGAATTCACCGTGTCATATACTCCCCAGAATTGATGGAGTGACTGCATTTTGAAACAGTTGTACTCCAAGTTCAGAAGTTTTAGATCCAGAATAGCTCTGCATCCCCTCGAGCTCTTCCGTACCAGGAATAGTCCTGAATAAAAGCCCAGTCCCTGTTCCTCCTGAGGCACAGGCTGAATTGCCTGGAACTCCAGTAGTTGTTGATCACTGAGTCCATCAGGCTTCTTTTGTTTACATCCCTGGAAACGGGACACTTCATAAAAAAAATCTTTGGGGGAAGTGTAGAGAAACTCTAGAGACAAACCTGACTGCACTGTGCTGAGTACTTACCTGTCTGAAGTTGTGGCCTCCCATTGATGAAAATGGAGGCTGACCCAACTGCCCAGATGCAGAACAGCGCTGCAGTCATTTTGAATGATGATAGGGATGACTTCCTGCCCCACAAAAGGGCTGTTTGCTCTGAAACTGCTGGTGGCCCCAGAACTCTGACCTCTCCATCTGTCTGTTCTGACTGCCAGAATATGATCTCTGAAATTGTTGGTAATTGCCTCCCGACTCTGGAGTACGAAAGGATTGTCTCCAAAAATATGGAGAGAATCTTCTCTCCCCCCTCCTATAAAGAGGAGGCATGACTTTGCCCTTAACCCTTGTCTCAACTAGAATTGGGTCAAGGGCCTCCCCAAACAAGTTATTGCTTGAAAAGGGGGCCGAAGCCAACTTCAATTTGTTTTTTATTGTCAGCCTGCTAATGTTTGAGCCATAGCAGGTGCCCGGTTGTAACTGAAGAGGTTAGTGATCTAGAAGCGAACTTGCCACATTCAGTTCAGGCAAGAAAACTCAGCCGCAGCCACCAGCTTATTTATGTCCTTGTGTAATCTCACATCTTCTGAAATGTGAGATTACACAAGGAATTCGTTCCTGCATCCGGCAAAGCCAGAGCAAAGAAGCCCTATTAAAGAACGAAGCTGATGTAGCAGCCTTAATTGCCCAGGCAGCCGCCTGGTGGGACTTTCATAAGGACAATTCAGCCTTTTTGTCCTCAGCCTTCAAACAATCCATTGCATCAGGAGGCAAAATTGCCACTGAAGTCATAGCAGTGACAGGCTTGTCTACCGCAGGAACCTCTAGTGCGTCAGAAAGATCTGAGGCTACATTGTAAAACTTCCTTTCCGATTTAGACGGAGGCATACCTGCTCCAGGATTGGTCCACTGCCTCTGAATCACATGCAGAAATAATTTGGGAGCTGGAATTACCTCAGCTTCCACTGTAGGCTCAGAAAAGAGCAGATGGCCTGAATCCCCAGGACTCTGGGCTGCTTCTGAAACTTGATCAGGGGCCAAATTCATTATGGCCTTGGCTTTACGCAGCAATGATTTAAATAAGTCTGGCTTAAAAAGACCAGTAAAGGGCGATGGATCCGGATTCTGCCCTTCATCTTCTGAAAAGGTCAGAAATTCCTCCTCTTCTACCGAAGAGTCCCCACTCCTCATGGAAGGAACCAGGGAGGTCAGATCTAGAGGATCCAGCCAATCCTCTTGAAACATGGACTGTGTCTGTTGCTGTTGGTAAGAGGAAGCCCCTTGGGAAGGAAGAGTCCTCTGCTGCAAGCCTGCAACTATTCCCTGCGTAATAGCTTGGGAAAGGTCCTTCAACTGTTCAGGCAAATCTGAACTTGCTTCCTCCATAGGACGGATTCCTGCAGCTGTAGGAGTAAAGGAAGCTTCTGGTTTAATTCTGGGAGGAGGAGCAGACCCCTCCGTTCCAGTCACAGGCAAGTTAGTGCTTGCAAGAGAAAATGATTCAGCTCTATCCAAAACTTTTCCTAAGGTTGGATAGCATGACTTTCTGGCGCCATCTGGAGACCATTGGTGGTAATAGGCTGGCTGCAAAGAATCTGGAAAATTACCAGGTTCCAAAGGCCCTTCTTCCTGAGGGCGGGAAACTTTTGCCAACCCCCCCATTGATCCAGGCTTTTCTAAGCCTTTTGGATCTTAGCCAGCTCCTTTTCAATTGCCTTTTGGTGACATTCTGCATCCTTGTCAGCGATTTTGGAGTCTCTGCTGCTCTTAGATGCAGTTGCCTGGCTCCTGGTTGTAGCTCCCCCGGCTGCCGCTCTCTGGCTTGAAGAGCCCAGCCCTATAACAAGGGAGGACCCAGGAAAAGCTCTCTTGCCATCTGCCTTGGGCTTCTGAGCAGAGGAAAGCACACGAGATGCCATCTCCCACTTTAAAGTGTAGGAAGTTAGCACCCACCCCTTTCCTGGAAGAGTGAAATATTTTAGAAAATATGAAAAAGGCAGAATATTATATTTCCCTGGGAGAAGCATGTTTTACAGACACAGCAGCTCCCACCTTCCTGCCCCCCACCCTTTGTTAATGGGCCAGAGGCAGAAACCCAATCCTTTGTCAAAGGACATTTGCAACACAATAGCAACAGAAACTAACACAATGGGACCCATCTAGACAGAGGCTCACCACATGGCACCTGGGAAGATTGCATCAGCCGGCAAGGCTAGCTAAAACCCCCACCCCCTGGAAGTCTGACAACCAATCAGGATACTCTTTCGGGCCCCCAAGAAATGCAGAGCCAGAGAGAGCATAAAAACCAGAGGATTTACTGTATCTGCCCCTTTTCTGTTCAGGAACTCAAGCCATGTGATCCTGTCCACCATTAAACCATCTTTCCAAGCAGTCTCCATGTTTCCAGTGTCTGTTTCCCCACTTGGAGCAGAACCTAGAAGGATGTTTCTTCCAACAAAAGAAAGGCAGTCGGACCTTCCAAAGGTTGCAGCTGCTGTGGCTTCAATAGCGCCCTATGCGCTCTCGCTGCCAAACAGTATGCCCCAGACACAGCTGGGCAGTGACTGAGCCCCTTGCCACCTGTTTTGGTGGAAATGTCAGGACCACCGCTCGCCAGGGAGCCGGATCCGCTATTAAGGGCCCTACTGCTAACCGCGGTTGGCTGGGACCTCGGCTAATCAAGCCGGCAATGGAGGCAGCAATTTGGCAGACCGAAAAGCTGCCTAGTGCTGTAACCAATCCTGAAAGGAAGAAAAATGATTTTTTTGTAAGCTCACACTTGGAGGATCTAGGCCTGGACAAAGCTCTCTCCAATACGTCTTTTCTGTGTGCGGACTGAGCTGAACTGGGAGACCAGCAGAGGAGGAGGAATAAATATAGACTAAATATGGTCTGACTAAATATAGAAATAAAGATCACATGCTCAGTCTACATGCAGAACATAGAGCTACTACCCATGCCTAGATGCTCTCGATCCAACTCTAGGGAGAATTGCCTTTGTTAGCATTCTAGCTAAGACAACTGTCAGCCCCTGCAGGGAAAGTGACAAGTAAGTGGACTGGGCATGGTGAGCAGAAAGAAAGCTAGTGGAGGGAGAAGGAAGAACATTAAGCTTTTTTTGGGGAGGGGGAGGGAGCAGGTCTGTAAGCTCATGGCCATCCCTGAAAAAGGACATTTTGTAGTATGCCTTAAGATTCCCTCAGCATGCTCCCTAACCAAACTTTTTGTGTAACATGTATATAGACTCCATGGAGCCCTGGAGCTCATCATTTCAGATAACAGAGTTCAATTGACTTCACAATTTTGACAGGAGCAAAATTGTTTGGCACTACCCACGGGCTTAGCTCTTCCCATCATATCCAGGTGAACGGGTGTGTGTGAACATAAAATGGCATCCTGGAACAATACCTAAGATGCCACATTAACTACCAACAGCACAACTGGATTCAGCTCATGCCCTTTGCAGAGGTGGCCTTCAATAATGCAGTATATAGTGGCATAGGCTTCACCCCCTTTAAAATCACCACCGACCAGGACTTTGTAGCAATGTCCAAATTACCCCGGGCCAAGCCACAAACTACATCATGAGCAGAATGGATTACACAACTTCAAAGCACCTGGCCAATAGTCCACAAAGAGCTAGAAGCAGCATGAGAAACCTATAAAAAGCATGCCAACAAAAAATGCTCCAAACCAAAAGTTTTTAACATAGGCGATAAAGTCTATCTCTCCACCAAATATCTGCATTCTAGGCAGCCATCAAGAAAACATTGGTACTTTCCCTGTCAGCAGAGTCATCAATTCACTAATAATTCAATTGGACCTACCAAAACCCTTCAGGTATGTTCACCTTGTTTTCACTGTAGCCTATTGAAATCAGCAATTGAAACCCCTATGCCCTGCAAAACCATCACCAATTCCCATTCTAATTGAAGGGGAACAGCATTTTGAAGTTAAAGGCATTTTGGACTCCCATAGACATTGAAGGAAAATCCAATATCTAATTGTGTGGAAGGATTTCCCTCCCTCAGAGACAGAAGTGGGGGATCCCTAACATGTGCAAACATCAAAACGTCTTTGTAAATTTGACCACAAATAGCCAAAGAAGCCTCATTAAACTCCAACTATCTCTCCTTTTTGTCTCCTTTCCTAAAGGACTAATATCTTTTTCAAAGGGGGCAGAATGTCAGACCTCCCACCTTTAGCATACCTCCCTTCACTGGAATCCTACCATACAATGCAAGGGAGGGGAAGTAAGAATTGGGCATGGGAATGTGCAAGGATAAGGAATCTTAGGGCATGGCATAAGTTATTGAGCTGGACTAAACTGACTGATCAAGGATGAAGTCCGAGAATAGTATGCAAAACTTGAAGGCGCCAACCTTCAAAGCTGTTCCCAAATCATCAAAAAGAAATACTATTGGACACTAACGGATTGGTCTAGGGGGGAGGACCAGAGGAAGGGGAAAATTGCAACCTTTGCACAGGATTACTCAGATCCAGCTTTGCTTTCGCTGTAACCACTTGACTTTAGTAAAAGAACCTTTCACTTCAAAGAATGGAGTCAAGGATCTTTCTTTCCTAAACATCTAAGTTGAGAGAAGCCTGGCAGTAGCACTGAGGCTGGACCTGAAATAAAGGTCTAGGCCTCTACTTCAGCTCTAATGCCACCACTGACATAAAAAAGGCTGCCTTGTGGTCTTAGGATCTACTACGCATGCTTACCTTTGCTAGTGTTCTCTTTCTCTTTCTATTGAGAGGCTCTAGCCTACCCAAGACTGAAATTGGTTGCATGAGGCCTTCGCTCGTGGTTTTGGAGAATATCCTTCTGCAGCTTCTGAAGTCTCCAAAAGTACATGAAAGCACATTCCCCTGTCACATGATTTCAGAGGCTCTGGATGCTATGAAAGAGCACAGCCCTCACACAAACTTCTGGAGAGTCCAGAGACCTAATGAGAGCACATTCCATTCTCATACAGTTACTAAAAATCAGATGAGACTGGGCCATTCTTTTCAGAATAGTTGTTGGGTATTGGTGAATGCTGGTGTCATTCAAAGTATCATGGCATGTCATTTTTAACATACATATTAAAGATTTGCTATGACTTTTATAAATGCATTATCATGACTGACATTACTGATACACCAAATCTAAATTACTCACTGGGTTGAGTTCTACAGGCCCGGACTGGACGATCAGAGGGTGGATCAACTTCCACTTTTTTTCCTGGATCAAAGTCATCCATTTCACCCTCAGTATCACAATGTTCTTTCTCTCTCTTTCTTTTCTTCTCTTCCTGATATTAAAAAAAATGTGGTCAATATTTTCATATAAGAATATATATTTATAGGAATCATTTATTACTGTAATATAAAGTTTAGCAAGCACTTTAATTATATTAACTGAGAACAGAAATAATTGAGAATCATTGTAACAGTTCAAAAGAGAAAATGGCTCCTTCAACCTTGTAGTTTATAGCAACAGCACTTAGACTTATATACCGCTTCACAGTGCTTTACAGCCCTCTCTAAGCAGTTTACAGAGTTAGCATATTGCTCCCAACAATCTGGGTCCTTATTTTATTGACCTCTAGGCAAACGAGCACTGAGACGTTGTTAGGTATGCTTTCTCCAAGCATACTGTAGATATGGCATCTGCAGCAATGGGAACAATTGTCATTGCTATCAGCTCCTTTAGTTGAAGTGATAACATATGATGGTGATAGTTTTTGTAAAGAAGTAAACAAAATAACTCAGAAACAGTTCAATGGCTGTTGAAATAGAACTCAAAGAAGATATAAAGTGTGGACAAAAATATTTTATCTCCTTTCATCAAGAGCAGTATATAATGAGAAATATAGAAAGAATGGAGTTTAAAAATCAGTATATGTTCACTAATAATCTCATTTAGAAAGTCCATTCACATTCTTTCCACTTCAAACCCAAGATGAAAACGAATAGCTTAGTAACAGAAATTGCCTATCTGGAAACCAAAATGTAGGCAAGAAATAATGTGAGATAAGTTGAAAAATGATGGAAAGTAAGAAACAAGATAAAAGTTTGCCCTTCTGAAGAATTAACCATGGAGTCCTTGATGCTGAGTTTGGTTGTTTGCTCACAAACATTTCATTACCCAACTAAGTAGTAAGTAGCATCATTAACGCTAGTGAATGTGGCGTTTGCTTATATGCAATATTACCTTAACAGTATTTTTGGAGATGTGGTTTTCTCCTTGAAAAAGAGGGTATTATTTTCTGCTTGATTTATCTGGTGCTAATAATTCCATTTCATTCATTCATTCATTCATTTACATTTTCCTTCCTTCCTTCCTTCTCGTCCTCTTTCCCTCCCTTCCTCTTCTTTCTTCCTCTTTCTTTTTTGCCTTTATTATTTTTACAAACAATAACAATCATGGCAGCTAACATATCCAATGCCCTTTCCTCCCCTTTCCCTCCCCCCACCCAAAACAATTCAGTGAGGTGGGTTGGACTGAGAGAGCCCAAAGTCACCCATCAGGTTTTCATGGCTAAGCAAGATTTAAACTTACGGTCTCTGCTTTCGGTGCTTTAATCATTAGATTAAATTGGCTCTCCTTAGATACTATAATGTCTGCTTATCTGTGTTTAGGTTGCTGGAGAGGATGGGTTTTGGAATTTTTGTTTCCTTTTTAACTTTTTTATTGTCTCTTTTGAATGGTCTAAATGTGGTTTATCTTTATATGGCTAATTTGTCTTGAATATCAAGCTTCCAAGCATTTTTGGATTTAGCTTAGTCTAGGATGCTCATAGCTTCCCAGTTGAAACTATGGTTGAGTCTGTCCATGTGTTGTGAAATTAAGAAGTTTCCATGGTGTCTTCTGACTGCTAGTTGGTATTTATGAATATACTGTCCACACAGAAGTTGTAAAGTCCTGTAGGAAGTTACAAATTACTCTTTTTCTTCTTCTTGGTCTGCTGGGTCTTTCATTTGTTTTGGAGGGCTTGTAGGTTTTTTTGTTATGGTTGTAATAGTTTCTTGATTGTTTCTGAGATATTTTTGATATATGATAATGTTATCCATGTTATCCTTTTCACAGTTTGTATTGGTTGTGCTTCAATGGGTTGACTGGTCAGAAACTTTTTGATAAAGTTGTGTGAGTATCCATTTTGTTACAAGATGCTATGTACACTGCTATATGGGGTGCCACAGGGCTTGGTACTTTCTCCACTCCTGTTCAACATTTATATGAAGCCGCTGGGTGAGATCATCCGTCACTATGGACTGAGGTATCCTCAATATGCTGATGATACTAAGCTGTATGTCTCAGCCCATGTTGAGTTAAGTGATGCCGTGTCCTCCCTCTCGCAGTGCCTGGAGGCTTTTAGGGGTTGGATGGGGAGCAATGGCTTGAAACTAAACCCTGGCAAGACCAAGTGGCTCTGGGTTTGGGGTTTGTTGGCTCAGGGAGAATTGCCATCTTTGGTCTTGGATGGGATGGTACTACCCCAAACAAACCCTATGTGTAATCTGGGGGTTCTCCTGGACTCACGACTCCTGCTCGAAGAGGTGACCTGTTGTGGCCAGGAGGGCCTTCGTGCAACTGCAAGTTGTGTGCCGGTTACACCCTTTCCCAGACCGGCAATCCCTACTCACAGTCACTCATGTCTTAGTCACTTCCCATCTTGACTATTGCAACACGCTCTACATGGGGCTGCCCTTAAAAGAGCATCTGGAAGCTCCAGTTGATGCAAAATGCAGCGGCCCACGTGGTTTTGTGCAGACCTCGGTGTGCACATGTATCACCTCTCCTGTGGGAGCTTCATTGGCTGCCGATTTGCTTCCGGGTGCAATTCAAGGTGTTGGTTGTCACCTTTAAAGCCCTTCATGGCTTGGGACCAGGTTATCTGAGGGACCATCTCTTTCTGGTCACATCTACCCGACCCATTAGAACGGGGAGGCAAGGAATGCTGCGGGTCCCATCCCCGAGGGAGATACACCCAGAAGAAGGGCCTTCTCCATGGTGGCTCCCTCTCTCTGGAACATCATTGCCCCAGAGATTAGAACGGCCCCCATCCTAATTCTCTTCCAGAAAGCGCTGAAGCGGGCCTAGGGAACCCAGAGCGGAATGGAGCCCATTAAATGGCTCATATGATCGGCTGTCCCTGGGGCAGGAGGTGGCGGTCAGGGGTGATTTTATTACATTAATTTATTTGATTTTTTATGAGTTTTACTATTTTTAAATGTGTTTTTTTAAATTCTGTAAGTTGCCTTGAGTCGCCATGGGCGAACAGGCAGCAATATAAATATAATAAATAAATAAATAAATATGTTGTATAGTTGTATATTTCTTTCTTCTGGTATTCTGGGTTGCTGCAGTGTGTTTGTGCTTATCTGTATAAAGTTCTTACACAGTTCCTCTTGGAGGAGTATACTTTGGTAATGGAGCACTTGACTAGTGCAGGTTGTTTTTCAATAGACTTGCATAAGGACAAATTCTTTACTTTATTTGCATTATAATAAGAATCACTTTTGTCAGGCACAACTAATCATTAATAGGAGTTGAGTTTAAAGCACAAAAGGTTATTAATATAAAGGTTTCCCCTGTCTGGTTGTATTTGACTGTAGGAGGCGGTGCTCCATTTCCTAGCTGAGGGAGCCAGCACTATCCAAAGATATTTCTTTGGTCATGTGGCCAGCATGACTATATGCTGAGGCACATTGAACACTATTACCTTCTCATCAAAATGGCACCTATTTATCTAATTGCATTTGTATCTTTCAAACTGCCAGGTGGGCAGGAGCTGGGGCAAATAAGGGGAGCTCACCCTGTCGCATGGCACTCTTGAACCTGGGCTGTCGAGTTTCCAACTGACAAGCCTGTGTCTTTAATCACTGAGACCATTACCCTCCCTAAGAGTTTTACATGCAACCTATACACAAGAATCTGATCCATTAACAGTCTAACCAAATATGCAATTGATAAGGATCCACAGAGTTCAAGGGGGGCGGGGGATAGACATGTGTTTCTTGTGGTGTATGACTGTAAACTGATGACCTGTTTGACCTCACCCTCAGGTTCAATCTGCTCCTCTCTTACATTACTCCCCCTTCCAACTTGGCTTTCTTCCTCCTCCATGGGCTCTTCGAAGATGCTTTCCCGCTCCTGCATAGTCTCTTCATAGTCTGAGTTCCCATGGAAACTTGATAAAAAGGCAGTGAAACTTCCTCAAAGGAAATCTCCTTACCTGCTTCTGAAATAGTCAGTGAGTCAGGTGGCAGTTGCCGGACACAGAAATAGCATTAGAAAGTTCCTCCTCTCCCATGTTTGGGAGTTGAAGGCCAAAAGTGAAAACCTTCTATGGGGGTAAGAGGAGCCATGGTGGGGGAGTGGTTAGAGTATAGTATTGCAGGCTGACTCTGCTCACTGCCAGGAGTTCTATCTTACTGGCTTAAGGTTGATTCAGCTTTCCAACCTTCCAAGGTTGATAAAATAAGGACCCAATTGTTCAGGGCAATATGCTGATGCTGTAAATCTTTTAGAAAATGCTATAAAACCCAATGAAGTGGTATATAAGTGCTATTACTAATATTCTTGGGTATATTCCATATGAGCTTGAAAGGATATTATTGAAATCGATGTGTTAGGGAGAGTTTTTATAAGAACATTCTGCCAATGGCAATAATGATGGCCAGTTGTCTTGGCTGTAGGTACAATAGTGCCTCATATATTGTTGGAGCAGCTGGATAAGTCTTCTCACTGTTCAAGGCTGTGTGGTAGACTAGAGTGAGGCTAACTTAGATATTCAAGAGAAAGAACCGTCCCTGCACTGGGCTCCGCAGTCCAACTTGCCCCGGCTTCGGGACCAGCTCCTGAGTGACAGAGGGATCACAAGACACCCACCCTTGGCATAAAATTCAATGGAGACCCCAGGCAGATGGGGTTCTTCATGGTGCACATCTGGACCTACATGCAGGAATATGGTCTGGAAATAGCTGGCCAAGGGGCGGTGCATGACCATGGCATTGGAGCAGCTGACTGCTGAGTCAATGAACACTCTCCACAATGACAATGTTCTGGAGCTGAGAAAGTTCAACCGCTTCATGACTACCCATACAAAGCACTTCAAGGATTCTTTGGCCAACTGAAAAGCCAGAGATTGCATAAAAACCATCAGCCAGAGACAGAGAGGAGTGGGCAAGTACATCCAGGAGTTCCATGACCTAACCTGCTGGTTAACTGATTAAACAAAAGATATCTTGATTGGCTGCTTTCAAGACGGGCTGAGTGACAAGATCTATATTACCTGTGTCTCCAGGGGTGCCCCTGCACCCTCCATCATTGGTACATTCTAGCAGAAGAGATGGAGATTGGTGCAATCCAAATATTGGCCAAGCCATGTGTGCAGAGATCTTGCCCAAGAAAAAAGAGGTGCCAAAACCACAGCCACACAAGCAGAGCCCACACCAGCGGTCCACTGGCTGCTTTAGGTGCAGAAAAGAAGGCCACTGAACTGCTGTCTGCTGAGACGCACACCCAACCCAAAAGGCAACCCTAAGAGCTGCCAAAAAGCAGGCAAAACTGCCTCAGAGAGCTCACGAAATAGCCCTAAAAGGAGTGGATGATGGACATGTTGGCTCATTTGGCAAAAGGGAAAATTTTCACGAAATTAGACTTGCGAGAGGCATACTACCAAGTAAGAATCAAGGAAGGGGATGAGTGGAAGACAGCTTTCAATTGCCACTTAGGCTGTTTCCGATTTAGGGTCCTGCCTTTTGGACTGCAGGGTGCCCCTGCTGTGTTCATGCAGCTAATAAATGAGGTGATACATAAGCACTTGTATAAAGGGATCTTAATCTAGTTGATTGATATTTTTAATTACACCAAGACCATGGCAGAGCATGTGAAATTGGTCAGGGAAGAAGAAACAAGCTGCCCAGCTATAAATCAAATTTTCTAAGTGTGAATTTCACTAGAATAATATTGACTATCTGGGATATTGAATATCCCATGAGGGCATAGAAATTCATCCAGAGACAGTGCGGGCAGTGCCTAAGTGGGCTCCTCCCCATACCAGAAAGCAGCTGTAGACTTTCCTGGAATTTGCCTGCTAAAGACAAAGGAAGAAGGAAAATCCAACCCATGCTGGGTGCTCCTAACTTGGAGGCATTTCCTAGAAGTGGGGAAAACCCCATTTGAAGTTTAGACTGACCGTAAGAAGTTAGAAGCCTTGAGAACCCCACTGCAGATTATTGCTGAAACAGGCCTGGTGGGCTCAGTACTATAACTGATCTAACTTCACATTATGATATCTCCCAAGAAGAAGATGCTCTATCCAGACTGCCACAATACAATAGTTCAAAGCCAGAGGTAATTAAGACAATCATCTCCTCCAGGGAAATAGTCACCACCCAAGTGCAGGCTAAATTAAAACCCCAACTAACTGATGATCTAAAGAACACCCTGAGAGCAGCTTTAGGAGAAGACAAATGGTACGAGGTACATAAGAATGAATGTACACTGCAGGATGATCTAGATTGGGTGGCGGCCAAACTGTACATCCCAGAAAGCCATCAGCTGTTAGTTCTATAACAGAGCCATAATTCAAAAATTGTGGAACATTTCAGGTTCATAAAAACCCTGCACCTAGTCAAGCGGCAATTTTGGTGGGCATCCTTCAAAAAGGACATAGAAAACTATGTAGCCAGCTGTCTTACCTGTGCTTCTACCAAACAGAGACAAGGGAAGACACCAGGGTCCTTCAATCCGTAGCAGAACCAAAAGCTCCATGGAAAGAGATATCAATGACCTTTATAGTAGAATGGCCCAAAAGTTCATGGACCACAGTAATTTGGGTGATAACCAACGTATTTTCCAAATAGGTGCATTTGTTCCCTGCCAAAAAATCCACTCTGCTTACACTTTGGCTAAACTATTCATGCAGCATGTTTACCGGTTACATGGTTGCTCCAGAGTGGATCATCTTAGATCACAAAGTCCAATTCACTTTGCGATTTTGGCAAGTTACTAAAACTTTTGGGGAATTCTCAGGGGCTCACTTTCATGCATCATCCGGCTACTAATGGTGGCTGTGAACATATCAATGGGTCTTGGAGCAGTACCTCAGATGCTATATTAATTATCAATCAATCAATCAATCAATCAATCAGATCAATTGAATAGAGCTGGAAGGGGCCTTGGAGGTCTTCTAGTCCAGCGCCCTGCTCAAGCAGGAGACCCTATACCATTTCAAACAAGTGACTGTCTAATCTCTTCTTAAAACCCCCCAGTGACGAAGCACTCACAACTTCTGAAGACAAGCTGTTCCACTGGTTAATTGTCCTTATTTTTAGTAAGTTTTTCCTTAATTCCAGTTTGCTTCTCTCCTTGATTAGTTTCCATCCATTGTTTCTTGACCTGCCCTCTGGGGCTTTGAAAAATAAATTGATCCCTTCCTCTTTGTGGCAGCCTCTCATATACTGGAATATTGCTAGCATGTTCCTTCAGTCCTTTTTTTCTCTAGAGTAGCCAAACACAAATCTTCCAACCATTCTTCATGTTTTAGTCTCCAAGCCTTTAATCATCTTAGTTGCTTTTCTTTTCACTTTTTCCAAAGTCTCAACATCTGTTTTATAATATGATAACCAAAACTGGATACAGCATTCCAGGTGTGGCCTTGCCAAGGCTTTATAAAGCAGTACTAATACTTGATTTTGATTCTTTACCTCTGTTTATACAACCAAGGATTGTATTAGCTTTTTTGGCTGCTGCCACATACTGCTGGCAGGTCCCTCTTACAGTTACTGTTTTTGAACCAGGTTTCACCTAATCTGTACTTGTACCTTTGGTTTTTCCTGCCCAGGTGTAAAAGCTTGCTTTTCCCCACATTAAATTTCATGTTGTTGGATAGGGCTCATTGCTCAAGTCTGTCAAAATCTTTTTGGATCCCAAGCTTGTTTTCTGGAGTGTTGGCTATTACTGCCAGTTTAGTGTCATCTGCAAATTTGATGAGTTTCTCTTCTATTCCCTCATTTAAGACATTTATAAAGATATTGAAGAGTACCAGGCTTAAGATGGAATCTTGTTGTACCCCATTGCTTATTTCCCTCCATGTAGATGTAGTACCGTTAAGGATTACTCTTTGAGTATGGATTGTTACAAATCTATCTGGGGGTGAAGCTATCCCACATTTTTCTAGTTTATAAAGAAGTAGGTTGTGGTCCAGATTGTCGAATGCCTTGCTGAAGTCTAACTATACTAAGTCCACAGCATTTTGCTGGTGTACTAATTTAGTTATTTATCAAAGAATGAAATAACATTGGTTTGGCATTATCTGTTTTTAACAAACCCATGCTGGCTACTAGTTATAACTTTATTTGTTTCTAGATGTTTGTAGAGCTGTTTTTTTTATTAACTTTTCCAGTATCTTCCCAGGTATTGATGTTAGACTGATTGGTCTTTAGTTTCCTGGATCTATTTTTTCTTCCTTTTTTATGATGGGAACAACATCAGCTCTTTTCCAATCCTAAGGTAATTCCTCATTGTCCCAAGATTTTTGAAAGACATTTATTGTATAGTAATTACCCCATATGGAAATTACAGCAGGATAATTGGACCCTTTTGTAGAGGTCTCCCTTTTGTGGAGGTCTCTTATAATAACTCAATACACAGTAGTACTGCGTTCACTCCATTTAAACTGGCCATGGGATAAGATTTTGTATCTATCCCCGAATTGCCTCAGGCCACCCCATTAATTGCATTGCTCCAGGAATGGATGACCCAATTACAAACCACCTGGCAGGTGTTAAGAAAGGCTTTGGAGGAATCCAGAGAAGCATACAAAAGGCAAGCCAATAAAAAGTGCACAAATACTAAGGACCTTAAACTGGGAGATAAGGTCTATCTGTCTACTAAATTGTCCAGTCAGGAGAACAATCCAAAAAATTGTGCCCAAAATATGTTGGACATTTGCACATAAAAAGAATTATTAACCCAGTGCTGTGAAACTTGAACTACCAAAAATGCTCAAACACATACACCCCGTATTTCATTGCAGTCTATTGAAAGCAGAGGTCACTTCTTCCCTGCGTCCAAAGGTGCAACTACCTTTTGATCTATCATGATTGAGGGAGAAAAACACTTTGAAGTCAGAGACATTCTGGTGGCATGGAAAGATTTTCCTCCATCAGGGACTAAATGGGTCGATTCCAAACATATTAAAGCCTCCAGATTGCTTAAAAAGTTCCATGAATGTTACTCAGACAAACCCCATTGAACCAATTATTAATGAGGAAATATTCTGTGCCTCTCCCTCCCCTCTTCTCTTCCTTTGCAGAACTAAAGTCCCTGTCCAAGGGGGCGGGGGCAGAATGTCAGGTCCTGCCAGTTCCTGCCATAAGGCTGTAATGTGTGTGTATGGACAAATGGGCAATATGATTGTGCTCTGATTGGCAAAGTACAGACTGGTAACAGCAAGAACAGGAAAAGGGATTTTTTTTCTATATCTTTTTCATGTGGGAAAACCTTAGGAAAGGAAAGCCTGATTTTACTGTAACCAACTTCCTTAGTAAAAGAACCTTTTGCTTCAACCTAATGGACTCAAGGATCTTTCTTTTCTAAGGGACTGGATTGGGGCAGGTCTGACATACAGTTTATATCACTTTAGAACAAAATGGATCCTTCCACTCGTATGATTTTATGACAGTGTTTAAACATATTTAAAATGCAACACAACATATATTACTTGAAATTGCTGTTTTACCTTTCTCTTCCGCCTTTCTTCATCGTCAAGATGCTTTTCTTTCTCTTTCTCCGATTTCTTTTTCTTTTTCTTTTTCTTTTCCTTATGTCGTTCTCTCTCATGATCTGATCGGTCATCATAATAACTGGAATCATGTCCTGATCCTGAAAGTTCAGTCACTTCACTACCTCCAACTTTCAGCACCAGTTTCAATGGCTTTTCCAAAGGTTTGTCCATATAATCTAATCAAAACAAGTAAGACAATTTCAGAAGATAAAATAAAACAATATTTAGAAAAAACGGAACTAGTAAAATAGTGAAAGTAATGCTAGATGAACGTATAACAATGGAATTAACAGATGCAATTAAGAGACATAAGAATGGCAAAACACCAGGTCTGGATGGATTACCAGCAGAATTATACAAAGACTTACAAAATACTTTGAGTATTCCAATATTGGAAGTATTCAATGAACTATTGTTAGAAGCGAAAGTACTAAATTCATGGTTGGAAGCATACATTACTCTCAACCTTGGTTCTCAACCTGTGGGTCGGGACCCCTTTGGGGGTCGAACAACCCTTTCACAGGGGTCGCCCAAGACCATCCGAAAACACATATTTTCAATGGTCAATGGAATAATTTTATGGTTGGGGGTCACCACAACATGAGGAACTGTATTAAAGGGCAGCATTAGGAAGGTTGAGACCCACTGCTATAGACCGATATCCTTATTGAATGATTATAAAATATTTGCTTCAATATTTGCAGAAAAACTAAAAAGATTCTTAAATCAATTTATACATCCAGATCAAAATGGTTTTTTTACCTAAGAGACAAATTAAAGACAATATGAGAATAATTTTAAATACACTGGAGTATTAAGAAGCGCATCCAGAGAAGCAAATGGCGTTGATTTTCCTAGACACACAGAAAGCATTTGATAATGTGAACTGGCAATTTATGCTAGCACAATTAAAAGACATGGACTTTGGAGTGAGATTTATTAATATGATTAAGGTGATATATTACAAGCAAACTGCAAAGGTGATGTTAAATGGAGATATGACTGAGAAGGTTAGCATTAAGAAAGGTACAAGACAAGGATGTCCCTTGTCTCCCCCTATTATCTATATTGACACCAGAAGTATTAAATAGAAATATTAGACAAGATACAGAAGAAAAAAAATGGACGTTAGAAATAAAAGGAGATCCATGAAATGTAAAAAATATGTTAAGATAGAGATGTAAACAATATGATGATTGTTATTATTATTATTATGACTATTAGGATTATGTTTAATATTATTATTATATTCTTATTAGAAGAATAGGGAGAAATGAATAGGTTTATTATGTTCAATACTACTATTGTAAGATCAGAGAACCAATATCAGTGTAATGAATACTGTTGTAAATTTTGATTGTTATCCTTCTCTGTGGGAGCCCCAACCCTGTGGAATGAACTGCCCCCGGAAATACGTAAGATTTCCGACCTCCGGGTGTTCCGCTGCGCACTGAAGACTCTGTTGTTCCGCCAGGCAGGGCTGTCAATATAATAATTTTAAATTGGGGTATTTTAATTTTTGGGGTTTTAAATTGGCCAAATCTATTTAATTATTTTAATTTTTAATTATTGTTGTGTCTTGTGTTTTTAAATTGGCTGTACACCGCCCTGAGTCCTTCGGGAGAAGGGCGGTATAGAAATAAAATAATAATAATAGTAATAATAGTAATAATAGTAATAATAATAATAATAATAATAATAATAATAGTTGTTGTTGTTGTTGTTGTTGTTGTTATTACACAGATATTTGTACCCAGACGACACACTGTTTAATGGAAGATGGAATGTTCATATTAAAAACAACAATAACAATATATTAGTTTTTGAAGAACACAATCAAACTTCCAGAACTCACAATACTATGTAATAATTAAAATGTTGGACAAAGCCTGGGGAGACCCAAATTCAACTTCACTCTTAGCCATAGAAACTCATGGATATTTTGAGCTAAATTATAACTCAATCTCTTTCTTCAAAGTGTAAAATATTTTTGTGTTAAAACATTTTTAGAAACAGATTTATATATGTAAACTAATAGTGCCAATATCTATATACCATTTTCTTTTATAATTAACTTTTCTGCCACTTTTTAGTTTATATTGGAATCAAACAAGGAATGTATTATTATTATTATAGCATGTCTCAATTTATAATCCTTGATTGTTAGTTCTATTGACATGGTGTTATCAGGAAACAGGAGCAGAATGCTATCTGTCAAATTAGATGGGGTTTCTTGTTATTTTGGTTCCATTGGTCAAGTGTCTTTTATTAAAGGTGTTCTGTCATTCATTCATTTTCATTTTTAATTTTCATTTTCACTCAAATTGTTCAGGTGGTTCATCTTTTGTTTCCGTATTTTGACAGCTCAGTCTTCTTAGATGTGGGACAATGGTTTTCCATGCATATCTACATTTACTCAAAGGACAATAAAGTGGTTGCCTCAAGCCTTCAAAAAAACAGACATTCTGAGCAATAGATCTGGAATATGCTGGAGGATGTTTTGCAAGGCATCCCTCCAAAATGTTTGTCTAATCACATTATTTTTGAAGCTAATATGAACACCTATGAATTAGTGTTTAAAATCCTGTGAGCTCATTTGAATTTTCAATATTTTTGCATATGACTTAAATGTAATCTGTTCTCTACACGTCCTAAAACTAAATAAAGAGAACCCAATTAAATAGATGAGTCAAAAACATTATATTTGTTCACTTATTTGCTGAGGAAAATGATCCAATGGAGTTTAGTATGATCAGCATGCTAATGATATTCAATCATAATCACCATTTTTCAACCCCTAACCAGCAAAACAAGGCATCTTCAGTTCCATCTATGAAGACTAAGCGGCTGTGGTTGTTGGGCCTCATTAGAATCCAGGGAGATTCTATCTTTGATCTTAAATCTATAGTTTTCAACTAAAAAATGATGTGCAATTTGAGGGTCTTCTTGGATTCATAGCTTCTGCTCAATGAAGTAATAGCAGCTATGCCAAGAAGGCCTTGATACAGCTTGATAAAGCTTCTTCTGCTAGGTCAGTGGCATCCTTCCTGGAGGAGGTTTTAACAGTCGCTAAAGCCTAGTCATCTCATAGCCATGTGTTCTGTGGGATTTTTCTTCAAGAGCCCTTGGAAGCTTCAATTGATCCAGAATGTAGTGAGACAGGAAGAGATGATGTTGCCACTGCATGCTCATGTAACACCTCTGTTCCATGAACTGTACTACCAGTCTGCTTCCAAGTGCAATTTAAGCTGTTGGTATAAAGGCCTGTATGGCATAGCGTCCAGTTATTTGAACAACTATGCTTGATAAGTTAAATAGTCCGTGTGAGAAACAGAAATAATGTGAATAGAACACTTTTATCTTGAATTTGTTATACCGTTTCCCCAAAAATATGACCTATCCTGAAAATAAGTCCCAACCTGTTTTTTTTACACAAGCGCCTTATAAGTTCTAACCCAAAAATAAGCCCTAGTGAAGGTAGGTGGGCATGGCTGGCAAAGGAGGCAGCCAACACAAATAGGCTGACAGTGTCTAGCAGCAGCTGTGCAAGCAGCAGGCAGAAGCAGAGACGGAGAGAAGTAGGCAATCTGGCCGTGCCATGCAGGCTGCGGGTGTTCTGCCCCAGCTCCGGATTTCCGAGGATATTGACACACACCAACGGTCCTTATCGAATTTTTTAAGTAGCAAGAATAAACCAAAGTCCAGCAAAGGTTGGCAAGCAGCCCAGAAAACAAGATATGATAAGACTTTTCCAAAAATGCTCTGATGATAATTACAAATTGTTTCCAGCAAGAAACTTACTAACCACATGTGACTTAAATAGGCTAAGGGAGTGGCCAATTATCCTCAAGCCTTACTCTCGAGACCTTCTCCTCCTGAGTAGCCACTCCTGCCTTTTGGCAGCCCTGTGTGCTCGAGCATTGAGAAGAGGTCCTCCACTTCACTCTCTCCACTGGAAGGAGCCTCTGGAGGTTCTGAAGGCCCTGGCTGAATCTCTGCCTCTGGCACCACATCCTCTTCAGCTTCCTCGCTGTCCGACACGAGCGCTGGCTGCGCCGGCTGCTGGCACGACACCACACCAGCCTCTTTGTCGTCGGGATCAGCCACGATCCGTGCAAGCCGCTGGTGGGCCACAACAGCGGGAAAGCCGAGTGGTGGTGGGCTGGAGTGGCGGCAGGCAGCTCATTTTTCCATCTTTGGCTTGCCTGCAGCTCATACAGTGGGATCGTCTATTTTCTGTCTATGTGTCAGCATCACCTGCCTTCTGCTCTGTGCAGCCCCAGAGTGCACTGACCAAGGGACCGGCAGGTTGCAGCTGCTGCCCAATACCATTGGTCCCCAAATGCTTGTTGAGTCTTTTGTATGTGCCATGGGGTGGGATGTCCAGCCAAGCTGATCACCCTGAAATTGTGGTGCAGGTTCTGAAAAGGATAAGACATACCTAGACCACCACTGGAGTAAAATGAAGGATGATTCTGATTGGTCATTAATTTAGAGCTTATGTTAATGTCTACCTCATAGCAGTAAGAGTGGAGAAACAGCATTATTTCTCCACCCTTATTGCATCCAAAAAGTGTTGCCCAGCAGCCCTGTTCTGGAACACCCGTCCCTCCTGGGACAGGAGGTCTAGATGATCATCTTCACAGTCATGCAAAATAATTTGTACAACACCTGATGGACAAAGTTGCTCAGATTCATTCCCAAGTACATGTAAGATTCCTGGGGAAAGGTCCTGCCTGGTGAACAGTTCGGAAACTGTTGGGAACAGTTTGATCCTGTTAGACCTGATGAAGTCATTGAGGTATCAGTTGCTAGTCAGCTGGTTAGCAGGGTCCAGAAAAGCCTTTTCTTCTGTGACACCATAACTTTGGAATATTTGACTCATTTGTCTGAAATGGTATGTGGTCTCTTGTTGAGCAGAGGGTTGGCCTAGAAGACCTCCAAGGTCCCTTCCAAGTCTATTATTCTGTTATCCCAAGTGAAATCTGCTCCCACCACACTGATCTTCTGCAAGGACCTGAATAACTGGCTCTAGCAGTTCGCTTGAGGCCCCAATGGGGGAACATCATGGGTGGATTAAGAGAAGTATCCTACCTTCCCAGCTCCATATCCCGCCTCCCCATCTCTGGATCCCATTTTCTCCCATCTTTTAACAATATTTTTTCTCTGACTGTAATGCTACTTTGTTTTCAGAAATAATTATAAAAAACATGGTTAAGGGGTAAGATTGAACCATGAGATCAAACATTATTAGAAAATATTTATTTAGTTTAAGTTTAAATATCTAGGACCAGAAAAATTTTGCATCCCAAAATACTGAAGAAACTAATAAATAGCTTCATGAATCAGTTTTGAGTAATTATAGAGAATAAGATGAGAACAAATCTTCTCTGTACCATCAAATAGGGGAGGGTCCATTAAAGTCAGTCGAATATTGATTCCTGGAAAAATATTAATCAGATAAGAAAGAAGAAGAGAAAACACATAGCAATTTTGATGGATTTCTTCAAAATGGAATTGGGCTAGACAAAAAATGAAAGGCATTACAAATAAAATTGATGAAATCAAGTTGGAACTAGATATCTCAATTCCTATTTTCATATTTATAAAATAACCTGGATCAGAAAAATATAATTGCTAATTTGCAAATAATACCAGCATAGGGAAGTAACACTGCAATGCCTCTGCAAAAAAGGAAAAAAAGTAAATCCATTCTTACATTGCAAATATGTTATCAGGTTCAAGAGAAGTGATATTTCCTCTCTATTCTACATTGATCAGATAGCATCTAGAATATTGCATTTAATTCTGGACACTGATTTTTAGGAAGGACTAGAATATGTGCAGAAGACAGTTTTTGAAGAGCTGTCATGCAGAAGTCAAGGCAGAATTGTGGTGCTTTTTCTTTACAAGTAATTTTTGAGATATGCTTAGCTAACATATTTGTAAATGGTCCAAAATTCAGTGAATTTGAAGGATCAAATGGATCCTAGTAATATTTTTCTGATTTAAGTCTAAAGCCCTCTAATTTATATCATAGCACACTCTGCTGAAATCCTCATCACTTCATAAATTGAATCTCTTCATACATTTTATCCTCATACAGCATAACAGGTGCCTGCACAAATAAGATCTATGATAGGTACACATGGTGACAGGACTGGTTGATATTGAAAGAACATTAGATGGTCTCAGGGGTGCTATTCAGCAGGTTCTGGAGAACCGGTAGTGGAAATTTTGAGTAGTTCGGAGAGTCGGCAAATACCACCTCTGGCTGGCCTCAGAGTGGGGTGGGAATGGAGATTTTGCAACATTCTTCCCCCAGGAGTGGGGAGGGAATGGGGATTTTGCAGTCTCCTTCCCCTGCCACACCCACAAAACCACACCACACCCACCAAGCCACGCCCACAGAACCGGTAGTAAAAAAATTTGAATTCCACCACTGGATGGTGTCCTGTGGCAATGTCATCTAATTTAGAGATGCCCCAATCATATAAATCACAGAAATAGGAGAGCTGCAAAGGGGCACTAGCCTTATCTCCGTTCAGATGCACCATCAAAGATCAGACTGAAAGAAAACAACATCAGAGATGAACTCTCGAGAATCAGAGCAATTTTTTAAAAAAACAAATCAATCCATGAGGAGCCAATAACGTCAGCACCCTCTCAGGTTTTAAACATAATTGCAGAACTGGCAGTTTTATTTTAATATACTTCTCATTTACAGGCTCAGGCAGCAAATCGCGCCTGCATATATATATATATATGTGAAATGTTACTTGATCAGAATCCACACATTTACAGAAAGAAACGGATTCCTCCCGAATAATGGTAGATTATTGGGAAATAAAAATTGCCATCCTCCCCAACCACCACCACGGAGTTCTATCACAGCCTGGGGGGGGGGGGGGGGGGGGGGGGGGGAGAGAATGGGACGAAGCCTTGAGTGACAAAGGCGCGCAAAGCGAAACGCTTTTCCAGACGCTCCTATTGTGGATCTGCTTTCCCCTCCCTACTTCCCTCTCCTCTTCCACGGTTGCCCATTTAACCTACCATCGTAAGCAGTAGCGCCGGTTCCAGTAGCAGTAACACTCGGGGCAGATGTTGATCTCCATTCCGCCTTATGCTTCTTGTGTTTCTTCCCCATGACTATAATTACAATTAACTATTAAGACTCACTTTTCCCAGCCCACCTGGAAGCCACTCCTCCCTCCAAGCCAGGGAACTCGGAAATGGGAGGAAATGACGTAAGAAGCTAACACGGAAGCACTTCTGATTCAAGTCGGATCCTGGTAAATGAAGAAAGAAGCGCGGGAAATTTGTACTGGCGTAAGTGATCAACCAACGTATGTTCCAGGGAGCAATTGAAGACGTCTTGGCTGTTTGGGTACGTGGTCATGAGGTTGTTTTAAAAAAAAAACCCATGGAATGGAGATCAACATCGCCTCTTATGAAACGTGTGAATTGAATGAGATTGTATAAATTAAGATTGTTCCATATTTTTTTTTAGGGCTTTGGAGAATCAGAACTTAGGAGGGAAGGAAGCGAAGGAAACTTGATTTTTATCCGCCTTTTCTGAGTATAGGCTGAGCGGATTCCTGGGAAAGAAAGAAAAAAACGGCCTCGGGATCTCACAGACCGATGTAATTCCAAGCCTTGTGGACGTGACTTTCGTTTTCTTGCGTTAAGTGAACTGAGAGATTATTGGCGAAAATAGTGCTGCGTACAATACATGGAAATGATTATGTACTTGGGGAAACTGGGAGGTGGGCGGGTAAAATCAGCCGTCTATTGGGCTTTTAAAAAACGGTTTAGCTGAAGTCTTTTTGGCAGACCTGGAGGAAGAATGAAATTGATACACAAAAAGTCAAGTATTCGTTTTGCAATTTGTCTAAGATGCAAGAAATCCTTACAGTTATTTAACATTCACTGATCTAAGATGGGGGAGTTAAGCTCTTCAGTTGTCTGATTGCCAAATGTGTACGGAAATAACATTTACTTAAGATGAATTTGTTTCTGAATATTTGCCGCAAAATTGCAGACTCATTTTGAGTAAGTTAGGGGTGAGCAGCTTTGGAGAGCTTGAGAAGATATTTAGAACTTTCAGGGATGCAGGGGAACACTGTCATACAGTGGCTGCTATGAAGACTTGGCTAATCACAAAAGATAGACATAGAAGTAAGTTAGTCTAGTGTTACCAGTAGCCTGAACAGGCAAAGGAGACAACAAAGAATTGGAAAGGAAGTCAAAGGGAGGAGGGAAGGACACAGTAATTGTTTAATTTTCTTGGCATCTGAAACAAAAATTGCAATGAAAAACAACAAAATAATGTTCTTAGGCTTACATGTAATTAACCAAATTAATGTCAACCTTAAATAGCCAAACTACTTTAAATACATTAAATAAATGCATTACCTCCTGCTGTACATAGATGAACTTCAAAATTCCCAGCAATCATTAGATGGAGCAAAGAGATAAAGATTAAAATGAACTCTTTGGGGCCATTTAGTGGTTTCCTGGGTTTTTGCAGCTCAAATCTTGCCTAATGGAAGATCTAGAAATGTAAAATAAGTAAATTAACTAAATAGTTTTCTTTTCAAGAACATCTTCTATCAATGATTTTCAAAACTGCCCAGTAAGCTTGCCAAACAAGAAGCTGAAACTGCTCCCTATGTTGAATGTGTCCTGGAAAAGAAAGAATTGAGATTTGTCTATTACTGATTCTTCCATTATTTCCCATGTTTTAATAATGGCAAAAGACAAAGAAGGGAAATCATCTGAATAAATTGGGAGCACAGGTAGTTAGTTACCAATCTAGGAAGTGATTTCATCCTAATACCTGTCATCTTCAGTTTACAACAAGTTCATTCAGTGACCGTTCGAAGTTACAACAGCACTGAAAAAAATGACTTATGAACTTTTTTCATATTTACGACCATTACAGCATTCCCATGGTGATGTGATCAAAATTCAGACACTTGGCAACTGATTCAGTTCGAATAGTTGCAGTGTCCCAAGATCGTGTGATCATCTATTGCAACCTTCTGACAAAGTCAGGCTTAACAATCATGTTATTTATTTAGCGATTGCAGTGATTCACATAATTATGGCAAGAAAGGTTGTAAAATGGGGCAAAATCCACTTAAAATCTCACTTAGCAACAGAAATTTTGTGCTCAATTGTGGTTTTACGTTGAAAACCACTTGTATGTATATGTACAGTAACAGTCACATGGAAACCTGACATAGCACCATAATGCAATTGAACTGCATGACTAGAAGCTATCTATACCACTATTTTTAAGTGGTATAAAGGCAGTATTTGGTTGCAAGTCAATATGTTTTTATTGTTCCAGGGACATTAAAATGCAAATAGACTTGTTTTAAATTTGTTTTGAGATCATTATTCAGAACTTAAATCTCTTAGCCAATGGCCAGATTGGAAATTCTGGAAAATGACAAGGTTGTGTTCATAAAATAGTTGTCAGAACCATTTTTGCTTTAATGTGTCTGATAAACAAATCAGAAATGAAAATACAATAAAAACAGAAATTGGCTAATAAAAATTTAAAAGATATGCTTTGAGTGATAAAATAAGTTATTTCTTGGCCTTTGTAGATGTATAACTATTTTCTAATTAGGTTTTTATAAAATGGATGAAGCAACAGGTGATTTAAAACTGCCTCTTCAAAATGACTGTGAATCCCTGCAGATACATGTGGAAGTTCATCAGAAATCAAACAGGTTGGTTTTGTATTGCAGGTTTTGTTCTCTATTGCAGAAAGTCTCCTACCATTTTTATCAAATGAATAATATGATGTAGATGGACATTTTACCTATAACATATTTAGAGAAGTAATATTGACAAATCAGGATATAATAGGTACATTAAGCATATGAAACCATCCTCTACAAGGATAAAGGTTATAAGAGTTGAAGATTGTTTTAAGTGTTTCTTTCACAATTTTTTTCACACTACATTCTATGAACCTTCTGGCTCCACACCTCATGAATGAATGGGTTCTATGTGGGACAACAGACAGTGTCTGTCATGATATTGTTCAAAAGTACCAGAGAAAGCTTTTTCTCCTGTGAAAAAAATACTACAACCACTATTTTTCAGATCGTTCTGGGATTTTTTAAAATTAATAATTCCATGGCCTTAAAAAAGTTTAAATCTGATAAGGGAAATTACAAACTTTTAGCCTCTAGGGTAATTTTCATTTAGAAGTTTGCCTATGGGCTCTGTGAGCATTCTTTAAAAACTGTTGGGCACTAACCTGCCAAAGAAAAATACAAAAATGATAAACATTCTGAAAAGTTGGGAGATGGAGCAGAGAGTAATGCTGCTTTTTATTTTGGTAAATAGGTACATGGGTACTGACAGAAGATTCTTTGCTGAAAGATTTAGTAGCTCAATCATAATTATTTAGATTTTTCTTTTTTGAAGTTCCTTTAGTATTGGTATCAAGTTAGAACATTGTCTTCAATTGTTTGAGAGTATTATAATCAGATGAATATCATTTATCAGTGAAGTATGCTTTGCATATCTTTCTCTGATAACATAATAGATGGTATTTTGTGTCAGCTGGTTGAAATAAGTGACATTCTATCATTTTCTGGCTGTAACTGATTATAGGTGAAACTGATTATTTTTCTCTTATTTTAACCAGTACTGCAAAAAAAGAAGATATCAAACTAAGTGTCTTAAAGCTACTAAACAGGCACAATGTTATTTTTGGTGATTACAAATGGATTGAGTTTGATGATTGCTTCCTAACAAATAATGTACAGTCAATTGCAGTTGTGGATACAGAACTAAAGCTGAAAGAAAGACAGGTAATTAATGTTTCTTCCTTTGCTTATTTGCTTCTCCATAATTAGCTGTTATCAAAATGTTGCATATTTTATTTATTATTAAAATTACTGAAAAGTTTTAAAAATATGAATAAAATAGTTATGTAGTGTCATGAGTATTCACAAGAGCATGCATCCATATAGCATTATATTATTTGTATTTAACATTGGCTCCATATAAGCTTCCAATTGCAATTTAAGTTGCTAAGAGATGACATCAACTTGATGACACATAATCAGTATCAACCTCTTAGTGGCATAGGATCAAGTTACTTGAGGAATCATCTTCAATTATCTTTGCTTGGCCCATGAGATCCAACAAAATGGTTATGCTTCAGTTTCTTTCTATGAAATAGTGTCAGGTGATGGACCCAAAAACCTGCCTTATCTCTATTTTAATGCCTGGTCTGTGGAACAACATGGTCCTGGTCTTTTTGTTATTTTGTAAGTTCCTGAAAACCTGATTCTTCCCCTGGGCCTTGAATCAGAATACACAATGGCCCTATTTAGAAGAGGATGTTGCACAAGGTATGCTTAGTTAGTTTCAATGAATTCTTTTATTTTTGTTGTTCTGTTGCTCTTATTCTATTTTAGAAATTTACTTGTAAGTCAACCCGGAGTTACTTTTTGTAATTGGGCATCCAATTACAAAAATCAACACAATATATACTGTTAAAGATTTAATTTCAAATTAAATTCAACCATTAAATTGTTATTTTAATAAATATGATTTTTAACACACTTATGTACAACTAAAATGCTGTTGTAGGAAGAGAGCCATGTAAGTTTGTGGTGGCAAAAATAATTTTTGATAGCATTTTTCTGACTAACGAAGAACAGGAAACCTTTTAATAAAATTGTTAGAAAAAGTGCTGCAAGATTTTCAGTAAAATGTTAACAGTTTCTTCCATAATACAAGTTTGCTGAAGTGAAAGTAAAGTCTTAACACAATTATTTTTGCATTAATTATGAAAAAAGTAATCAAAAGTTTTTTTCTTCTCCCCAATATATTAGGAGTACATTACATATGATAATTCCTAGCAGTGATAAATCTATAATTTATAGAAGCCATGATTTAATAATCATAAAAATGCAAAACCATGATTCTAGAAATGAACTATGCAACTATTGATAATGGATCACAAGTTGAAGTACATCTTACTGTAGATGGAAAGTTCACTGCAGATTGAAAACAAGTATGACAGAGAATGTGTATGTTGATGTTTCTTAAACCTATGCTAACTTTATCTGATATTTTTTCTATTTGAAAAACATTTAAACATATTATTTCCTAACTACCAATTGAATAAAAAAAAGACACAATATTATGCTTCCTCCGAACTGGACTCTGATCGGGCCATGACAATTACACATATTTTTAGATAAGCGTGGATTTAATTGTGCCTAATTTGTTTTCTTCTTCTTCCCTGCAGCCTATCAGCTTGAATAAATGCAAACTTTTAATCCATATTTTTCATCTCAATGAGGAAGGGTCCACTACAGAAAATCTGGATGCGGAAGATGAGCATATTGTTGCAGCTAATCATTGGTTATTACCTACAGGTATTTCAAAAGAACCTAAGAATACAATTAGGTTATTCAAATGGATAAGATTTTGTTTAAATGAGGGTTTTAAAAAAACAATCAAACTGAACATCATTTTGACATTAAGCATAAAGCTTCCTGAAATTGGAAATATTTCTGAGTCAACAAAATATATTCTAGTAGACATAATGATCTTAAAAATTTTCAAATTCCAGTGCAAAAATGAAGCATGAATTGAAGAGTGTTCATGCTAAAATTCCCAGAACTGGGAAGTTGTTTTTTAACAGTTGCCTTATACCAGATTTTCCCAATCTTTTTGGCTTTGCAGACTGGAGGGGGTCAGGTGATGGCTCTGCGTGCATGATGGACAAGCATATGCATAGCTTCATTTGCGGGAGTGGTAGGCATTTCACCTGCCACTCACACAAATGGAGCACATGCACCCTCTACTTGCACAAATAGGATGCGTGTGTAAGCTTTGTGAAAGGCTCAAAGCCTGGTAATGGGCCATGGCCTGGGGGCTGGGAAACCTTGGTTTATACCTCATGATTTGTATAGGCTAAGATAATTACATTAAAAAGTATGTTATTTGTTCAGAAATGCATGTTCTTAGCTTTAGATTTTAAAGGAAGATAATGAATATTCCATAAAGATACATACAATCATTATTTTTGGTTTTATTTTTACTTTGAAGCCATGTAGTTTTGATTTTTCATTTTCTCAGACCTTTCTTTTCAGCTAATTGGGAATTTTCTGACTGGCCAGTATAGGAATATGGACAAAATACTCAGTCCCTCATTATTATAGTCATTATAATCACTACTTCAAAAATTCCAAAGTTTCTATTGCCAACTATACTATTTTTAATAGTTTGCCTTTTTTCTCTTTAAAATAATATACTGTTTTTGTCTTTAATAGTTGAGTTTCATCGTCTATGGGAAAGCCTAATTTATGATGCTGAAATAAAATCAGATGTAAGTTGCATTTTATCAAGTTTCTAAATGATTGATTATGTTTGAAACAATGTAATTTATGATTTATCAGATTGACAAAGTCAATGTGGCTAGGTATATGGAGATTTTCAATCATTCAGGTCACGGTTGTCCCAAAAAATGTTTTACCAAAAGGCAACTGGACTTTCTTGAGGTTTTTTTTTCTTCGAAAACATTTTGATTCTCCTCCAAGAAGCTTCTTCAGTTCTAACTTCAATTGATCCAGATTGGGTCAATCTGACTATGTCAGATTTTCTTCATTCAAAAAGATGCCTTTTTTGCAACAACGATTTTACAGGATCAGAACTTAATTATTAATAAAGGAATTTCCCATCCCATGATGATAACAAGTATTGTTTTAATAACTTTACTTAAACTACTTCACTGTGTTTCCTGGCATTTATTTGTGTCCTTGAAGAACTAGGTGCTTCCTGATCTCAGCAAAATAAATAAATAAAATAAATAAATAATTTTATTTCTATATCGCCCTTCTCCCGAAGGACTCAGGGCGGTGTACAGCCTATTAAAAACACAAAGACAAACATCAGTTAAAAAATAATTAAAATTATTACATAATTTCGGCTCAGATTTTAAACCCCAAAATTTAAAACCCAGTTTAAAAATCATTACATTGACAGCCCGGCTTGGCGGAACAACAGGGTCTTGAGGGTACAGCGAAATACACAGAGGTCGGAGATCTTACACATTTCCTGGGGCAGTTCATTCCACAGGGCAGGGGCTCCCATAGAGAAGGCCCTCCCCCTGGTTATCGCCAGCCGACATAACTTGGCTGATGGCACCCTGAGAAGACCCTCTCTGTGGGAGCAAACTGGCCAGTGGGAGGCTGTTGGTGGCAGAAGTCGGTCTCGAAGGTACCCGGGTCCTATGCCATGGAGCGCTTTAAAGGTGGTAACCAACACCTTGAATCGCACCCAGAAGACCACTGGGAGCTACTGCAGCTCGCGCAGGAGGGGTGTCACGTGGGCACAACGGGTTGCGCCCATAACCACCCGCACGGCCACATTCTGGACCAGCTGGAGCCTCCAAGTGCTCTTCAAGGGGAGCCCCATGTATTGGTATTACAGGAGTACTAAAAATAGAGTGGAATTCAGGGTAAGGATCAGATATTTATTATTTTTTATTTATTTAATTACATTTCTATACCGCCATTCTCCTGAAGGACTCAGGGTGGTGTACAGCCATATTAAAACAAACCCATCACAAAAATTAAAAACCGTTAAAATAATTAAAGCAATTTGTCCTTTTTTAAAACCCTTAACTAAAACCCCTTTAAAACCAATTTAAAACCCATTAACATTAATTTATTCAGTCAGGCCGGCTTGATTGAACAATAGAGTCTTCAGAGCACGACGGAAGGCACGGAGGTTGGGGATCCTTCTTATATCCGGGGGCAGCTCATTCCTTTGGCAGGAGCCCCCACAGAGAAGGCTCTCCCCCTGGGGGTCGCCAGCCGACATTGCTTGGCCGACGGCACCCTGAGGAGGCCCTCTCTGTGAGAGCGTATAGGACGGTGGGAGGCATTCGGTGGTAGAAGGCAGACCTGTAGGTATCCTGGTCCTAAGCCATGGAGTGCTTTGAAGATGGTGACAAGCACCTTGAAACGCACCCAGAAGACCACTGGGAGCCAGTGCAGCTCGCGCAAGAGAGGTGTTACCCGGGAGCGACGAGTCGCTCCCATAACCACTTGCGCGGCCGCATTCTGGACCAGTTGGAGCCTCCGGGTGCTCCTCAAAGGGAGCCCCATGTAGAGAGCGTTACAGTAGTCCAGACAGGAAGTGACAAGGGCGTGAATGACCGTGCGTAAGGCATCCCGATCCAGAAAGGGACGCAACTGGGAAATCACGCGAACCTGATAGAAAGCCCCCCTGGCCACGGCCGTCATATGATCGTCTAAAGACAACCGCGTATCCAGGAGGACACCCAAATTGCGAACTTGGCTGAAAATAAGACTCCGTTCATTCTGTGAAATGCAGTCTAGTTTACAAATACATATATTACAATACTTAAATATCAAAAGCTATTTCCCTTTTATAGGCTAGTCATATTTGAAAGAAGACAGTTTGGAAAACATTTCCTTTTAATTAGGATCTGCAACAAATGAGTGAAAGTGTGAAGTTGAGAGTGTATATAGTTTTAAGATAGTTTTAAAATCACCTTCATTCAGATCTATTGTATGCTCGCCCATTCTCTTAATTTCATAATACAACATTCCTATTTTCAATACATTTTCCATCCACAATCCATTAGAACCTTACTCAGTTTAATAGAATAACAAATTGGAAGGGACCTTGGAAGTCTTCTAGTCCAAACCCCTGATTAGGCAGGAAACCCTATACCATTTCAGACAAATGGTTATCCAATTTCTTCTTATAAACTTTCAGTGTTGGAGCATTCACAATGTGTGGAGGCAAGTTGTTCCACTTATTAATTGTTCTAACTGTCAAGAAATTTTTCCTTAGTTCTAGGTGCTTCTATGCTTCATTAGTTTCCACCCATTGCTTCTTGTCCTGCCCTCAGATGTTTTGGAGAATAGTTTGGCTCTCTTCTTTGTTGCAGCCCCTAAGATATTGGAACACTTAGTCCTTCTTTTCATCAGACTTAATACAGAGAGATAGAGAGAAAGAAGGAAAGAAAGAAAAAGAGAAATAAAAAAGAAAGTTATTAATCTTAGTTGTACTTGTGATATGGCATTAAGGAAAATATTCTTTTTTCTTTTAATGGCTCATTTCATATATTTTGGAAACGTTTGTACATACATTACTTTCCAATGAGTGAAAAGGATATTTCTTTTCTGAAGGGAATCCCATGTAACATTTGTACAAATACAGTATTCAATTTTAAAAAGCTAAATTATCTAATTTAGGATTACGTATTATAAATTCTCCATTCTTGAATCCTGAAGATACAGGCATTTAAAAATGAGGATATTGAGAAAGTCTAGGTATTTACAAGAAAGATATAATTCATAAATGGGAACGTTATTTTATTCCCAAATTCCATCTGCTTTGATATAATTTGATTTGTCCCCCAAATCTTAATCTATATGTGTGTAAAATACCATACTTCCATTGCACAAAGAGGGAAAAGGGTTTGGGGAAAATAATTATTTACTAAGAAAAGAATTAATTTCCTATTCTTATTTTTACTTATTTCATTGTTTTAAAAATAATACCAGAAAAGGAAAAAGAAAAATCACATAGATAATTATAATATAAATGCATACATTCTCAAAGAAAAGATATTGCATGAAAACTGCTTTTAAAAAAGTTAAGATGCAATAGAAAAAGGAAAAATAAACAATGAAGTATAATATCAGCAGCTACAATTTTGTCAAAGGCTTTTTCAGTATTTGATGATAAAATTACAAGTGGATCTTGTTTTTATTCAAGTCTATTAAATCTACAACAAACCTAATGTCTAATACTTTTATTATAATGTCATAATTCTCTTATGCCTTAATATCATTGGATTGATTTGCTGTTCTCATTGATGGAAAAAATTAACAAAATGTTCAGTTTTGTTTTGATACGCTATTTTCTCTTTTATTCTTTAATTAGTTATTAAATTATGTGACCACATCATTACTATTCTCTGACCGAAGTGTTGATAACAACTTGATATCATGGAACAGAGTTATTCTACTACATGGTAACTATCATCTTTTTAATTAAAAAGTATGTAGCTAGAATACTTCAGTGTAATGCTTAACTTGTAGCATTTTGTAAGCCTGGGAATGTTTCTTCTCAGTGGCTTAAATAATTTGTAGAATAAGCCTTTAAGAAAATCCATATTATTTCTCCTGTACTGTAATACAATGGAAGATGAAGCAAAATAGGCGGCAATATAAATCTAATAAATAAATAAATAAATAAAAATAATCCCAATTATTGCTTTGCACTGTGTTTTCATATACTGAAATACTTTGTGTGACTTGTCACTATTGTGAGACTGTTGTACTTCAGTAGCAAATGCTATCAGCATGTGGCAGGAAACATGCTGAATTAAGTTATTTAATAATATTCTATATTTTGATTGTAGGTCCCCCTGGTACTGGTAAAACTTCTCTTTGTAGAGCAATGGCACAGAAGTTGACTATTAGACTATCACATAGGTAATAAGTAATGTTTTCTATATTCAAAGTCAAAATATCATCTAATTCACAAGATAGCATTTCAACATTAATTTGCAAAGGTTAAATATTATTGTACGTACATGGTTCTTCTTTTAATGTGGAGTTTTCCCATTTGGACATTATACTATCCCTGTTGTGCAACTGCTGCTTCCACAACAATGTAAACAACTTAATGAAAACAAAAGTATTTGTGAATTTCAGAGCAATATAAATGAAATATCATGACCCATAATAACTCTGTAATTGTTAATTCCTTTGAGCCTGGTTATTTTTCCTCATTTAACAATAGTTATTTCAGGTTGACAAAGTTGACCCTCTTTCAGCTTCATTTGTTTTAGTTAATTCTTAAAGTAAAATAATAAATGGTCAACTTTGTTTTAATCATCGCTCTCTGCATAACTCTAAGACTCTTGGGAAAAGTATTATCGGGTCTAATACTTTATAAAGACATGACAGGAATAATCTTTGTTTTAAGAGTTAATTTTAATTGAACTTTTAGGTACTGCTATGGACAGTTGGTAGAGATAAATAGTCACAGCCTTTTCTCTAAGTGGTTCTCGGAGGTATGTATTTATTTATATATATATATATATATTTGCAGATGTTGAAATCCCATTTGTGATTTCTGTGGTAAGTTCAATTGCTAGGGAATTTAAACTCTTATCTTGCTAGATTTTCGTGTAAAAATCAATTATCATATCTTAGTATAATGAACTTGTGTAATGAATGGACAAGCCTTATTCATTCCAGAATCTGCCACACATTGGAAAAGTAAGCAAGCTGAGTCAGTCCAGAAGTCTACTTTGCACAGGTTCACCTGGTACACCAATTGCTCCCCTCACAGTCACTCATGCCCTTGTCACCTCATGGTTAGATTATTGCAACACGCTCTACATGGGACTACCCTTGAAAAGTGTTCGGAGACTACAGTTGGTCCAGAACACAGCCACATGAGCTGTCATGAGTGCACCTAGGTACACCTACATTACACCAATTCTCCATGAGCTGCACTAGCTCCCTATTGGTATCCGGTCACAATTCAAGGTGTTGGTTATTACCTTTAAAGCCCTATATGGCTCAGGGCCAGGTTATCTTCGAGACCGCCTTCTGCCGCATAGCTCCCAGCAACTGGTAAGATCCCATAGAGTTGGTCTCCTCCTGGGCCCGTCAGCTAAACAATGCCGCTGGTGGGCCCGTAGGGGAGGGCCTTCTCTGTGGCTGCCCAAGCCCTCAGTTACCTCCTGAGGTCTGGACCATCCCCACCCTATTGGCCTTCTGAAAAGCGGAAGTGAAGACCTGGCTTTTCTGGCAGGCGTAGGGCCGTTGATCTCGCTCTTATGATCTGGCAAGATCCGGCCATGAATGGCATGAATGAGTTTTTAATGTTTTTAATTTTTAAATGTTTTTTATAATGATTTTTTAAAATGTATTGTGAGCCGCCCTGAGTCTTCGGAGAGGGGCGGCATATAAATTGAATTAATTAAATTAAATTAAACAATCAAACAAGATTTCCATACTTTTGCTCTCCAAATAGGATATGCCTAATAAAGAAGGGAAGGGGCAGGGGATAATTCATACCCTTCCTTTGGGCTAAAGAGAACAAAAGTTTAGTTATTTTGGAATCCTAATCTCAAGAGAGGGTTTTTTTGTATATACGTGGTTTTGCTGGAGCAAAACCAAAAAAGCCCCCTCCAGAAATAAAGGAGAAAGAAATTGGGGGGGGGGGAGGAGCTGATAAGAGAGAGAAAATGGGCTTGGGGGAGATTTTGAGGAGAGAGCTCTCTAAGTGAAACAAATGAAGATTGTTGTGTGATAAATCTTGATGGAAGAGTAGGGAAAGGCTGGAATGGAATTTGATGTAAATTATTCTTTAATGGCAGAAATCTATTTGCTCCAATGTATAGGTTCACCGTAAGATTTTAACTTATATTTTATGGGACCTGTGTCTGCTTAATTATTTCTTGTAACTTTTGTAATTAAATGTTATTGTTCTTAAACAAAGCAAAATCATTTTTATCTTTTTCCAGCACTTTAACCTTTGGTCCTCAGGTCTCAGCCACTGAATCTGTGAAATTTATTACAATTTGTGGTACATCAAGTCTTGAATGTTTTGTGCCATTTTACATTTTTTAAATCTTAGATCATATCCACACATCTCAAACCTATTAGGAAGTGATGCTACAGAGTTTTTTCATTTTTCCCCATCCCATTCCACTTTATTATTATTGTTAAATATATTTGCATGTCATTGCAATGAAAAGCAACTCTTGGCAGGCACATAAAAATATTACATAAAACAACCCCCATATAAAAATTTAAAAATATAACAATATAGCAAAAATAAAGGATAAAAGGGGGTAAAATTAACAAACTAAAAGAAAACGTTATCCTCAATAATATCATAATCAACATTCATAGCAGTATGCCAGATGAATTTAGACCTGTTACCACAATGGTAAAGTAGGAAAGTATTATGAAACCTTTCCCATAGCAGGAGGTTGTGCCAACAATCTTTGGGGAAAAGAAAGCAAATTTGAGACTTCCTATCTTTCACAGTAATCTTAATATATCTGCATAATACAAATGGCCTGCAGAATAGTGAAAAATTAAGTATTTTTCCAAATGGTGGCAAAGTCTTCATATAAGTAGGTCTTGTTTTATTTAAATTTTATTCAAATAGGCTTTTTGTTATATTTTATTGTTCTCCACATTTCATACTTGGTTGGATTTGTTTTTTATTTCTCCAGCATTCTTTTAGTGTCTTTCACTGTTTCCTCTTGGAGAGTTCCTCTGAAAACTGAGGCCTTCCAGCATCCATGGAGTTCATACAAGTGTACTTCAAGGATGTTATCACTAACTCATTACAGGCTGTGACTAAGCCTTGGTCAGATTATTCAATACAGGGTTTTAGAAATAAACCTAAGTTTCCTCCAGAATATAAAAGCTTGGGCCGACCAATCAAACAGACCCTTCTTCCCTGCAGGGGAATTACAATATACAGTAATAATCTTTTTCAATGAATTCCCTTAAAGGGAAACGAGAATTCTAATTATAGAAATAAAAGATATTTAGAGTAAAATATTTTTATTTTATATATTTTTTGCTTCGAAGAGTTTTGGCTATAGGCTAGTTAAAAAAAAAGTATTATATGATATATCTCAATGTTGGCATTACAAAAAAAGCAGGCTATTTCCAAAAAAAGAATACTGTATTTTCCAGCATATAAGATGACCCCCGACTTTTCCTGTTAAAATATAGGGTTTGGGCTACACTCGCCGTATAAGACTACCCCTCTTCCAACTCACACCAAATTAAAATAAAAAAAAATAAAAATAAAAAATTAATAAAAATACACAACACAACACAACTGGCTCACCCACAATGTGCTAGACCCAAAATGGCCCCTGCAACAAGCAGGAACCTCACACAGCCACCAAAAGTCCCAAAAACCAACTTTCACACTTTACACACACAAAATTCCACATACAGCTTTGTGAGATTTTGAGTGTTTGTGTAGTTAGAGTGAAACACTACAGAAACACAAAATCTCAGAAAGCTGCACAAATTTTATTTTATTTTATTTTATTTTTATTTTTATATAAAAGCAGCTAAATTTAAAACTTCCTAAACTTTAAATGGCTAGGTCTAAAAAAAGAACAACTAAAAAAAATCCCAATTAACTATTTTTTTTAAAGCTCCCAAAGGGGAAAAAATCTTACCCAATAGAACAGGAGTCTCCAACCTTGGCAACTTTAAGACTTGTAGACTTCAACTAGCTTTGCTTTGCTGGCTGAGGAATTCTGGGAGTTGAAGTCCACAACTTCCTGCCTGCTTGATTGCAGGCAGGGAGATTCAGTTGCTTGCTAATGCAATCGATTGCAGGCAAGCGAAACAAGGCAAGCGTTGTGACTAGCAGCTAAGGTAAGCAAGCTGGAGGGGGGGATTTTTGCTACCAATTAGCAGGCAGTCAGAGCCATTTAAAAGAAAAAACTTTTTTAAATGGCTCTGGCGATCCAAGCTGAGTTACCTGATTAGCAGGCAACTCAGCTGGGATGGTCAGAGCTTGGCTCGTCAGAGCCTTTTGGGCTGGTCTGCCTGGTTTCAGAAGAACGACATCCAGAGTATAAGATGATCCCTGACTTTTGAGAAGATTTTCATGTGTTAAAAAGTCGTCTTATACACTGGAAAATACGGTAAATCAGCAGAACAACACAATTCAGCAGGCTAACACAAGGGCCTGGCCTAACTCCCTTTTTAAATTGTAAATTTTAAATTTGTCTTAACCATTGGGGGTGTTTTTAATTTGTCCCGGGCCAAATTATTTAATGTGGTTTTATACTGTTTTTTAAATTTCGTAATCTATGTGTTTTATTTTTGGCTGTTCACCGCCCTGAGTCCTTCGGGAGGAGGGCAGTATATAAATCTAATAAAATAAAATAAATAAATAAAATAAATTCAGTCTTATTACTTTTTTCCGAAATCAGGGTAAGTTCAAGTAGATATACAATATTTAGAATTGTAGTCACAATGCAGTTTATGTGTCAAGAAATAGTAATCTAGGGTGTTAGAAGTAGGCCGGCTCCATTTGCGTCTAGTCCATTTGCATCTAGTCCTATGCTGTTCTACAATTTTGTTTCTCCTTTCGCATGCTATAATTTTGTGATTGCTGAAATACAGTATCTTGCATGTTATTTCTACTTTTGAGAGGATTTCCACTTGTCTCTTCTTTGAGGAAACAGTCATAGTTAAGATTGTATATATGAAATCTACTGTTTCAGCCATGCAAAATATGTATCAGCAACAAGTATGCAACAACGTTGCCTTGGGAATAAACAATAATCAACTTAATAATAATCAGTTAAATTGTAACCCTTGTTAATACCCTATACCCTAGCAGGGGTGTCAAACTCGATTGCGTCGAGGGCTGGATTGTGACGTATTGCGACATTTTTTGCCTTTGTGGAGCCAGGGTGGGCGCCAGTTTGACAGGCCTCCCTTACAGGGATAAAAAGTATTTTATCAATTTATATACTATGTTTTTTTTTAGAGTGGCAAACTTGTTACAAAAATGTTTCAGAAGATTCAAGAATTAATTGATGACAAAGATGCCCTTGTATTTGTACTTATTGATGAGGTACGATTATAGTAGTACTTATATTACCAGTATGTGTATTACAAAATTCTATGGGTTTTTTTTTCTATTAAAATCCAAGCTAGGCTGTATGAAGGAAAATAAATCAGATTTTAATTCATGCAGAGGCTATGGGTAATTCAAAATCCACCTGTGCTTTTTATGGGTTACATCCTCAGGTTGAAGTCTGAATATGCTCATGATTCTGCCTGTCTTTGTTTGCAAATTTAAATATATATACACTTATTCATAAAGATATTACATCAAATATATTTGCATAATATATATTTTAATCTGAGTTCTAATTTATATTTATAGCACAGATTCATAGGCCACCAAACTCAGAATAATTTATGGCATCTTGCAAGTAAAAATAAATTAAGTTCAGTTTAGGCACTGACAGACTGCAGACTAATTTTGAGTGGCTTACAATAGTATAGTATAGCCTTTATTGTTATTGTACATCGTGTATACAACGAAATTGGTTTTAGCCTCACTGGTGCATGACAAAAAATACAAACAACATAAATAGCATAAAGAATAATCCCTATGCAAGTAATTAGGGGGGAAAAAGAAAGAAAAAGAAAAACTAGTCATACGTTTCCGCGTATGCGTAGAGTGATTCTGGTTATGTTTAAGAGTCTGACAACCCAAGGATAGAAACTATTTTTAAATCTATTTGTTCGGCTGGCTATGCTTCAGTGTCTTCTGCCCAATGGTAGAAGTGCAAAGAGATGCTGATCTGAGTATCTTCCTTAGTCGGATAAAGCAGCGAGACCTGGCGATGTCATCCAGTAGTGTTAGAGGGCAAACAATGGTTTTTTGTGCCGAATTGATCATTCTCTGTAGTGCCTTCCTGTCCTCAGCAGTTAAACCAGCGTACCATACTGTAATGCAGTATGTGTGGACCGATAGAATAAAATAGAATAAAAAAATAAATACAATAAAATACAATAAAAAAGACCCACAATTATGATAAAAAAGCAAGATGCCAACTGTGGTCAACAATATCCATGCATACAAATATATTCAATATTCCCTCCCTCCAACCACTCTAGCCCAAGGCCTGGGGGAAGAGCCAAGTCTTTAAAGCTTTTCAGAAAGCCAACAGGGTGAACCACACAGGCCCCTCCACTCCACAAAGGAAGGACCTAGGGAGAAAAATCTACCTTATAGTCCAACATTGATTGTGTTCCAAAAGAAAAGAAGAGAATCACCATAAAATCCCTGGACCCAATTCCAAAGAATATTGTATATCAAAAGCCACAGAGAGATCAAGGGGCACAAGAATTGATTCATTAGCTCCTGTCTATCCCTATCTCCACATCTCTTCCCTTTTCGCTGCCCTGTGGAACATGGCCAAGATGGCTACTGAATTCTGCTGTTGCCCCTATCACTATCTTCAGCTGATCTTCACCTCCCTCCCTTCCCTTGTCTGCCCAGGCCAACCCTAGCCCAGTCTGGAGACACAATCTCTCCTATGGCCAAGCCCTTCATTGCCTCTCCTACCCAAGGCCTGGCCAAACTTTACCATAGAGATCATGAGCAGCAGTAGCGCTTTCCCCTGGGCAGACCCAGATTATATGGTGCTTTCATAGGCAGGAATTTCACAAGCAAAACACATACACATTCCAGGACCAAAGCAGAGAGCAGCATATTACAAAGATGGAGCTGCAACTAAGGCCACCCTAAAGGTGGGGGGGAGAACATTTTTTATTGTTGACATTTGTAGGATCCCAAAATCTCTTTTCTCTTTTCTATTCTTTTTTTTCTTTTTTTTAAACTTTATTCTAAACAATTATATGGTTTTCCAACTCCATCAAAGTAAGTCTGGGCAAAAAAATAAACTCAGCAAAACCACTTGGAGGTCAAGGTTTTTCTCTGCTGAATTTTCAGGCAGCAAAGGTTGTTTGTTTGTTTTTTTAGAATGTTCTATTTTAGATATTCACTGTTGTTTTAATTATAGTAATATATAATATTGTAAATATTTTTTTCTTATTCTGAGGCAGAAAGAATAGAAATGGCACATTGTTTAAAACAGGGCTGTCAAACTCCAGGCCCATGGGCCAGATGTGTCATGTGCTGGCCATGCCCACGGCCAGTTTAGCAAAAGGGGGAAAAGTCCCGATACATCACGTGATGCTCTCATGACGACATGAGTTGCCACCCCTGATTTAAAAGTTCAGGCAGAATTCTTTTTTTATCCTAAAAATATGTACGAGATAGCAACCTTTTTTTCTTTTGCAGGTGGAAAGTCTTACAGCTGCTCGTAGTTCTTTTCAAGCAGGTACTGAGCCTTCTGATGCCATCCGTGTTGTAAATGCTGTACTTACACAAATTGATCAGATCAAAAGGTAATCATTAATCATTACCATTTATTACAAAAGATTAAAAACAAAATAGTCTATCTGGAGGTAAAAAAATATTCCTTCTTTCAGAGAAACTTTTGGGGAAAAAATCAATTAAGTATATTTTAGAGAATATATATAATTATTAATTATATAATAAACTCTGAAAATTAGTGGTTTTGCTTGATATAATTATCCTATCCATTATGTTTAATTATAATTAATTATTCTAATTACTGTATTTTTCAGAGTATAAGACGCACCTTTTTCCCCCTAAAAAGGGGTGAAAATTTAGGTGCGTCTTATGCACTGAATGTAGCCCCACCCACCCACTGGCCCCCAACCTTTGGCCCCTGCCTCGCAGCAGTTACCTCCTTGTAAGCAAACAGCAAGAAAAAACAGCTCCTTTCAGCTTCAGCATAGCCTAATTAGCACAAGTTGATTGGATTGGCCTCCCAACTCTCAGCTGATTTGCTGTCAGCTGTTTTGCACAGGGCTCTGCTACTTGCTGCAAAGAGGTAAATTGCTGGAGCAGATTTTTTTTCCTTGTGCTAATCAAGCTATGCTGAAAACGAAAATGAAAGTAAAACAGGCTGTTTGCTGAAACAAGGCAAAATTGCTCAGAGGCAGAGGGAGATTTCTTTTTCTTCTTTTCCTCACCCAAAAAGGTAGGTGCATCTTATTTATTTATTTTTTGATTTGATTTGATTTGATTTGATTTGATTTGATTTGATTTGATTTTTATACCGCCCTTCTCCTAACAGGACTCAGGGCGGTGAACAGCCGAGATAAAACATAACATATAAAATTTAAAAAACAGTTTAAAAGACATTAAATAGTTTCGGCTCTCAATTTAAAACAACCCAGTTAAAACCAATTTCAAATTAAAACCGAAAGGATGGGATCAAGCCAGCCCAGCTAGATGAAATAGATGAGTTTTCAGGGCCCAACAAAAAGTCCGGAGGTCTGGTATCATGCGTATCTCTGGGGGTAGGTCGTTCCAGAGGGCAGGTGCTGCCACAGAGAAGGCTCTCCCCCTGGGGGTCGCCAGCTGACATTGTCTGGCCGATGGCACCCTGAGGAGGCCCTCTCTGTGCAAGCGAACTGGCCAGTGGGAGGCTATTGGTGGCAGAAGGCGGTCTCATAGATACCCCGGCCCAAAGCTATGGAGCGCTTTAAAGGTGGCCACCAACACCTTGAAGCGCACCCGGAAGACCACCAGAAGCCAGTGTAGCTCGCACAGGAGAGGTGTCACATGGGAGCGCCCCGTCGCTCCCATAATCCCCCACGTGGCCGCATTCTGGACCAACTGGAGCCTCCGGGTGCACCCCAAGGGGAGCTCCATGTAGAGACCATTGCAGTAGTCCAGGCGGGAAGTGACGAGTGCCTGAGTGACCATGCGTAGGGAGTCCCGATCCAGAAAGGGATTCAACTGGCGCATCAGGCGGACCTGATAAAAAGCCCCCCTGGCCATGGCCGTCATATGCTCTTCTAAAGACAGCCGTGCATCCAGGAGAATGCCCAAGTTGCGAGCCCTCTCCGTGGGAGCCAGTGATTCGCCCCCAATAACCAGCGATGGCACCAGCTGGCTATATTGGGATGCCGGAAGCCACAGCCACTCGGTCTTGGAAGGGTTGAGTCGGAGCCTGTTTCTCCCCATCCAGGCCCACACGGCCTCCAGGCATCGGGACATCACTTCAAGAGCATCGTTGGGGTGGCCTGGGGTGGAGATGTACAGCTGAGTGTCATCAGCGTACTGATGGAACTCCATCCCAAAGCCACGGATGATCTCACCCAGCGGCTTTACATAAATGTTGAACAGAAGGGGCGAGAGGACCGACCCTTGCGGCACCCCACAAACAAGGCGCCTCGGGGTCGACTGCTGCCCCCCTGCCAACACAGATTGCGACCGGTCAGAGAGGTAGGAGAACCACCGCAAAACGGTGCCCCCCACCCCCAACCCCTCCAACTGGTGCAACATGATACCATGGTCGATAGTATCAAAAACCACTGAGAGATCTAACAGGATCAGGATAGAGGAGCAACCCCTACCCCGAGCCCTCCAGAGATCATCCACCAACATGACCAATGCCATTTCCGTGCTGTGCCCAGGCCTGAAGCCGGACTGGAGTGGATCTAGATAGACAGCTTCATCCAGGTACTGTGGAAGCTGCCACGCCACCACACTCAACAACCTTCGCAATAAAACGAAGGTTGGAGACTGGACGATAGTTAACCAAAACAGCCGGATCCAGAGAGAGCTTCTTGAGGAGGGGCCTCACCACCATTTCTTTCAAGGCGGCCGGTAGGACACCCTCGCTCAAAGAAGCGTTAATAATCCTCTGGAGCCAGCCTCCTATAACCTCCAGGAGGAGCCAGCACCAACCAGGAGGGACACGGGTCCAATAAACATGTGGTCGCGTTCAGCTGTCCCAGAATCCTGTCCACGTCCTCGGGAGCCACAGGATCAAACTCCCAGATAACACTCTCAAGACCTGCCTCAATCATCCCATCCAGACTTGAGGGGGCAAATGAGGGGGCTGTTATACTCTGCTGCGTTTTATACTCCAGTGCGTCTTATACTCCGAAAAATATAGTATCAAACAAAAGCACTAATTTTCAGAGTCCATTTAAAGTTGTCAAACCTCATTTGCCCCATAACTGAGTACCATTGGTACTAGGGTGAAATGCCGAACTGAGGCCTTGCGTTGATCCAATAGCCGAGAGAAAGTTTCTCCAAAATCGGGCTGTAAATTGCACCCCTCTATCAGAAATAATACGGCGGGGTACCCCGTGTAACCTATAAATGTGTTGTATAAATAGCTTAGATAGCTTACGAGCTGAGGGTAATCCTCGGCACGAAATGAAATGAGCTTGTTTAGAAAATAAATCGATAATAGTCCAAATAACTGTGTTCCCATTGCTGTCTGGCAAATCGACTATAAAGTCCATCCCTATCTCCTCCCACGGTTGGGTAGGTGTGGCTACAGTCTGTAGTACTCCCAAAGGTTTTCCAGGGCGGGATTTGGCCAAAAGAGCTGAATAAGGCTGTAGCTGTGTTTTGATTGCGTCTCACACGGCATTCCTGAGAGGAAATCGGCGCTACATTACACCAAGAATGGGGCGTTTATATAGCCCATCTTTCCATTAACCCATTAGGACCACGCCCTTATTTATTACCACGCCCCTCTTCTAGGGGCGTAATTGGTCTTCAGCGTGTTCTGGAAGGTGCTGCCGCTGTGTCCTCCGGAATGGCCATAATTTGTTGTGTAGAAATAGTGAGAATCCTTATCTACTCAAAACACTTTCTTGAAGAATGAAAACTTGTCTCATGATAAAAAATTCTGTGTTCGGAATGGCTGAAAAAGTTGATAGAGTTAACAGAGATGGCAAAATTGACTGCTCAAATCCACCCTGCTTTTATATAATAATACATACTAGCCATTTCTATAACAACAAATCTATCTAATCAGCAAAACCCAAAGTCAAAGTTTTATTTAAAGTCCAAAAGCAGTGTCCAAGTAGAAACAAACTTGTGTTCCCTTCTTTAATTAGAGCAGTCGATTTAAATCACCAGTAAAAAAGGCTTGATATAAATCAACTCGATTTAAATCATAATTTTAAAAGAGCAACTGTCATTTCTGTCCAGCTCCTCTGACCCGTTGTTGACTCACCAACAGTCCCATTCACTTTAATGGGATGGCTGGTGATGCGGCAGTGACACAACAAGGTGAGGGATGTGGCAGGCAGTAGGTGAGTTGATGCCCATTAACACATGCTGCCATGATGGATCTGAAATGTCAGGTGCTCTTTAATATTATATTTATAAACTGCTTAGAAGGCTTCACTTTCATTTTTACTACTTGCCCTTCCTCCTCACACTTCGAGACTGGTGGTACAGATGCATTTCTCTTCAAACAATCAATACAGTTTGTAGTGTACATAGATTTGCAAAACAATGGGATAAAGGATTATTTCTGAACTTTGTTTTATGTTTTATCTCATAGTTACTGTGAAATTGCTACATAACTAAATTCCATTTCATGCTGAATAAATTAAATTATTAATGTATCTTAAACAGAAGACTATATTTAGATAGATTTTTACTCCAAAAGCATTTTATTAAAATAAATTTGATAAAAATAAAAAAACCCTGATTTTTAAAAAATCCAATTTAATTTTTTAAAAAAATCTGATTTAAAAAAAATCATCAATTTTAATCCACCCTGTATAAAAGTAAAAAGTTGAGGTTTTATGTTACTGCCTTATTCTACTGCATCAAAAGGACTCAGAAGTCAGTATGTTTCTTTTTCTTTTCCCTCTTACCCTATACTTTTTTCTCTTCCCCCTTTCCTCCCTTATTTTCATTTTTCTTTGTACTTCTGTATTTTATATTTTGATAAAGTAATAAAATATTTGAATCAGGAAAAAATCTATATTCCTTAAGTATATGAAGTTACATTGTTGCAATTGTGATTTTAAAGGTATCCTAATGTGGTTATACTGACGACTTCAAATATCACAGAGAAAATTGATATTGCTTTTGTAGATAGAGCTGATATTAAACAATATATTGGGCCACCTTCTCCTGCAGCTATATTCAAAATCTATCATTCTTGCATAGAAGAACTAATGAAGGTAATTTCAATATTCTTAAAATTCTTAAAGTATAATTCTTATCCTTGAAGGGATTGTATTTAAATAAATTTTATTTTTATTCTTGCTTATGTATTTTTTCTGTGTATTTAACTTGCACAAGGAAGCAATGCCTATTCCTTTTTAATAACTTCTTTGCTTTGAATGTGGTCTTTATATTTATTGGATTGGGGGTTAGCACTTTTTAAATAACTGATTTTTAGCTTTATATACATTTTTTGTAAATGAAAATTTTTTCTCCAAAGTGCCAAATAATATATCCCCGTCAGCAACTGTTAACACTCCATGAGTTAGAGGTGATCGGTTACTTAGAAAACGACGTGTCAAAATTAAGTCTCCTGTTAAAAGATATTTCAAGGTATATATCAGTGCTTAGTTTTGCTGACTTTTTGTTTTGTTTTAAGCTTCTTTGTGATTATTGTTCCATAACAATATTGTTCCATAAGATCAAACACTGTTTTCAGAATCGAACAGTCAAGACCTCACATTCTAGATAATGCCAAATCTGACATACCAACCTATGTTTTTGCTACATAGATAGAGGGAGTTGGAAATGTAAGTCTGGAAGAAGCCCAAGTCAGAGGGTGTACCACCATCTGATACTGGCAGGGAACTGAAACAAATAACACCTCTATTTGGCTAGATTCAGCTTCATTTCATTCAGACCATAACAGCCCCCAAGCACTGGATCAACCCTTCCACTGGGTCTCCAGCATGACTGGAGTAGAGATGGAAAGCTGTATTTCACTGTCTACCTTTAGGTCTGGAGCCAGATAGTACCTGGGAAGAATGTTTTTCAAAAACTGAGAACAACTCAGGAGAGCTTTGCCTCTTGCTAACCAAATGGATCTTTGTGATAATGTCAGTAAAAGTTCCCTTCCTACAGGTAGTAATAAATTCATGAGACAGACGATCTTCCCCCAGCGATTAAAAAACAATTAAAAAACTGACACATTTTACAATATTTAGCTATTTGTATGCTAGGGAAGAGGGATGCCTTTGTATCAGTCTGAATCAGTTCCTGGCAACTGTCTGGACTATTTCTGGGAGTGTGGGGGGTATGACATTTTTCAGAAGTGGTTTGATATTGCCACCTTCTTAGGGCTGAGAGAGAGTGACTGCCCAAAGTCACCTAGCTGGCTTTGTGCCTAAGGTAGGGGTAGAACTCATAGTCTCCTGATTTCTAGCCTAATACTTTAACATTATACTTTCTGATAATTCTTTCTGTTTCATAATTTTTTTCTGATTAAATAATTAAAGTACAGCATAGTATCGATGAATCCTAGTTAACACACCTGATTTTTCAGAATGTAACTTTTCTAGACCAGGTTGAATGAGCTTTTTACCAGGGTGGATTTGATTTAAATCGAGTTGATTTAAATCATGATTTAAATCACTAGTAAAAAGGCTTGATTTAAATCAACTTGGTTTAAATCATAATTTTTAAAGAGCAACTTTCATCTCTGCTACTCCTTTGACCCACTGTTGACTCACTGATAGTCCCAGTGTTGCAGAATATACAGCCTCATGCTACGTAACTAAGCTCCATTTCATGTTGAATAAACTAAATTATTTATGTATCTTAAATAGAAAACTATCTTACGATAGATTTTTACCCCAAAAGTTTTTTATTAAAATAAATTCAATAAAAATAAAAAAAATCCGATTTAAATCAAAAAAATGTGATTTTTTTGATTTTTTTTAAAAAAATCATTGATTTTTATCCAGATTGCTTTTTACTGACCAACAGCACATTCAAATTTTCAGGATTTATCTCAGGTTGCCCATCTCATCTAGATTATAATCAAATTTGGACAAGATTCTTAGGCATCAATGTTTTCATTTGTCTTAATGAGAAGGAGTAATAGAATTGAATGTAATACTGCACTTAATTTTAATACTCTAAATGAACATTTTCATAAATTTCATGTAGATATTAAATAACAAAATGAGATGGAACCTTAGGCCAAAGGCTTTGCTAACAAGCAATCCTCATCAGGTACTACCTCCCAAAGAAAATCCAATAGTACCCCACAGTGCAGTGCCCTCTACACCCAATCCCACAAAGTTTCAAGAAGTCTATTTTGGAACAAAATTACAAATAGTTTAAGTTTTTTACTTTAGGAAACAGTGGGAATAAAACGTAATGCTTTATACCTTTTTCCTCTAGATATATAAAATTATTTGAAGGGTACTCTGTTCTGGCTGCCTTTTTCCATTCTGTAAAGAATGCTTTGATTGTTGTTATTAACAGCAGAAAAATACCATTATCATCTCGCTGTTGCTTGAAACCTCTTTCTAGTGTACATTGCATAAGTGTACTTCTGCATTTTCAGGTCAATTTCCCAGCAAAACATAGAAAGAATGCCAAAAAGTAATACATTTAGGTACATTCAGTACTCTGAAAGCTAAAAATTGAATGTACACTGACAGTTCATTTTTGTTCAAAAAGAAAAAACAATATCTCTGTAACAAGAAGAAACATCTAGTATTTTTGAAGGACAGATTTAATTCCTGGAGCATTTATTTACAACATCCACTGGTTTGAGCTCCTACTTAAATTTTAGGAGTTTACAACCTAGAAGTATTTATTTTAAAAGCTAAGAAATTGAAGAAGATATTTAAAATAAGTTATTTTAAAAGCTGAGAAGTTTAAGAGCTAGTTTATAAGTGATTATACTGGAACTTTTGTAATTGAAACAGGATATTTCAAAATTAAGAATGCTTTGGAAAGGTCTGAAATATTTTGTATATCCTTAATAGAACAAAGTTAGATTACATAAATGTGTTAGGATAGCAAAATCATTAATATTGTATAGTATAAACAGTATATTTTGCTGGCCCTAATAGGTTTCTTGTTATTTATTTTGGCCTGCAATTTACTTGGCGAATGCTTTTTTTAAGATTTAAAAAAAAAAAAAAAAGTGCAGGTTAAAGAAACAATAATCCAAACCTGGGGCACTTAAAATAATACAACGAAAAGAGAAAATATTTCAATAAATCACAAAATATATCCTCAAAATTTCTTTTGAATTTGGAACCTTTATTCCTAGCTCAATAAATTGTGAGATTAATTAATTTGCACAACTTTTAATTATTTTGTCTTGAGTAATATTATGAAGGTATATACTTAAATAATGTGTAATCTGATAGAAAGTGAATTCAGTCAGATGAGATCCCATTTCCAAAATATAATACAATCCAAAAATATTACCATTGAGCAAACAAGGTCCACTGTCCAATAGCAGGTTGATTCAATATGTATTATGTTATGAAATTTATTCCAATTTCTTTATATGTTCATACTGACAAAAATTAAACCTAATGCATAATATATTTCTGCTAATAGGAAAAGTGAAGGACTTAGCGGCCGTATCCTAAGAAAGCTTCCTTTTCTAGCCCATGCGCTGTATATTCAAGTAAGATGATGTTACTTTATAAAAATCATAAAATACATAAATAGCCCTATGTGTGAGCTTGATTTTTACTCAATGATAACTATAATTTTTCCCATTTTTAATTTTGGTACATGTTATAAAGAATAAGCATAAACAAAGCATTCATGTACAATAGCAAATAAAAAAATCAATTCAATTAGGTTAATAACATAGAATCATAGGACTGGAAGAGACTTTGGATGTCTAATATAATCCCCTACCCTGGGCAGAAGTCCTTATTCTATCAACGACAAACGGTTGTCCTATCTTATCTTGAGAATCTCCAGCAATAGTCATCTACAATTATGGAAGGTAAACTGTTCCTGATTGATTAATTGTTCTTATTGTCAGGAAATTTCTTCTTAATTCTGGATAGGATTTCTCTGTAACAAGTTTCTTGCCTTAAGGTGCTTTGAAGAATAAATCAAATCCCCCTGTAACACGCTTCAAGTATTAGAAGACAGCTATCATGTCAGTCTTAAGCCTTCCCTTTGTTAGGCTAAACCAGCAGTCCCCAACCTTTCAAGCTTGGTGGCGGCCCAAGGGGTGGGTGGGGAGATGGGATGGTTCTGTGTGAGTGGCAGGCATGTGAGCATGCCCAGCTCCATATGCATATGTGGTGGGCACATGCACCCACTGCTTGCACAAGTGGAGCTTTGCAAGCGCAAGTGCCTACTGCTCACACAAGTGGATTAGCATGGGCACATTTGCCCACTGCTTGCACGGCCCAGTTCCAAGCAGCCCACAACCGCTAGTGTGGGCCAGGAATTGGGAACTCCTGGGCTAAATATATCTAGTTTCCTTAGCCATTGTTGAAGAACACTGGGCCCAAGGCAGAACGCTGACGTATCTGACTGCTTGCTTCTTAATGCTGCAGTAGTGTTTCTATTTCCATGGAATTTGTACATTTACGTAATGCTTCTAATATTTCATATAGTGCCGTGATGGTGAACCTGTGGCACGTGTGCCAAAGATGATATTCAGAGACTTCTCTGTGGGCACACACGTTGTCGCCAGCTGGTCTTCTGGTTTCCAGCCAGTTGGTCTTTGCGGGCCCTGGAGCGCTGGAAAATGGCCCGAAAATGGCCTGGAAAACAGGCTGGAAATGCTCCGAAAAACGACTGGAAAACAGCCCAAAAACAGGCATGTGCATGCCCGCCAGCTGGTCTTTGGGTTTCCAGTGTTCCGGTACATGCACATGCACAAGCATTCTGGTTTGGGCACTCAGTCCCAAAAAGGTTCACCATCACTGATATAGTGTGTTAAATAACTCTTCAATTCTTTTTATATAGTGAATTTACAAGCTTTTATTCTGGCACTTAATATTTTTATTTTTCCTTCTAGTCTCCTAGTGTTATAATGACAACTTTCCTCCAAGCTTTATCGCTTGCAGTGGACAAGCAATTTGAAGAACGAGCAAAGCTTTCAGACTGTGTTTGATGTTCTGCTTCTTACTCTATGTTTTGTGGTAATTTTCTTTATATCTAACTTGGTTTTTATATATAGCTACTGAGATTGCTAATTAAGAGCCATGTGTTTTTAACCTGAAGATCAGTCCAGACTTCCTTTTTTCAACTATTGCATGTATAATAAATTACTTCTATATATTCAAAGGTTTGATTTTGTTTGGGTCAAAATGCCATGTACTGTTGGGGAAAGTCATTTAAAAGCAATTCCAAGAAGTTATTATTCCCAATAATTTTGACAAAGTTTTGGAGTTGGAATGCCTATGATTTATATCATTTTGTATTGTTTTGCTGAACTATATCTCTTGTAAAAAATGATAAATAAGAATCATTTTTCTTTGTGTGTTTGTTTCGCTTCTCATCTAAGAAGCTTCTTCTGTCCTGAACTGAAGAAACGTCTTGGATGAGAAATTAAAAGTTTTCAAAGAAAAAAACAAAGGAAATTCAGTTGCCTTTTGAAAAAAGAATCTTTGGAATATGCTAATTAAGGTTACTGTTCGATTAAAAACACATAGAAAACTACATGTTAATAGAGTAAGTGGAAGAGATGTTTTTTGTATAGCATATGTATGAGTCCAAGCCAGACCAATCCTAAAAGGAAACAATCTCACAGAATACCTGTTACTTGCCTTTTTACCTACAATTTAGTATATATTTATTTAATTCAGTTCTAATAAGCAAAAACATTAATACATTAACCAAATATCATTGGCAATGTCCTAAAATCAAACAAATTAATATAAATTAGAGGCTGAAGCACTTCTGAGCTGAGGTGTCAAGTAGATTGTATGAATGATAAAGTTTTAAAAATACAGTATGTATTAGCAACTACAATTAAAAATGCTATTGGGGCTCTTTGCTTTTTATTTTAGGAGGATTGAACAGTTTTTATTTCAGGATTTGAACACTGAAGGAACAGTACATCATAGAATAACTCTACCTTTATACCTCTAAGACCGTTGCTATTTCCCTACAATATCTCAAATGTTGTTTCTATCATGTTTCTGTTGATTCATATTTATATTTTGGCATCTTGGACTTCTGTTTCTTTAGTTTTTTATAAAATTTCTGAAAGCACCACATTTCTACACCTTTTAATATTATATCCCAGCCTGAATTCTGATTGTAAAAGATCAGCCTAACCTGCTTCACCCAGGACATATTTTTAGGGAAGATGGAGACTGAACAGAGATTATCTAAAACTACTGGGTCCAAGAATGGCCTCTTTCAAGGCAGGCAGGGCTATTTTCTCCCGCTAAGAAGCATTAACTAGAACTTGGACTCAGCTGCATTTATCTTCCTGAGAGACTTTGACCAGTCACAGCAATAAGGATGTTGCCCAAATTCAAGCAACTTTGTCCAAGTATGCCTAAAATGATTCCCATAGTAATCCTGCAAAGGCTCACCCTGAAACAGAGCTGTTAACAGATACCTACAGACTCAATAAGAGCAGAGAAGTAAAACACTTTGTGCAACTTTTATTTACCACAAAAGCCTAATAAACAGTCTTACCTGTGCCAAGTCAGTTTCATCCTTTGTTCCTTAGTCTTCCTTCAATGGCACTCTGATCCTCCCTTGTATTTCTGCATCTCATGGAGCTCCTCTGTGAACCAGGAGGTTCTATTCATGACTACATAGACATAATCAGTTCAAACACGCTTGTCATATGTTCATTTCAACCCATGACTAGGTTTTGTCTAAAACGTGCCAGAGACTCAGGAATAACCCTAAGCTCCCTCTGAAATCTACTGGGTCCATTAGTCTCTTCTGGAGCAGTGGTCACCAACCGATGGTCTGTAGATACTGGTGGGCCACGAGAAAATTTTGGTGGTCCACGGACAAACTTTTGTCTTTTTTGCATTTTTTATATTGCACTCATCCTCAAGCTATGGCCCCTGGGCTGGATATGGCCCGAGAGCAATTAATCTTGCCCATGCACGGGAACACACAGCGGCACCACCCACATCACCCCGCCCACATGCCAGCCCCTTAAGGCTGAGCGCAAACCTCACCTCAAGGAGAATGGTGCGAGCCACACGAATTGGAACTGGAAGGTAAGACCAAGAGCTCATCGTGCTCAGCCAAATGGCCGCCTCGGGAGGGGGGGAGGTTCAGCCGCCTTTCGGGCCTACATCTCTCCTGCAAGGCCTCTGGGTGGGACTGTAGTAGTCACAGGACTGGCCGTTTGGTATCCCGAAGTAGCTCCTCCACCTGGGTGCACCAACCTGCTGGGGAGCTGCCTGCTCCCTGGCAGGCCAGTGCACCAGGGTGGAGGAGTTGCTCCGGGATGACCAACTGGCCAGTCCTGTGAGTGAGACTACTACAGATCTGGAATATGGAACTGGCTGTGGCAGGGCTGGAAATCTCTGCCCTGGGATGGCACATGCAATGTGCAACTTTGCAGGTGGTGCAATATGGAAAGAGGAGTGCAGCCCTTGCTGTCTGGAATGAAATAATGCTATTGTGGTGGGGGAGGGGCGGCACAAGAGGGCAGAAGCGGCGGTTGTGATGGCTTGAAGCGTGAGCGAAGCACTACTTTCAGTTGTGCAGCAACAGCATTCCGCCTCGATATATTTGTGCCAGCCAATGGCGCAAGGAAGTCCTTGTCTCCTGCCGCTTGGGACTTGGAGCGGTAAATGGTGTCTGGTCTGGGGAGCAGCCGGATTTTGCTCTCCATTGCGGATGCCAGATCGACCCCCTGCAAGCTCTCGTCTCTCGAGGAGTGCTTCCTGAAGTGGCATGGGAAACTGGTCGGGCTCCTCGAGATGAGAGCTTGCAGGGGGCTGATCTGGTGTCTGCAATGGAGAGCAAAATCCAGCTTCTCTCTGCTGTAGTGCAGCATCAGAATTCCACCTTGGTATATTTACGGCACAAGGCAGCCCTCGTTTCCTGCCACGGGACTCGGAGCAGTAAACAGTGTCTGGTTCGGGGAGCAGCCGGATTTTGCTTTCCATTACGGACGCCAGATCGGCCCCTGCAAGCTCTTGTTTCTTGAGCCCAACAAAAGTTTCCCGCGTTGCTTCAGGAAGCGCTCCTCAAGAGACGAGAACTTGCAGGGGGCCGATCTGGCATCCGCAATGGAGAACAAAATCCGGCTGCTCCCCGGACCAGTCGCCATTTACCACTCCAAGTCTCAAGCGGCAGGAGATGAGGGCTGCTTTGTGCCACCGGCTGGCACAATATACCGAGGCAAATGCTCATGCTGCACAAGTTCAAGTAGTGCTTTGTTCCCGCACTTCTGGCCCTTGTTGGTACTCCGTGCACCTTGGTCTCTCAGGGAGATGTTTCACTTCCTCTCAGCCCCAAAACATTGGCTGGCCCATGAGATGAGAGAGAATCAGAGAATGAAAAAGAGAAAGAGAATGAAAGAGAGATACAGAATGAAAGAATCAGAAAGACAGAAAGAGAGAGACAAAATGAATGAGAATCAGAATGAGAAAAAGCAAGAAGGGGAGAAAGAGTGGGAGAGAGAAAATGAGACAGAAAGGGACGGAATGAAAGAGAACGAAACAAAATGAATGAGAGAAAGAGAGGGGGAGAGAGAGAGAGAAAGAGGAAGGAGAGTGCCTGAAGGACCCCATCCCGTTACTGGGAGTCCAGGTGCTTCAGCAAGCGGCGGGTTGGATTCGTATTAGTGGTCCGCAAAAGTTACAATTATGAACTTGATGGTCCCTGAGGTCCAAAAGGTTGGGAACCCGTTCTGGAAGATTGACTGAATAGGCTCAGCTTCTCTGCAGTTCAGAGGATATTGATGTTCGCTGACTTCAGAAAATTCACTGAAAACCCAAAAAAAGGAATGCACCAGAAATTGTTTTTTCAATTCAAATGATTCCTGAGAAGTTAAACAGACAAGATGTTTTACACACAGAACTTTCTAAAATAGAATTTAAATAGAAATATCCATGTGCATTTAACTATTTATTTATTTATTGGTTCGATTTATATGCCGCCCTTTTCCGGAGACTCAGGGCGGCTTACAATGCGTTAAGCAATAGCCTTCATACTTTTATATATACCTGCTTAGTAGGGCTTTCGCCCCCCCCCCCTCCAGAGTTCTTTTTTATACAAAGTCAGCTTATTGCCTCCACAAACCGGGTCCTCATTTTACCTACCTCGAAAGGATGGAAGGCTGAGTCAGCCTTGAGCCTGGTGAGATTTGAATTTGTAGTAATTGCAGGCAGCTGGTGTTACTGAACAGTGCTTTAGTCTGCTGCGCCACCAAGGCTCTCTCTTTTTTGTTTTTTGTTACAGCAAAATTATTGCCTGTGAATATATATGCAGTTAAAACTATTTTTCATATTTCTGAGCCACTCAGGTTATATTTATGGTAGTTTATATTTAGTAATACAGAAAAAAAGTTCTGTAAACTATTTTAAAAAGCCAAGTGGCACTACTATTGGAAGATAAAATTGAAGAAAAGATTGATACAGAATTAGCTATCAGACCAGCAGAAATGAAACTGATGTCTCTAGATTTGATATGCTTATTAATACCCTTTCCTTAATAAAGTTGTAGTTGCATTGTCATTCATCAACTCCTATAAATCTACAAGAAATCCCTGTGATAAGATTGATGATTATCTCCAAATGTGTATACATAGGATTACCATATTAAATTCTGGAAGGAATTTAAGAGAGATCGCTTGAAGTTTATACAAAAGGATAGGAAAGAAATTGGGTTTGGTATGTTTGGTGAGAAAACAATGGAAGAACACTAGCAAAAGAACAAATAATGAGGAGATGGCTGGAAATTTATACTGTGAGTTTAATCTAAAGACCCTAAAGAGGTCTAATCCTCTTTTACATTTCAAGCTTTCCGTTGCTTTTCCCTAACGGAAAGCTTTTTGCAAGTTAAGAAAAATTCTGCATGAAATAGAATCATTAAATCTTACATAAATATGAGAAATTGTCATTGGAATTGATTGATGTCTAAATTTATTTCAAAATATTTCAGCATTGGTTACACTGAAAATTCATATAATAGAATGTCTTATAAGTCTTAAATGTAAAACTAAGATACAAAAAATGCTGCAAACGTGCAAAGCTGACTGATCAAGAAACAAACAGGATTGTGCTCAAAATATTTTCTTTCCACATAAATCTATTAAACTCAAACTTGAATGAGTTCAATCTAGATTTTGCTGAAAAATTCATGTAAAATATAACTGAAATTGGAATGACATCTACTTCAGCTATACTTTATTTTATAGTATAAAAGCAGCAGGTGTCCTTGGTACATTATGTCCATTGCAAGTTTCATTTTAAAAAAGCACTACATAACATTTAAAGTACTTTAAACCATAAAATTGCTTCAAAAACTTTAGGTAACTGCGAAATTCTTCAACAAACTATTAATTCAATATTTTGTCCTCATTTTTCAGAACCAGAAAATGTAATGGGACAACGTATAATGTTAATCCATAATATTTAAACAATAGTTTTTTCAAACAAAATTCTAAAATGAAGGACGGGAAAAAGAAAAATGTCACTGCTTTGTTATTTTCTACTTAATGTTAGCACTTAATAATAATCAACAATTTACTGTACATTTCCAAATTGTATACTCTTCAAATACATAATCAAAAATTATAGAGAAATGAAGACTTAAAATTGATATTTATACAGATTCTCAAAATGCATCAATCTGTTAAGAATGTCTTTACCTTGAAAAGTTCTTGAAAAACTACCAAAACTATCAAAAAATAAAAAATGAGCAATTTGGACAAAAAAGCCATCAACCAGCTAATCTATTGTCTGCTTAATTGTGCAGATACTACTCTCTGCATATGCCCATTAAAACTTGCATTAGGCCATTATGTGGATCCTTCTGTCCAGAATATATTAGGTGGCCTTCCAATAGGAAACTCAACAAAAAAGCCTATTTTAGCAAGAATTCCAAGTAGCAGAGTACTTTGAATTAGAGCTAGCCAAATATCAGCAATGTTGCAGATTGATCAGAACAATATCATACTTTAAGACACATTAAGAGAAACAAAATACTCAAGCTTCATAATTTTGAGAAACATTAAATATAGAGGTAAATATATTTTGTCATGAGGTAATTTGATTAAAGCAGTATTTTAAAAATATAAAGATACTTCTGAAGCTGTTTTAATTTGTATTGTTTTAGTACAATACAAATAGGCTAAATGAATTCATGGAGCTTGGGTTGCAATTCATTTTTAGAACAACCATTTTTATATAGGTTTGTGAAAAATTAAAAGATGGGCAGCAATTGAAGTATTTAGTAAAATTCTTAATTTTTAAGTATTTGATTATTTCTCCAGATCATTATGTAAATGAAGATTCAATCATTCAGGCCAAAAGTATATTAAAAGATTAAATCATGGCAACTAGACCAAAGCTTGTTAAAACAGATGTTTGTTACTATTCATGTAACTTCAGTGAAAATGAGAATTTGGATCGGCAGAGTGTTAGGGAGTCATTGGAAAGAAATGGAATAAATTAAATAAAGAATAAGGAGTTGAACTTGATCCAAGTGAGCCTAAACCTAAACTTAAGATTTTTTCGAATTATGGGATATTGTTCCTTAAAATCATTTTGTAAGCAATCTGATATGATCAGTATCTCTATAATTTTAAATATTACTAAACAGCAAAATTACAACCTTATCTAATATCTACTGTGTAAACATTTAGGTTAGCAATGCAGCAACAGTAGGAGTCAAAAGAATGTATTTTATATCTGTGTATATAAAGGAAATAAATTATAAAGATCCAATACTTGTGGAATATTAGTAGGGGTATAGGACCCTTAAAATCTTTTTTAAATTAACGATTTTTTAAGTTTTCCATTATTTTTAACTTAAATTAATTGGTAATCAGTAGAATCTGAAAAGATGACCAAATCTGCATGTTATCTTCCAATTACTATGACGATAAAACAATTTCAGTATTATCTTTGCCATATAAAATAGTTGAATGCTGGACTACCTTGGTCCATTAAACAAGGGTACCATCTTTGAAAAGAATCTTATCAAGCTAGTTGTTTAGAGAATTTTATTAGAAAAGATGTTTATCTAAACTGAAGTTAAACAGTTTCTAGGACTCTTAAAATATTATTGACGAAAAGGAGCACACTTTTAAGAACTTTCACTGCTGCCATCTGCTTTTTAATTTTGACCAGGATGGGGACAGAAAAGGTTCCTCCCATCTTCTGTTCAACCCAGTGTATTATGTATTTCTTTTCCAATAGATAGACTTCCTTAGGGTAGATGTTTTCTCCTTGCCAAGGTTGAGTAGCCATCTCCAGTGTGGTACTCCCCCATTGGGTCCTCAGGCCAACTTTTAGACCCAGATCTTTAGACTCGTATGGAATCATAGGAGGCTGCGGGCAGATCTTATCCCAAGAGGCAGGCTGTTCCAATGGGCATGTGAGCAGAGAAAGCTCTTCCAGATCTCGTCAGCTGGAGTTCTTTGACCAATGGGATCTGCAGTAGATCTCTGCTGGCATGAGTGGGGTGGGCATGACTGGAAGATAATGTCTATACTTAGCTTCTTCATTTCTCCAAAGTTCATTATCAGTCAATGAAAGCCAACATTAAGAATTGTGTATTGACCAAATCCACATAAACAACTCTAGATACTAGGAAATTCCTTTTTGGCGCATACAGAATAAGTCCAGTAAGATTATTAACAGACCACATTTTTCTACATGGATCATCCCCAGAAAAACATTTAGCAATGATCAAATTTTAGCAAAGAAGTTTTCATTGCACAGAAATAACAATGATTTTTTTTTCTGAAAATATTTTTTCAGAATATTTAAGAGGGTTTATTTTAAGAGGTTAGTGTTCATACTGAATGTAAAAAAAACACAAGTATTTTTTACAGGTAAAGCTTTTTCAGAGCTCCATATTTGATACCCCTGTTCACTGTTATATATAAAGTATAGGAATAGCATATAATTAATCTGCATACTTCAGTTTCTATGCTCTAGAGAAAAAATATTTCATAAAAAGAAATTCATGCATGAGTGTGAAATCATCCTGTAGCCAATCAGTCTGGTACCATCCAACATGGTACCATCCTGTAAATTAGAATTCCCAATTAGCAGAAACTTGGCAATGCTGCCTTGGAAATCCAAAAATTTGGTAATATCAAAGTATGTAGAAGCCAGCAGATTAAATACAGATTTACTGTCATTTCACAAGGACCAAGACTTTGTATATCCTAATGAACAGCATCAAGATAATTTAAAAATGGCACTTATGCATTACAATGGTTATAAAGGCAAGTTATGATATGATGTAAACGATAGACATATAATACAAAGTATTGCATAAATTGCATGTGTGTTCCAGATGAAATAAGGTCATGTAAGTTTCAATGAAAGGCATTCAATAATAGCATCTTAATATCAGAATAAAACAATATGACAATATACAGCGTACCATCATTATCATATCTTTCCTATTGTCCTTGAGCACCATACATGGCATACATAAGTTCCACTCTCAAGCTTATTTTTTTTTTGTTTGGAACATAATAGATACCAATGTGACTTTCAAAAAAATAATTAAGATTCTGTACAACAGTTTACTGCATCTAGAGAAATCCTGGACTAATAACTGATTATCTTATTGTATAAAAGGCAGCAATATTCTTCTGTTCCCTCAGTGAGGTAGAACAATGTTTAATGTACAAGCCAGGTGCACATATTGGTGTTCAAATTGTTTTCTTGAACACTATTTCCTAAATCACATTTTTATTCCTTCTTGCTGACTGAGTTGTGACAGAGTTTTCTTTATCCGTAAAGCTGTTAGTCTAGCTGCACCATTAGCATACCAGCATTCTCGCATAATCTTGGCCATTACTCGTAATGCCTGCAAATAAATAAAACAGAAAATATTTTGTGAGCCACTGATATCATAGCAAAAAAAATTTTTAAGTACATTTATCCATAAATACAAATACGAGTCCATAATCAAACAAAACTGTCCTGACATTCATATTTCTTTCAATTCAAATTCTAAAATCAAAGTATTTTTTTAAAAAAAAATGATTTATTTTTAAAAGTATTCTAAAACTTATCTAAAGAAAAGAATCTACCTCACAACTTTGCCATCTATTTGGAGTATTGGGTCGTAGCTTCTGTTCACAAACAATTCTTCTCATTTCCTCAACTGAAGGATCAGAAGGGACAAGGTCGTAATATGGTAACTGATAATCTTCATGGATTCCTGAAATATATAAACCAATATATAATTTAAGCTTCATTTCTGATACTGATTGAAGTTAATAGGTTGGGTTTTTTTTGAACCTACCACCAATTGAACATCGACGAGCTATTTCCCAAAACACTAGTCCCATTGCATAAATATCTGCTCTTTTGAAAGATTCAAAATGCTTCATGTTTATCGAATCATCAAGTACTTCAGGAGCCATGTACCTATGAATATAAAGACCAATATGTATTATACAGCAATGCTGCTTGAACATTATTTAATTTTATTTTTTAAAGCCATCATAAGCAGCTGTAAGCACTTTTTCAATTCTACAAAGTAATCATCTGAACTTTATACTGTATACTATTTATTACTAGGGACATGGTGGCTCAGTGGCTAAGACGCTGAGCTTCTTGATCAAAAGGTCAGCAGTTCGAATCCCTAGTGCTGCGTAACAGGGTGAACTCCCATTACTTGTCCCAGCTTCTGCCAACCTAGCAGTTCGAAAGACATAAAAAATGCAAGTAGAAAAATAGAGAGCACCTTTGGTGGGAAGGTAACAGTGTTCCATGCACCTTTAGCGTTTAGTCATGCCGGTCACATGACCACGGAGACGTCTTCTGACAGCGCTGGCTCTTCGGCTTTGAAACAGAGATGAGCACCACCCCTAGAGTCGGGAACGACTAGCACATATGTGCGAGGGGAACCTTGACCTTGACCTTTATTTATTACTAGCTACTCAAATGAAATCCACAAGTTTTCCTTTTAAAAAAACTTTAAATTGGAAAACTAAACAAGTTATTGCAGGCTAAGTTAAGCATAGTAATTCACAATAATTTATCACTGATTTTGAAGTCGTAATTTCTACTAAGTCCACATCACAACTTTTAAAAACTTTGATTTATAAAATCAGAATCGTATATATCTATCCAGGACTGTTTTGAGAGTATTAATCTACTGACAATAACTATTCCCAAATAGCTAAGAAATCACAAATAAGGCAGCAATTCTGGCTTGGTGATGTACATTCACTGCTGTTTGGGATCTGGGATCAAACATTCACTTTCCTTTCTTATATGGGGAGAAATGTACTTTGGCTGTGAAATGATAATAATCTGCCTTTCTCTAACTGGGTTAAAATTTTAAAACTGTCTCATTCCTGTTCATCTCAAGAATGACCCTAATATTTTATAGCTCCACCTCAGGTGACCCAAGTGATACTGCAGCTGCCCACTTGCAGTGCCTGGAGACTGTGGAGGTTTGGATGGGGGACAACAGGCTTCAGTTGAAAGGTTCAAAGGACCCGGGAGTTTATCATCCTTAGTTATGAATGGTACCTATCTGCTACCTCAGATAGATTTTAGGCACAATTTGTGAGTTCTCCTGGACTCACATCTCCTATTCAAAGAGTATTTATTTCAACTAGCTGGGCTGGCTTGAGTTAAATTTTAAATTGATTTTAAATTGGGTTGTTTTAATTTACGGCCAAAATATCTAATTATTTTAAACTGTTTTTAAATTTTGTATGTCCTGTTTTTTACTTTGGCTGTTCATCGCCCTGAGTCCTATTTGGAGAAGGGCGGTATAGAAATTGAAACAAATAAAAATATAAAAAAGTAGGTGACAGTAGAGTCTGGAATTACCTTTGTTCAACTTCATGTTGTGCCCTAATTGCACCCTTTCCTGGATCATGAAATCCTGCGCAGAGTCACTTATGCTCTGGTCATCTCTCATTTGGATTACTGTAATGCATTCTACGTGGGGCTATTCCTGAAGAATATTCAGAAGCTACAACTAGTATAGAATGCAACGGCAAGAATATTTATAGAGGCCCCTCAGGTGGCATATATAACAATGAGTGAGCTGCACTCGATGCTAGTCTGTTTCTGAGTCTAATCTGAGTTGTTGGTTAACACCTCTAAAGCCCTTTAGGGAATGAATCCAAGGTTACCTGAGGAGATGCATTGGCCTGTTCCACTTGCTCCAGTGGAAGATGTCTACTTCAGATTCCATCTATGAAAGAATTTTGGCTGGCGAGGTCCAAGAAAAGTAGCCTGTTATCTTGGTTTTTAGTCTTTATTTAATCTCTCTAATTGTTTTATATTATAATCATTTTGTAAGCTACTCAGTCACTGTGACAGTGAGATGGGCAGCACATAAATTAATAAATTAAATAAATAATAGCTATTTAGAATTGTTGGCTATTTATAAGTTATTGCAAATAATTCCTACCCATCCACAAGGAAACAGATGCCTGTACATCATTTTGAACAATAGCTACTGTTGTGCTATTTGAGTTGAGAAAAGCTAGAGACCAGTCAGGTTTGGCTATCTGCTGCCACTTAGCAGGGCTACTTCACATATAATATTATGTTTTAATTATTTCTGTGACTGAATAGAATCTGCTGTAAGATTTCTGGAAAAATAAAGCATTGAGCGAGATGAATAACTAATAGATTAGAGAAAATAATTGATTTTCACAGTATCAGGCTGCAGATGAAGGTCTTTTTCTGACATAAAACTCTTCCATACAGAAAACTCATTTGTCAGAGAAAACTACACTGGAATTGTATTGTTGCACATACGACTTCATCTGGAAACTAAAGTAATACAATATATTTCAGATAAAAGTTTATCTGTCATTGGTTAAAACAAGGCTCATACATTTAACTAGAAACTTGATTCCTCATTAATATTTACATGAATTTCCAAGATTAAAAGATTACATATTAATAGGTTAGCAAGAATGATAGAAAAATACAAATCCAAAGATATATCTTTCTTCTCCATTTTATTTATTGATCTGTGGAGAAGAGGGTCACCTTTCAATCACTTATGCCTTCACTCTTAAAGAGAAGGCACTACTCAGCAGTTCTGGGACATTTACTGAAGAAGAATAAAGAAAGAAAGAATAAGGCAAAGTATATTATTTTCTCTCATTTGTGAGCATGCAGCAATGTGTTTATAGTTTTAATGACTTATATTCAATAAGTTAGGATGATAAACAGTAATTTTCAAATGAGTTCATACTTATTTGTGTAAATCCAAATCCATGTTCAATATGAGGACATTTTATTATACTGGTTTTCATAACGTAGTAGTAAGAGAAAGTTTGTGAAATATGCAACCAGAATCTTTTTATCTTTTAAAAGGACTTAGAAGTTCTGATCACACTATAGGTCACATTACAGCAAGATTATAATGGGTTCAACACACTTTCTCCTATTGCTGTAGGAATAACTAACTTTAACATCTACTGTTTAGTTTATCTTCAGTTTGGATTATGTAAAATATTCCATTAAAAAAGCATCAGTTTACCTCTTTGTTCCCACTCTGTGATTTGGTGCAATATCTATTGTATCTGTAGCTGAATCATGTCTTACTGCCAGACCTAAATCAGCAATGCAACATGTTCCATTTTTCTTTACCAATATGTTTTTTGATTTCAAGTCTCTATGAGCTATAGCTGGTTTACCTGAAATTAAAACACACAGAAGCACTATTAATATAATTAACTATATCAACCTGAATTTTAACTCAAGGCACAAAAAATGATGCTCATAAAGTAACAGGGCTGGAAGGGACCCTAGAGGTCTTCTGCCTGTGGATCCTTACTCCATCCCACATAAACAATTGTCCAATCTTTTCTTGATAACATTCAGCAAATAATTATTATTTCTGATGATGGAGCTCAAATTATTCCTCTGAACACACACTATATAAAAACAAAATTCTCCACATAACACTCTAATGCTGGGAAAGACTGAAGGAAAAGAAAAGAGGATACCGTATTTTTCGGAGCATAAGATGCACCTACCTTTTTTGGTTGTTTTTTTTTTAAAAAAGAGGTTTTTTTATTTTTTAGACAAACACACGTACAAACATACAATATATTTTCTTTGAACAGAGTATTTGGCTGGTTCACAAATTTAAAGTGTTTAGTCATTTCAATTAAATTTACAATTTCTATATTTCCTTTTTGCCATATTTATTCCTCGTCTATTTTTTTAAAAAACCAATATTACCCTTCATTCTCATCTTTAATCTTAATCAAATTCAATTTTCCCCTTCTATTCTATATTATACCCCTTCCCATTGTCTATCTATTTTTATATCCATCCTCACATTGGTTAATTATGTAATATTACAATTGTTTAATACAAATTCAACATTTTAATATAAATCAATTAGTTATATAACTATCTTTTTTGTATATTAATCAATATGAACATGAATATTCCAATTATTTCCATGCAATCCAATTTCTTACAAATCAATTAATTATATTTACCAATAATAATAAACCAAATAATTTCCCCCATATATTCCTCCAAACCACAACTTAACTATTTCTGCTTTCAACACAATATACAAATAATAGTATCTCAATTATTACAATTCCCTAGTTAAATAGAGATTTCCCCTTATGTTACTCATTTTCACATCTTAAACTCTCCCAATAATCCAAACTTTTGCCCATATAGAAAAATATTCCAATTATTATTTATTTCATTTTTACAATCATGATTTCCCATTTATTTCTTACTACTATTTATATTTCAATTCTAAATATGTATAACATCTTTCTCTTTCATTTCTTTTTCTTTTTCTCCTTTCCCATTTTTATTTTTGCTTTTTTTTGTGTGTGTTTTAAAAACTCTCCTCTTTTGCCCTAAATTTCCCATTGTTTGCACCTACCTTTTTTGGTGAGGAAAACAAAATCTCTGTCTCATTTTGCCACGTTGGAGCAAAGAGCCTGCTTTACTTTCAGTTTCGTTTTTCAGCATAGCTAGGGAAAAAAATCTGCTCCAGCAAGCGGCAGAGCCCTGCGCAGAACATCTGAGACAAATCAGCTGAGAGTCGGGAGGCCGATCTAATCAACTTGTGCTAATTAATCTATGCTGAAGCTGAAAGGAGCTGTTTTTTCTTGCTGTTTGCTTGCAAGGAGGTAACTGCTGGAGGCACAGGTCAAAGGGTGGGAGCCAATGGGTGGGCAGGCCTACATTCGGTATATAAGACGCACCTAAATTTTCACCCCCTTTTGCGAGATAAAAAGGTGTTTTATACTCCGAAAAATACGGTAATCAGAAGTAAGATAGAAGAACATTATGCTGCCCCACTGGAAGACCTAAAAGTCCATGCTAGAGACAGATCATAATAGAGAAAAATCTATCTAAATCCTCAATTAAAGGTGATAAAGACGATGGCAATTAAATTAAAATAAATTTCTTATTATATATTAAAATTCAGATTTGTTAAAATTATAACAATATATCAGGAATTATTAAATGAAGATAAACAAGCTTTAAAACAAGGTTTCCAAACTATAAGGTGTACCTCCCTTGAGATGCAGATGGAGTCCAGGGGAGATATAAGAATATTTTAATTACATTGTTAGAATAAACTATGTTCTCCAAAGTTTCATTATTATTTCATTGTTCATTTTGGTGTTTGGGTTTTTAAGCAAGGCTACATTGAAAGGAAGTTGATTATAAGAATTTAGGAATTCCTGTTTTAAAAGAATTACAATTAATCAGAATGTTAGTATCTGAAAAAAGATAGAGCTTCTGCATATTTAAGCACTACAAAAAAGAAACTTATTTAGGCAATAAATTCATATTCTCAAAATTACCCAGTGGTTCTAATAAAAAGTCTAAAAGTGATGGGATAAAATATAGATGGTCACCTGAGATTAACAACTATTTTTGAATCTAATTCAAATTTCATAACATAAAATTCACAAATAATGTGAATTAACTATAATTTCTTAAAATACAGTATATTGCTACACATGGTGACCTGAGTAATACTGTGGCTGCTCTAATGCGATGCCTGAAGGTAGTAGGGCTCTGGATGGAGGAACAACAGACTTCAACTGAACCCTTGCAGAGTCAATGGAGCCCCAAGAGTCAAATGTTTGTCATCCTTAGATATGGACAGAATTGCACTACCCTGATCAGACCCAGACACTTATTATTATTAAGAGAAGATATAATAAAATAGAGGAAATTAAATACAGTATTATTAAAAAAATAAAAACTTAATTAATGATGCAGTTTATTGGTCAATGGTAATCCAAAATTGGATGAATGGGAAGATATTTTGAGCCTTTTTCAGAAAGAAGAAACATTAAATGGAAAGAACACTCCCTATGCAGATGTTTCTTCAACATAGAATTAATGAATCATTGTATAGAAAGCAGCAATATAGAATCTCGCTTAAGAGTTTCTCTTAAACTGTCTGTAGTTTTACCACATAGACCTAACTGAAGATACAAAGGACTGCTGCAGGCAATGCATCCAGCTTGGCTAAAGTGAGTGCTTATAGAATTTCAGAATTGTAATGGATGATAAACAGGAGGCTGGCACAAATCTTTTCAGAAAAATATGATCAATATTGGGGTATGGCACTTTTCTTAAATTTGATTGGAGATCTATATACCAAATTCATTGTTTTGAGGGCAGTTCTAACATTATAAAAACCTAATAGGCACAGACTTTCTATATAGAATCTCAGAATCCTATATATGAATTTTATCTAGGTTTTTTTAAAATGATCTCTACATGCTAATGGGCCAAACCTATAGGAAATAGAATTAACATGAGTCAAAAGGTAATTAGAAGAAATCATGCTCTATCATACAACAAGACCATGCTTGTTGTCTTACATGTTTCTACATGTAAGATGGCATTTTGGAATTATCCATAGGTCTCAAATTAATGGTTCTAAGAATGTTAATTTTCAAAAAAAGAGTAAATTTAGGAGCCATAAGGAATCTGAGAGATTACCTTAGTTTGGAAAATCTTAATTTTAGCTAAAATAAATATACTAGACTACAGTAGATTTACTATTCTTTTACTAGATTTATTTGATTTTTTTAAAAATCTGGTTTGCCTCTCACTATTTTTACTATGTGTCTCCAGTACAACATGGTAGCTCACCTGGTAAAAGTATATAGAAAAACTTATTTTAGAATAGATGATTAAAAGTTAGAAAAAAGAATAAGAACTTTCAGAAGGAATATTCATTAAATTGGTGCTCCTATGGGTTCAGGAGGAAAAACTATAATAAGAGGGAAATAGTGAGGAGGGGTGTTTCCCACTATAAACTTTAATTAGTAGATATTCCAAAAGTATTGTCGATACAATTATTTTTTTAATCTAAACATAAATCACATAAATTAAATGTTAAATCAAATTAAATTGCAATGGAAATGATTAAAATGATTTCAAAATGCATACTACTGAGAGAAGATGTACATTAACAACTGAAACAAACATTGGGATTAAGTTACCTTGTGTGCCAACAATCTCCATGTGAAGATGTGCAAGTCCACTAGCAGTTGACAATGCTAGCTTTATCATTCCCTCTACAGTAACAGTGTACCTGTTCAAATAATCAAAAAGAGAACCATGCTCATGATAATCTGACACTAGCCAGAGTTGTGTCCATGTACCATTATCTGCAAATCAAAACAGAAAAGGAACAATTAAAATTAAGGGAACAAAATAAACAAAATATTGGAAAAACAACTCTGTATCTAGAGATCTCTCTGTTAAATTATTTAAGTTTGCAAATGATAAAACAGTCGTTGGTCTCATAAAAGTTGGTGATGAGTCTGCCAATAGACAGGAAGTTGAACAACTGGCCCTGTGGTGCATCTGGAACAATCTGGAGCTGAACATGCTTAAAACTGTAGAGATGAGAGTGGATTTTAGGAGGAGCCCTTCTATTCTACCATCTCTTACTATATTCGACAGCACAGTATCAGAGTAGATCCTTCAGGTTTTGGGGTTCTAGAAGTTCTATAATTTTCCAGGATTTGAAATGGACACTAACATTAGAATCATCATTAAAATGGCACAACAAAGAATGTTCTTCCTGTGTCAATTCAAGAAGTTCAGACTGCTCCAAGAGCTGTTGATAGAGTTTTACAGAGGAATTATTGACTCTGCCATTAGTATTTCTATATTAGAAATACTATATTAATATTTCTATAATTGTCTAGTTTGGTACAGCAATCAAACAGGATAGGTACAGACTCCAATGGATAGCTAGGACTGCAGAAGAAACAATAGCAACCAGCTGCCTTCCATAGAATATTGTGCAGGTCAGAAGGAGAGCTGAGAAAATACCTACAGACTCTTCACATCTTGGATATAAACAGGTTTTCAGTTCCTTCCCTTGGGACCTCGCTATAGGGCACTGCAACTACAAGTTGCCAAATACTGCAACACTGCAAGTTGCCAAAACAACTAGACACAAAGATAAGGTTTTTCCCCTCATGCTATCACTTTGCTGAACACATTTATTCCAGATAAAGATTTCCCAGGCTTGGCAATTGTCATTGATATGGGTTTCAACTCTTAAAATTTTCTACAATGGCCATGCTTGTTGAGGAATTCTGACTGTTAAATTTGACATAAAAGGAGAACACCCAATTTGGGAGAGTAAGAGATACTTAATATAAGCATTTAAAACAGATTTGAACATAAACACAGAGCCATTACAATTTCGTTTTTCATGAAAATTATAACTTTCCCAATTTTTTGAGTATGTTTAGATATTATGTCATTAATATTTCTCATTGACAAAAATCCTCAACTTATAATTATTTATTTAGTGGCTGTTCAGTTATAATGGCACCAAAAAAGTGACTTATGTCCGACTCTCACTTATGACCAATGTAATATTCCCATGGTCACATTATCAAAATTCAGGTGCTTGGCAAATGGCATGTATTTATCATGATTGCAGCATCCTGAGATCATGTGATCACCATTTAGGACCCTTCCACCTGGCTTCTGACATGAAAAGACAATGAGGAAACCAGATTCGCTTAACAAATACAATTTAACAACTGCAATGATTTGCTTAACAACTGCTTGCAATTACTGCAAATTCAAATCTCACCAGGCTCAAGGTTGACTCAGCCTTCCATCCTTTCAAAGGTAGGTGAAATGAGGACCCAGATTGTGGGGGCAATAAGATGACTTTGTATAAATATACAAAAGTATGAAGGCTATTGCTTAACGCATTGTAAGCCACCCTGAGTCTCCGGAGAAGGACGGCATATAAATTAAAGCAAAAAATAAAATAAAATAAAAACTATGGCAAAAAGAACACAAAAATGGGGCACAGCTCACTTAACAACTGACTTGCTTAACAACCAAAATATTGGGCTCAATTGTGGTTGTAATTTGAGGACTACCTGTATATAATAACAAGTGACTGTATATGATAAGCAAAATATTTTTGGATTGTGACAACCTTTATTGTCTGCAGCTATAAATCCAAGAATATTCTCATGACGGAGCATAACTGTTTGATAGATTTCAGCTTCACGAAACCATGAGCGTTCTTCTCTTGAAGAGAATATTTTTACTGCAACTTCTTCTCCTCTCCATTTTCCTCGCCAGACTTCTCCAAAGCGACCTTTTCCAATACTTTCTTGTAGTACAATTGTTCGTGCAATTGTTCTCTGAACAAGTAATGGCAAACCTAAAAAAAAGTTTTCTGATCAGTGATAAAGGACCAATTAATCAATCCAGGTTTTGATCTACAAGGCTTTTCCTCCTATCAAAAGACTTTAAAGCCTCTAGCTATTACTAATTCTAATTGGCTATACTTTCCCTTTGGTCATAAATAAAGACCAATTCTGCTTTGTTAAAAAAAAGGCAACTTCAAATAATAGTTTAATTTCCAGTAACAATAATAAATTCTTTTGGGCAGCTCTTTGACTGTATTAATCTCCAATATTATGCTATTGCATTTGCTATAAATACACAAATACTTCCACAATTTTTTAATCACTCCCATATCTAAGAAGCTGTTATCTCTAAAGAATCTTACTACATTTCCACTAATATTTGAATGTGTAATCTAAATCAATTAAGTGAGTCACAAAATCTGTTTAAAGCTGAAATAATTTTCCAATTGGGATCTAACCAAATCTTTGTACATACCTGTTTGTCCTTTGAAATAGACCAGGCAAGGAAATATATTCCACAAGTCTGGATAGAACTACATTTTATTGATATTAGCTTGAACTGGTTTTTTTTACTCCTCTCCTCTTATATTCTATAGATTCTCAGATTTCAACAGCTGTTGGCACTGCGATTGCTGTCACATGTGTTTGTAGAGTGAAATGTGGTATCACTTACTAACAGCAATTCTGACAGTCATGATTGCTGTCACAATTCCAGGACTAAACAGATCATTAAGCAGGGAGAGATGAGAGTCCCAGGGAAGGAGTACGGAGAAGCTGCAGGAAGAGGATTGTGGTTGGCTCAATGAGGGCGACAGGTGGATGCTATGGATACAGGTGGGCCAGCAGAGACTATGGGAAAGTGCTATGGATGCAGACAGGCTGGTGGAATCCATGGAAAGGCCACCGGAGGCCACAAGTAAGGAAATGTGTTGCTGCTGGCAGGCTATATGACAGAATCAGGGTGAGCAGGAGGTGCTACAGAGTACAATAACTTGTATTCCACAGCAAACTCCTTGGAAGGCAAAATGGTGGGAGAAACTTGTGACCTTTTCTAACAGTTTCTCCAGTGATTTTGCTTGTGGGAAGCTGCAAACGACAATCTTGTGACTGGTTAGCTGCAACATTTGCAATTGCAAGCTAGACATCCTCACTATGATAATTGTAGGAATGTAATGATGACTGGATTTTCTAGGTCCAGTTATAAGTCCACTGTAAGTGCCACTGTAACATTGAATGGTTGCTGAATGAGTGCATATAAACCAGGGAACACATGTAGTGAATTATGTCAGCTTAGCTCTTTTGTATGCTTTCACTGTCTCTTTTGAGCATGTTTTTGCAACTATTATCAATGCCTTGTTTCTCCAAGGACACCTGCTTGGTTTCTTTATAGTATTCAAAATACATGACAACCAATGCAACATGGTAGTTAAAAGTTGGGCTAAAGGTCCTAATCTATCTTTAGCCATAGAAAACCTTGAAAGATGACTGTGGGCTAATCATTTCCACTAGCCCAAAAAGGATTGTTATGGGGCAAAACAAGAGGAAAGAGCTCTATGTATACTGCCCCGAGTTCCAGAAAGAAAATTGCAATGTAAAGATAAATATATTAATAAGTAGTCCTTGCTTAGTAACCACTTGTTCAGCAACTGTTTGAAGTTGTAGTGGTGCTGAATGAGTACTATTTACAATTGGTTCTTGAAGTTCTGGCTGTAGTATAGCCCCATAATTGACTGTGATCTGTGGGCTTGGCAACTCGTTCACACATTGGTTGCAATGCCATTATGAGTTATGTGATAGTTATTTGCCACCTTCCTTGCCACTTTCCACAACCAAGTCAATGGGAAAGCTGCCAGGAAGTTTGCAAGTTGTTCTAATAAGTCTCTCCCATCTGGTAGCAATCCCCGATCCAAAATCGCACACATCCCTGCAACAATCTACATCCTGCCTCACCCAACTGCAGCCACCTTTAGATCAAACAAGCTTGCACACCCTACTACAGACATGTATACTCTCTCTCATCTGGAAGCAACCATTTACCTTTCTGCTGGCCTGCTTATGAGATACCTAGGACTTCCTGCCATCTTCTCAAATGATATTGATTGGTGGAAATCAGCAGAAAGTTGGTCCTTGTTAATGATCCATGCTTTCTGCTGAATGAGAGCAACAGGGACTGCCTGTATTGTGGTAACTAAGTGGTGTGATCACATAACTTTGTGCTTTACAACCACATTGCTTAGCAACAGAATTGCTTAGCAACAGAATTGCAATCCCAATTATTGTTGTTAAGTGAGGATTACCCATGTGTTATAAATTTTAAGGATAAACTATGTTTAGGTTAGGGCTTTACCTACAACAGGGCATTAAACTTGAAAGTACCATAAAACTTAAGCTTGAAATATTTTTTTATTCTGATATGAAAGTTAATCAAGAAAGGGATTTCCTTTTCCATTTGACAATATAAGATGCAAAAGTCTCTATGAACAAAATAAAAATTTCTTATTGGCATAACAAATGAAACTCTCAACCAAAAAAAAAAAAGCTTACAGCTAAATTTTTAAATATTTATTTTAAAAAATTCTCCTCATAATATAGCAAGTTTCTATGTGTCCATAGCACTATTAACAGTATAACTTTTTAAAAATCATTTACTAGAATATGAGAGCTTATTACCTGATCCTGATCCCGAAGTGGTCATATCATAAATTAAATCTTTTAAAGTAGTTCCCTCAGATATAAATGGTCGCTCCATTGAAGGATCTTCTTCACTTGGAACTCGATGGTGTATGAATGTACGATTATGGCAGATATAAAGAATCAACATAAGTGAAATACAAAGAAAACAAACTGGCCCAGCAATGGCAGCAGCTAATTCCACCGGTCCTAGTGTAGAAGAAAATTTCCCTGTTACAGGACCTAAGAATGTAAAAAGGGAGCACAAAAGATAAAACAAGGAACTCATTAGTTAAATAGTATATTGAGAACTTGGTACTATGTAAAATGAAAGACAATAAAATTGGGCTTTATAGATATGTTTGATTATAGCAAATTCTCTCAGCTATCCATTTTCTGCTAGTAAAACAAAAGATTACCTGGTGTTGGAATTGGGAGATCTATTTTATTGCAGAAGTCTCTATCACAGCAATGAGGCACTGTAATTCCTCCTTCACTTGTTGAAATAGCACAAACAAATGGCCTGTCTCTGGGAAAAAGATCAACTTCTGCAAGACACATACTATTGCGTTGAATTTTGTTTCTATTCCGTGTCACTGAAGTAAGACAGAGCCCATCTGTTGTACATGTAAAGTTCTCTTTTGTACAATGAAGACAAAAACATTGCAAGGCTGTTTAAAAGAAAAATGTTTAATATTAGTGATATTTTAAATAGTTAAATAGTATCAAATTAAATAACGGTATTAAACTCCAAAAAGGCATTAAACTCAAATCTATTTCGTAAATAGCTATATTCTATTGAAAGTCTCTAGACTCAGAGACAAAATGGCTCAACGTGTTTTCACATGAAAACTCCTTCTATCACAGTTCTGGTCATTTAATAGGGGAAAAAAATAATTTAATAGGAAAAAAACAATATTCCAAACCAATGGTGAAACCCAAACCGGTTTGCTACCAGTTTTCTGGCTGTGCATGTGCACTGTGCACTAAATGCACGCTACGTGCACATACGTAGAAAAAGGAGGCTTGGGAAGATAAGTAGAAGCAGGAGGGTGTGGGATCAAGCTTTGCTAGAAAGCAGGATTTCCTGCTTTCTAGCACTGCACAGCTGATCCCCCCCCTCCTGTTCTACTTACTTTTCCAAGCCTCCTTTTGGTGCGCGCTATGTGCACGCATATGCACAGTGTATGCCAAAAGGAAGCTTGGGAAGGTAAGTAGAACAGCGAAGGGGGGATCAACTGTGGTGCGCAATTTAGCTTTGCTAGAAAGCAGGATTTCCTGCTTTCTAGCAAAGCTAAACCCTGCTGCACAGCTGATCGTCGGAAATCCTGTTTCCTTTTTAAACTGCCAGTTCAACCAAACCGGTAGCCAACTACCAGTTCACCTAAACCAGTAGCTTTTTTTTTACTACCGGTTCATTCGAACAGATAGTTTTTATCACTAGCAGTTCGCCCAAACCAGAGCAAACCAGAAGCATTTCACCCGTTCCACACGTTTTTCTTTAGTATTAACTACATTACTATTAACATTCAAAGAATGGTAAATTGAAATCTATAGATTGAGAAATAGATCCCTATACCTATATGTGTACATATTCATGTGTCTCTTTGTGCGTGTGTATGTATGTGTGTGTGTGAGAATCAATAAACCATCTTGTCCAGGCATTTTCCTTATTTTTGTCTTTTTTAATGGCTTTACAAACTTCTGCTGAAGTGTAATTCTCAAAAAGCTAATTTTCTAATAGCACATGCATAATTTGAATTTGAGGGAACAAAATCAAATCAAATCTTCATTACAGTCAGCATAGGAAAAATAGGGCACAAAAGTTTGAAAAGCATAAAAAGTACATCAAAACAAAAAATTATACATAAAAAGCTAAACAATATAAAAAATAAGCATCTAAAAAAAGGGTTAGAAGCAGTAGATGAGTGTAGGGAGCATGGCAAACTACTATTATATTACAAAATACTCTAGAACAGGGATGTCATACTGGATTTCTTCAAGGGCCGGATCAGCATTGTAGCTCTCCTCTGTGGGCCGGTGGAGGGGATTGGGGGGGCAGACAGGACAGACACCTCCTGCAGCATCCTGCTGGCCAAAATGGGGCCCCGTTTTCAGCCTGAATGGCCTCCTACAGCATTTTACTGGCCAAAAGGGGGGGCACTTCGTTTTGACCCTCCATGGCCTCCAGCACCACTCTGCTGGCCAAAAAAGGGCCCTGCAGAGACCTTGCAATGCATGGCCCGTTTTTGGCCAACAGAGTGCTACAGGAGGCTTGGGAGACCAAAAACAGGCCACACAGGGGCCGCACGCTGCCCGTTTTGGCCGGGCCAAGGCACTTTGATATTTGCAGGCTGGCCCCACAGGCCAGATTTAAGCACCCCATGGGCCGAATCTGGCCCGCAGGCCTTGAGTTTGACACCCCTGCTCTAGAATGACAAACCTCAATAGGTTTGAAACTGGTTTATGGTAGAGATAATTTTTTAGCAGATTTTAAGTGCTGCTATGCAGAACCTGGTAACATTATGTTTTTATAACCATTTTATTAGTTTACAATGTAGAATACAAAGAAAATACAAAAGTAAATAATAGGAAAAATAGGGAAGGGAAAAGGGAAAAGTGGGAGAAAGAAATAGGGAAAAAGAAAGAAAAGGCATTGACTTCCAACTCCCTTCAGTGCAATAATCAAACCTCAACTTTTTACTTTTACAGAAGAGTTTAAACTAGCCATTTGTATAATAACAAATAAATGGTGAAACCTAAAATCAAATTTTCACTTTTTCTACCTCAAGCACAAAATCTAGATGTGGTTTCCAAGTAGAAATAAAAGTATTTGTATTTTTTTTTCTTTGATCAAAGCAGTTAATTTAGCCATCTCTGCTAAGTCCATCAATTTTTGCAGCCATTTGTCCATTGTGGGGATCGAGGTGACCTTCCATTTCTTTGTGTAGAGTAGTCTTGCTGCCATCAACATGTATAACATCAAAGTTCAGTTTTTTTCAGTTCAGTTTGACATCCTTATGATGATAGTTTCTGTCCTCCATTCAGGCCTTAACTGACAGGTAAGAGGGTAGATTTGTCTAACAAATTAGTTTCTCTTTTGTAATCCTTAAATGATTCCTATTAATGTTCTCCATCAACATAGCATAATGTTACATCTATAGTCTGGTCAGTAAATTGGTTTTTCTTTTCCTCTTCTCAGTAAAATGGTAAGGCCAACATCTAGAGTTTGGAAACATTTCCACAGTGCAATTTCTGCTGAGAGCAAAGCTGCAATTTCCAATATTGTGAGAAGAAATATTCTTTTTGGAATGCTATAAGGATGACAAAACACATCCTTGCATGCCAGAGATGGGTGGCAGTAGTTTTCTCTCAAACCAGTGGTGAAATCCAGCTGAATCTATCTGGCTCGTACGAACCAGTAGTGCTGGCAGCGAGAGGCTCCGCCCACCTGCCGGGATGTCATTAAACCCGTTTTTTACCCTCTATGCATGCTCCTGTGCACTCCCGTTCCCGAACCGGTAGCGAAGGTAAGTGGATTTAACTACTGTCTCAAACCTACAGTAAAACACATTCAGGTCATCTGCCAGTTGTTGATTTCCTTCAGCATGGGAAGGAGGTTTGTTGTAACCAGTGATATTTTTAAGGGTTTTCCACTTTTGCTTGTTCATTTGTTGAAAACGGATTCCTTAGCTTTTCAGAGTAGCTTCTTTTTGCTGTTCTGACCTCCCTTGTTAATATATTTCTGGCCTGATTGTATAGCATTCTACTGCTTTTTCTGTAGGTACGATGTAGCTACTTAAGTTTAGCTGTGAACCTTATTGTTACTGTATATTTGCAGGTTTCTGGTTGGCGCACATCAGTCTTCACAAAAACTAACATATGATGTTACAGTATCTATAAGTTCATCCAAGTCTGTAGTGGTATCTTCAAAAATATTCCAATCAATGCAGTCAAGGCAAGCCTGTTGCTATAGCTTTGCCTCCTCAGTCCAAGTCCTCACTGATTTAATTGTCGGTTTCATGGTTTTAAATCTTTGTCTTAAGCAGGTACAAGGTGAAACATGCAATGATCAGAGTATCCCACAGCTGCTCGTGGTAAAGACCGATAATAGCAATGGTCTAAAGTATTCTTGCCTCTTATGAGACAATTGACATGCTGAAAATATTTTGGTAGCTCTTTCCTTAAATTGGCTTTGTTAGAATCTCCTAAAATAATGGGAAGTGAATCTGGGTGTTTAACTTCAGCCCACATCTGTTCAGCAAGAGTTCATAATGCATTGTTTACACAAGCTTGTGGGGAAACACACACAGCAATAAGGGGAAATTAGAACTGTCATGGAGAATAGAATGGTTTGCAATTGATAATTAATGTCTCTAAGTCCACATCACAGAATTTTTTTAGTATAGTATAGTTGAGAGAACTAGTTATGTCTAGCCTATCAAAGAGAAGAATTAGGGTGGCATGATACCTGTCTTCCAGTATTTAAAAGGCTATCATAGAGAAAACAGGATCAGCTTATTCTCCAAAGCACCAAAGGACAAGACAAGAAGCAATGAGTGGAAGCTTGTTAAAGAGATATTCAATCTAGAATTAAGGAGAAAAATTACTGATAGCGAGAACTATTAATCAATGGAATAGCTTGTCTTCCAGTTACAGGAGATACTGGAGGTTTTCAAGAGTAGGCTGGATAACCATTTGACTGCGATGATATAGTCATTCTGAAATTATATTTGTTTTCAGTTTGAAGAGATCTATCATAATCATCAAAAGCTCAAAGATTTATCTAAAGAAACTCAGAAAATTCATTGTTCAAAAATGTTACAGTATGTTATTATCCTTTACAAGCCTTTATCTTTACAATCAACACCTGTTCCTTTAGCTTAAGTTCCAGTTGTAATTATTCTTTTTATTGCTTGTTCCGTAGTTTATGTTGGACACAAATTAAGATTAAACCCCAGGTAATAAAATTTAATTCCTCACCAGTGTTCCCTTTTTAATATTTTCTGAAAATTTTAAGGTATCTTTTTTATTGTTTCTCCCAACAATTGTAATTTTCACTAAAATAGCATTATTTTCCCTTTAAAATATTTATTTTAATTCAAACAATTCTCCAAACCAGGGGTTTTCTTTTAGGCTTGTGCGATAATTCGAAAAAAAAAAAAAAACATGGAATTTTCTTATGTACAGCAGGAAGGCTTCTTTATATGCAGTGATGAAAGGACTCACAATGTGTACAACGGAAGAATGGATGATAAAATTAATGGAGCTGGTGGAGATGGCAAAATTGACTCCATTGATTAAAAGACTTTATCTAACTTAGTTTCTACATAAAAACCACTTTTTGATTTGTTTGCTTAAAACTGAAAAAAAATCAAAACTTTAATATTGGGATTTAATAATTATAGAATTACTATATGCTAAAATTCATGATACTTCAAAGATTCATTGTATTTTATACTTTTATCTGTATCAAAGAAAGTGAAAGTTATTTTTTTTTTCATTCCCAATTTTGCTTTTTCCCTGCTCTCTCCCCTTTTTCTTTTAACTTTTCTTTTCTGTATCAATTAAAATCAAGGAACATTTTTCTTGACAATATTATATCCATTCTTAAAGCCTAAAATTTTGTTACTATTGCAATAAAAGTTTAAGAGATGATTATAAACTGATATCAGGCAGATATTTATGACATTATGATCATACAGATCTCAAAACTATGTTTCAAATTTAATTTTTTATAAGTGATAACATTTTGAAGAAATGAATTACAATTTTTATTTTTTCCTTATCAAATTGGGGATATCCAAGTAGATTTATAATCTTAATTGTAAAAGTTAGTTTTCATACTATAGACCACTAAAATTGATTTGAGGATGTATTATATATATGTATAGGAACAGTGATTTTATATTAGGTTTGTGAAGTTATCATGAGCCACGGTGGTGCAGTGGTTAGAGTGTAGTACTGCCAGCTGCCTGCAATTTGGCAGTTCAAATCTCACCAGGCTCAAGGTTGAACCATCCTTCTATCCTTCCTAGGTGGATAAAATGAGGACCCAAATTGTTGGGGGCAATATGCTGACTCTGTAAACCACTTAGAGAGGGCTATAAAGCATTGTAAAGTCGTATATAAGTCTAAGTGCTATCATAAAAGAGAGAAAAAGCGAAGAGCAATGTCAGCAAATCCAATACTTAGACAAGTACTCATCCGCCTTCAAATAATGTATAAAAAGTTTGATAAAGAACTATCTTTAGTAATGATGCTTAGTATTCTTTAAGAAAATTACATATAATTAGAATGCAGAATAATTAGTCTTAATATCAGGATAATGATAACAGTTGCAGATGGACATCAGATGTTTAAAATCAACAAGGAGGAAATTGAATTAATTCGAGAATTTATCTTTGTTGGATCCAAAATTGTTCACAATGGCAGTTCTATTCCTGAAATCAAATGCAGGATAATCTTAGGTCGCACTACAATGGTTAACATGAATAAAATCTGGAAAAACAGAGATATTGATATAAATACAAAAAATCAGGCTAATTACAGCAATAGTCTTCCCTATAATGATGTATGGTATGAGAAGTGGACACTAATAAAGGGCTGATCAAAAAAGAAGTGACACCTTTGAACTGTGGTGCTGATCATAAACTATCATGCATATCATAGAAAGCCCAAATAATCACTAGAAGTGAAAATCGTAAGACTACATCATTTACTTTGGCCATGTCATGCCTGCAAATTCATTGGAGAAGGCAATGATGCTAGGAATGGTTAGTGGAACAAGTGGAAGAGGCAAACAAACAAAGTGATGACTTGATAGCATTAAATCTGATTCAAAGTTGACCATCCAACAATTGAAAGAAACCAAACTATCTGTTTGACAAGATAGCATGGAGAGCACTTGAGTGCAGTCAGACCCGACTGAACGGTTAAAACAACATTCATTTATATGAGGGATATATGAGGAACTCATCAAATTTGCAGATGACACCAAGCTGGCAGAAATAGCCAACACTCCAGAAGATAGGCTTAAGATACAAAAGGATCTTGACAGATTTGAACATTGGCCGCTATCTAACAAAATGAAATTCAATGATGAAAAAAGTAAGATTCTACATTTAGGGAAGAAAAACAAAATGCACAGATACAGTATATCTGTAGTACATAGTAGTAACTGTGAGAGGGATCTTGGAGTCCTAGTGGACAACCATTTAAATATGAGCCAGCAGTGTGCAGCAGCTGCCAAAAAAGCCAACACAGTTCTAGGCTGCATAAATAGAGGGATAGAATCAAGATCACATGAAGTGTTAATACACTTTATAATGCTTTGGTAAGGCCACACTTTGGACACTGCATTCAGTTTTGGTCATCACAATGTATAGAGAATATACAGTATAGAGTATAGAGAAGAGCAACAAAGTGATTAGGGGACTGAAAGCTAAAACATATGAAGAACGGTTGCATGAACTAGGTACGTCTAGTTTACTGAAAAGAAGGGCTAGGGGGGACATGATAGCAGTGTTCCAATATCTCAGGGGTTGCTACAAAGAAGAGGGAGTCTAACTATTCTCCAAAGCACCTGAGGGTAGGACAAGAAGCAATGGGTGGAAATTAATCAAGGAGAGAAGCAACTTAGAACTAAGAAGAAATTTCCTGACAGTTAGAACAATTAATCAGTGGAACAACTTGCCTCCAGAAGTTGTGAATGCTTCAACACTGGAAGATTTTAAGATGATGTTGGATAACCATTTGTCTGAAGTGGTGTAGGGTTTCCTGCCTAAGCAGGGAGTTGGACTAGAAGACCTCCAAGGTCCCTTCCAACTCTTCTCTTCTTCTCTTCTATCTAAAAACTAAACTAAACTAAAATATAAATTTACCATTGCCTAATAACATACTAAGTGTTATCTTGCAAGCTTTCTGCATTAACAACAATGTATGAACAACTGGTTAATTGTTAAATTGCCAAATATCAAAACTTTGGGGGAATTAATATAAATATTGAAATCATTCTTATCAGTGAGGTGGGTGGTGTATGAACTCAATAAACAATTAAAATGCGATACAGATTACAGGCACCACTAATGTTTGTAATACTTTGAGGAAATGTATTAAACATTGCAAGAAGCTGAAGGCAACGTTTGATGCCAGATATCTAACAACTTTGACAGTGAGTTGATAAAGAAATCAAACTCAGACTCTGTAATTCCCACAGTCGGTTCTTAGATAGGAAGTACGTCTATATTAATAAACAAATAGCATCTGCCCTATCCTGCAAGACGGAGGAGAAGATACAAAGAGGAATTCGGGGCTCTCCTTGCCTGCACAAGATTTATTCCAGATGGTAGAGTTTCTACGAATGTAACAGCAATGTTCCATGCTGAATTGCGCAAACACATAACATTGATATGATGCATTTCGTCCATGCTCTAGAAAAGGAGCATTCTAAATTTTCATTTTATGGGATTCATTTTTTAAGAAAACGGAAAGGGCGAGCTCTTGTCGATGACCTTTTGTTTGCTCGCCTGCTTCGGGCAGAGAATGGAATGATAGAACGAAAAGACTGTATAACTCCATCCGCTACAATTATGCTTAAAGAAAGCCGTTAAATTGCTTTTCAGCAGCTATTGTCCAGTCTGCCGCCGTAGCGGTTCCTTGTCGATGAAACGCTCACTCTCCCTCCATCGACCACCTCATCACACTCTGTTCCCCGACGCTCTTAGTCCTGGGCGGCTGAAGAAGCGCCATATTCCTTAAAGGGAACAGATTGGACCGGCCCAGTTGCTCCCAACCTGGCTCATTTTTAAGTATCATACGCGACTCACCCGTTGCTGCTTCAGGAAGAAGGAACAGAAGCAATCCAGTTGCAGTTGTCATCGTCAAAGCAACTGAACAGCAAAAACTTGCAAGGAAGGCCTGTAACAACCTCCGAAAAGAGACTGCTAGCGCCGCCATTGTCCCGTCCAAATACCACAATCTTCTCCTCCCCTCGCAAGCAGCTCGTAGAAACAAACACAACCCTCGGGCGCCGCATCCAAAACCCTCCCACTTTTTCAGAACCTCCCTCCTGCGCGACAGACAGGATAGCAACCTTTCTTTCTTGCCAGACACTGACTAATACAAAATAATTTAGCTAGAGAGCAAGGTCATTTCATGATTGGGCAATTCCGTCACGAGGCTCCGACCGCATTCCTCCCACCTTCTCCTTTTCTTGCTTATAGCAGAAAAAAAGTACAGAACGAGCATCGAGTTCGACGTCAGAGGAGAAGGCCTAAATGAAATACTTAATTGCAGTGTGGGCGTTCTTGCCCGGAAAAGGGAACATTACATTAAGGAAAGTTTGTAAAGTGCTCTATAATAGCTCTCTTCTCCTGTTTTTCGTTATTCCATTAAAGTCATAAGCAATTTATAACCATAACAAGTTTATTACGTGGTCAGAGACCCATTAAAACTACAAGGAGGCCAAATATCATGCTTTTCAACAAAGCAGGACATAAAAATATTGTTAAAGCTATACAAAAATTATAGGATTAGTAAAAAAAGTGATTAAATTAAAAATACCTAAAAGGTATAAATAATCTAGGGAATAAACAGGAAAAGAACCTAGGGTAACAATTTTTGTATTCTAAAATGCCAAGAGTCATTGATTGAGATGGGTGGCTATAGAAATTAAATAAAATCAATTTAAGGATAACAGGAATAAAACACAGCAATGTTGTATAAGGCAGCAATAAAAGTTAAGAATGTAGGTACTGTATATCTAAAGCAAGTTAACCGAATCACCAGTTTATAAATCTGTAAAACTGACCTAAACAATTTAGTGACTGTTTAGTGGTTGAGGTATCAGGGTAGAAACTGAAAATTCTTGCCAAAAGAAGGACTTGCCACGCAATAGGACTTGATTGTATCGAACAAGAAAAATGTTTTATATCTTTCTGTTTGTGTCCCATCCCACCAAGTTTCAAAATAGCTAGAATATCACACTTTCCCTCAGGTATTAGGATTTCAAGCTCTCCCTCTTTCTTCCCCCATTCTATGAGCATTATTGTACAGGCAATTATGATTGATTCTAGTTTTGCTTCCCTTATCTCCTGATTTATAATTGCTCCTTCTTCATCACTCCCTTTCTCATTATGATGTGTTGTGCTGAGATTTACGCTTTGTGATTAGTCCTATAAACTGGTATCTTTCCTCCTCTCGTTTTAGCTTAAATCCTTTCAGATAAGCTAAGTGAGTTTTTCCCCAAACACAATCTTGCCAGTCTTCATGAGGTGCTAGTAACCCTTCATGTGCATAGTGTAATCCATGATCCAGAAAGCGAAAGTTCTAAGGACAGCACCATGCTTTGAGCCAGCAGTTTATTTTTAAAATCTTTTGTTCTCTCAGTACCTATTATCTGGAGAATAGATGAGAAGAACAATCTGACTGTTATTCATAGACGTTTGAAATTGATTTCAGGCTGTTAGTTGTAGTATTCATGCCAACATGAAAGAGGAAAAACAGATAATTAATGGGCTTGATTATTTTAGCAAGCCTCTCTGTCACATCTTTAATCATTGCACCTGGGAAACAACACACTTCCCTTGAGAAATTGAGTAGTCTAAAGATTGAATAAAGATGCCAATCAATCAGAATAGAACTGGAAAGGAACTTGGAGATCTTCTAGTCTCCTGCTCAAGCAGGAGACCTATACCATTTTAGACAAGTGACTGTCCAGTTTCTTCTTAAAAACTTCTAGTAATGAAACACCCCCAATTTTTGAGGGGAAGCTGTGCCACTGGTTAATTTGTTCACACTGTTAGGAAGTTTCTCCTTAATTCCAGGTTGCTTCTCCTTGATTAGTTTCCATCCATTGTTTCTTGTCCTGCCCTCTGACGCTTTGGAAAATGTTGACTCCATCCTCTTTGTGTCAGCCTCTCAAATACTGCAATACTGCTATCATGTCACCCCTAGTCCTTCTTTTCTCTGGACTAGCCAAAATCAAATTCTGCAACAGTTCTACATATGTTTTAGACTCCAGGCCTTTAATAATTTTAGTTGCTCTTCTCTGCGCTTTTTCCAAAGTCTCTTTTTTTGTAATGTGTTGACCAAAACTGGATGCAGTATTCCAAGTGTGGCTTTACAAAGACTTTATGAAGGATACTTCGTGTGATTTTGATTCTATGCCTCTGTTTATGTCTATTCTATTCTATTCTATTCTATTCTATTCTATTCTATTCTATTCATTCTATCTATCTATTCTATTCTATTCTATTCTATTCTATTCTATTCTATTCTATTCTATTTATACAACCAAGGATTGTATTAGCTTTTTTGGCTGCTGCCCAACACTGTTGGCTCATGTTTAAGTGATCATTACTAGGGCTCCAAGGCCCCTCTCACAGTTACTGTTTTTGAGCTAGGTTTTGCCTAATCTATACTTCTATCCTTGGTTTTTACTGCCTAAGTGTAAAGCTTTGCTTTTCTCCGCATTAAATTTCACTTTGTTGGATAGAATCCATTATTCAAGTCTGTGAAGATCTTTTTGGATCCCAAGCTTGTTTTCTGGGGTGTTAGCTATTCCTGTCAGCTTAGTGCCATTGCAAATTTGATGAATCCCCCCTTCTGTTCCCTCATCTAAGTCATTTATGAAGATATTGAAGAGTACTGAGCCTAAGACAGAACCATGTGGTACCCTACTGCTTATTTCCGTGCATATAGATATAGTACCATTAAGGATTATAGTTGACTTTGGTTTTTCAGCTAGTTACAAATCCATCTGGTGGTGATGCTGTCTATCCTACATTTTTGTAGCTTACCAAGGTTCTGGTCTACTTTGTCGAATTGCAGAGGTCTCACTATACTATGTCCATAACATTTTGCTGGTCTATTAATTTAGGCACTTTGTGAAAGAATGAAATAAGATTGATTTGGCATGATCTGTTTTTAGCAAATTCGTGCTGGCTTTTAGTTATAACTTTATTTGTTATAAAGGGTACCTTATGGGTAATGAAATATTTTTCTCAGAGTACCACATAGGAACTCTTGTATAAGACTATTAATAGATATTCAGAGATTAATCAGACCACAGAAAATTATATAAACACCTTTTCCTATTTATTTCTAATGCAACTGTTGCAATGTGGCACTTGAATCTCTGTGTAAATATGTTGGCTATATGAACATCCTGCAAGGAGATTAGTAGCTCATAACATTCATGTTATATGGCAGAGTGTAGTTGATGCTCCAGCTTGTTTTCCAGGCTTTGATGAGCTTCATTAATTATACTAAAAAAAGAAAGGTATGTGTGGCTGGAGAGAAATCCATACATACAGCTCAACATGAATAGGAATAATTAGACAACTGGCAGAGTGTTAAATTGGAGGTCTAGGGAGAAAAACTAAGAAATCTGCAGAATTTCTTCATGCCCAGCAACCAGTGGAATTTGTATTTCTGCTAATAGACAATCCCGTCAAAAAGTTCAAACAGAACAGAACAATCTGGGCAATAAATCAGTTTTTAGTCCTGTGCATGTACAGGTTGTAGCACTTGAGCGGGCCACTTATAGCTAGCAAACAGAGGTCTATTAAGTCTCTATGGCTCAGGCCCAAGGCCCTTAGTCCCTTGCCTGATGGACAGTATAGCAACCCTCGATTGGAAATGACGACTGGAAGATGACACACTGGGGTGGTGGCCAGTAGAGGATTGCCTTTTTGCTCCTTGTTAGACATCCCCCTGTCCTTCCTCTTCATGTTCCTTGTTGTGCTTTGTTTGGATAGAGATTTCTGATTTTAGTACTTTTGCTCTGCTATCCTGTCTAAGATGTCTATTTAACAGTTCCAACACTAGAATAAATAATAAAAAAGATAAAGGAACCCCCACCCCCCTTGTTCCCTTCTGGATTTCACATGGTTTTGTAAAGTCTCCATTCACCATGGAGCTTTCTGGAGTGTATAGATAGACTTCAAGCCCTGTATAAAGCCCAGTCCAAAATCCATCTTTTCCACTACTTTAAACATAAAGGCCCAGTTCAAATTGTCAAAAGCTTTTTCTGCATCCAGAAAGATTAATGCAACCTGTTTGTTGTAAATATTCAGTTGTATTCAAAATTACTCTTACACTATCTTTTAGTTGTCTTTTAGATAAGAAACCATACTAGTCTTCATGTATATAATCCTGTAAATTTTTTTAAAGTATTTCAGCTAAAATAGATGTAAAGAGTTTGTAGTCATTATTAAGGAGAGAAATTGGCCTGTAGTTCTTCACAGGTTAAATCCAGTCCATCTTTGGGTATTAAAGAAATGTATGTATCCTTCCAAGAATCTGGTATAGGATTCCCTTGTAAAATAGAATTCATTAAATCCTTTATCGGAATAAATAGTTGATCTTATTCTTGTCTTGAAACTTGATTATCATCTTCCTTTCTGTCTGTTTTCTTAGTTTGTGTGCCAACCCGCTCCCTGGTTTATTTGCATGTTCCAAAAAGTGTTGTTTCATACATTTAAATTTCTTTTCAATATCTGAAAAAGTCAACAAAGAAATTTGTTGCAATAATTTTAGTTGATTGTATGTTAGAATCTTCTGATGAATTCTGGAGTTCCTTATCTTCAGTTTAATTTCTTGTAACACAATTTGGATTTTTTAAATCTCTTCCTCTTAATTGCTGTATTGTTTTGTATTGTATAAAATGTCCTCATATCACAGCGTTACAGACATCCCAAACTATTGTCAAATTGGTTCCCTTACCTAAATTATTATTAAAACTATTAAAATAGTCTTGAAGTACCTGTTTACATTCCTTGGTCTCATTTAATCTCCATTTAAAAGACGGGGGACCAAAGTTAAGGTAAAGTGGTGTAAAAATACTGGATAAAGACACTTTTTTTTTTGAAAGAATAATAGTTTCAGTTGCTTTGTGAAGCAGATTTTTTGTAATCCAAATTATATCAATTATAGAAAACAATTTGTATCTCTCTGCAAAGAAGGTAAAGTCTTTTAAGAGTTAGTCCATTTTTACACTTCCAAACATCAATCAAACCTAAAGTATCAGTCAGCTAAAAAAAAGTTTGGGGCATTTCCCTTGAGTTTCTTTAATTCCTTTATCAGCTGATAAAATGCATAATTACAAAATTATGTGCATTTACCGATGATTTGATATTGATTGTGGAAGACCTGCTAGAG